TTACTCCCCTCATTGTGATGCAGAAGCTTGTTTGTTAGTCTTATTTCAAATCTCAAGTAAATGTAGCTCAGTTAATTACAAAAAACAACTGTGCTTTCATCCTGTTAGTTTAAAAATCACTTCAGTGAGGAAGAAAATCTGCTCTCAAGAGTTCACTGTTCTTTATTAATGGCTTTTCCAAATGCATTTTACTCCCCTGCCATTGTTTGCTACAGTACTAAACAGAGATAAAGTACTCTGCATCTTTGTAGTTCTCTCAGAACTACCAGCATGGATGAGGATCATTAATAACTCTCATGCTCACATGTCCTAGAATGTAGAGACACACATATTAATTTTCAAAGTATATGAGTAATGCAGAAGGCTTGTGTGGAAAAACAGAAAGTAGGAGACCTAAACCCCGACAATGTTCCTCATGTGACAGTTTCACAGGTGTACCACTGACCCCGATGACAAAAAAGAAGAATACATTTTCCTGTGCGTGTCACACAAAGTCACTGAGAGAATGCAGAGTGTGCATGTCTATTTTTGCTGCTGGGCTGGTCAGCAGGCCGTCCTGGTGAGTCAGGGTGAATGTCTTGACAATGACATATAGACTCACTGACAGAGGAGATAGAGGGTGAGCCCACTGCGCCCTGGGAACAGCTTGGCACAATGGAGCATGATGAGTTTACGCTCTTGTTTTGCTGGTTGAAGTCTTACCCTTTCATCAGTGTTAAACACAAAGATATATAGGCAATCTGCAGCAATCTCATTGGGCCATATGTCACATGATGTATTGAACCATATACGGAGGTTACAAAACATTGTTTTTCTCAGCTGTATGATAAACTGTAAGGAAGATGATAGATGAGAGTGGTACATCGGTGCACATGCTCTGGAGATGCTCCAATCAAGAATCCTGGATATATAACTGTAGAAACAGTTACAGGCCATTTTCCTCCAACATTTCCCAGAAAGCCAAGCAGAGGAGACTGATAGAAGCATGCATTGGCAGATTTATTAGTGCAAGGGTTCCCGAATGGGAGGATGCACACCCCCTGGGGTTGGCACAGTATAAATGAAGGTGGACATTGTAATGATAGAAATTAATTAAATAAAGACCCCAGTTTGACAGTCTTTTATTTATTTATTGATAGCAGTTTAAAGATGGTAGTTTTAGCTTTAGATGGTCTAGTCCAGGGGTCAGCAACCCAAACTGCTCAAAGAGCCATATTGGCTCAAAAAAACAAAAAATAAAAATCTGGAGCCGCAAAAATGTATGTAAGTTTTATATATGCCTCTTATGGCAACATGGGCTCTAAGTCTATTATCCCACTATAGAAAAGGACTATATGGGGTTAAATATATAATGAGCATTCAGGATTAAATGTTTATCCTGGAGCAAATGTCACATAGCAGCATGAGGTGATGGAAGAGCAGTGAACGCTCTCACCGTGTGTTGCTTCACCGCACGGGTTTTGTTGCATTGATGAAATTAGAGAAACACGATAAAGGAATCTTTCTATGGTGGACGTCTTTCTGTTGGGAGGAGCTGATTGAGTCAAGAGGAACCAAGCAGGAACTGAAATCTCACATCCTCCGTCACCTTTGTTACTTTGTGTAATTTATAATTTTAGAATTTGGGGGAAAAATGGAAGAAAGTTTACATCCCTGCATCAGAGCGCTACTGGATTGATCTGTGGATGGTTTTCCATCCTTGTAACCAAACTAGCAGCAATATCGGAGATGCAATCCACTATCCATCCATCTATCTTTGCACTCCTCTAATTTATCCAGAAGTTCTGCAATCGCACTTTTTCTCTCACTCCCAACTTGGTGGTGGGCTTCATATTTATATGCCTTCCCTGGAAATACCTTTCCAAAATTTTCTTTTTTCTTCTCTCATTATAAAGCAAAAATGCAGTCAATCCTTCTGCATTGATAATGAAAGCAAATGATTCGGTCCATTCTTTGAATCCTCTTTTCTCATCAGCTATCTTCCTTTTTTCCCTTTGGGATCCATGGTCTGAGACACACCTGCAGCTTTGTTTGGCACGCTGGTTGCAAGTGATGACCTCTGATCATTATGGCTTTGATGCAAATTATTGTTTAAATTTATTTATTATACAAATGTTTACAGCATTGGAAAACATAATAAATTTTTTTGTACACGTTCTTTTGTAGGAACCAAAAAAAACTTTCTGAACAAGCCTTGATTAAGCTCAAAAGCAGCAGCGCCTTGAGTGAAAAATGGATACAATCACAGAATTGCAGACAAGACATGAGGGATTTGTAATAAAGGGCCAAATCAGTGTTTTTCTTTTGTTTTGTTTTTTGTTGGGGGGGTACTAAGAGCACAGTAGGAATTTCTTTAATGTGCTCATAATGGTAAGGCAAATCCATCACCATGATAGAGATCACTTAAATCATTAGAGAATTTCCTAGCAGTGGGTTACCAGAACAAGACTACAGTAGATCCTGCACATGAAGGCGTATACCCTGAACCAACCTTCCCTCCGTCCATCCATCCATTGAATTTGAAAGCTCACTGGATGGAAAGCCAACATTAGAAACTGAATGTCTACAGAGTGGAAAAGTTTACAAGGGTGGCATAATTCAACAATAATACATTACTTTTTTTTATTATTTAGTGCGAAAGAAACCAGCATGTCCTGGGGCTATACTTTATGAATGTGCTTTATAAACATCCAGAGATAATTAAAACAGAGAAAAGAAAGTAGAGTTGAATATCCGTAGAACTTCAGTTTGAGGCTGTGCTACACACAGAAAATTTTATTTGATTTAAGGTCATGTTTAGCTCTGGATTAACTATTCTTTATGTATCCAAAAAAAAAAAAAAAAAAAATTCAAATATATTGGATAAAATAGGCTTGATTATTAGGTTAAGAGGCCATGGAAGTTAAATGTTAAGCAAGTAATAAACACACTTTCCATTAAGCTCACATGTCAAGTAAAACTGTATTTATCTTTTATTCCTCTGATTTAGTTGTAAGTGGAGAGCCATCATTGACAGAAAGACTTTAAAACATCAATGTTCAAATATGATCTGTATAATGTGCTTCACTCACTAAACTGAGTTACTCCACTAATAACTAAGTAACTTTTAATATTGTAATTTATTGGATGAAAGTTTGATTTCATTTAAAAGCAAATCTTCATGGTATGGCTTCCATGAATATCAAGAAGCACTATTTTATCTTGTCATTGAATCTCAGCCAAACCTGACAATATTAAAACTTATCATCTGAGGAGTTTGAGATCAGATCTTAAACCCTCCTATTCCTCACAGTTTTAAACAATGTATCTATAGATACATTTGTAAAAATTGGTTTAAAATGTCTTTAACTGACATTCGGCAATGAAATATAATGATCAGTCTCACGATCACTCTTCTCTGTTTTCATTCTCACTCATCTCCTTCTCCCTTTGTTCTCACATCACATTCTTTTTTTCTGACTGTGCAGTTTTTTTTTTCTCTCATGAGAACACACTGTCTCTGGCAAAGGACAAAATGGGACGCTACCCACTGTCCTCAACTTCTACTGAACCTCAAGATGTAAAAACAACTGAATTCATGCCCGTATTAGGGATGCTTAAGTGCCAATGATGCATAACCGAAACAGGATAAAATGAAAGAAGTTTAAAAGAATCATTCCCAATTACCATATTTAAGTTCTTGCACCATTTGGTCAGGATTCCTTAGAACTTAAACAGAAATACTTTGTTCACGTATCTAAAATCCAATTGTAGGAATTTGCCTACCTCAGTCACAAAGGACGGTTTTTACTACAAATAGCAAGTTTAAGGTCACGCCAAAGTAGCTTAGCAGAATTAAAACCAGATTTATACTTAATAACTTAAACATTTTCTTTTTTGAGGTATTGAGATGTGGGCTTGCTGATCTACTATGGATTGCTTTCCTATGTGAAACCAATGAGTGCTTGGCCTTTAGGTCAGAAACTTAAGGCCAGGATATTCTACAAAAAAATCTAAATTTATGGTTTAATCAGTTAAAGCAATTCAACCAAATAGCATCAGAACACACAACTAAAATGGTTGTCTAACGTTGCAAAATTTGTCCATAAAAAAAGTTTTTACTGCTAAAAGTGATCCTCTACATCTACTTTTACCTACCCGAAGTTTAGATACAAAGAATATTCAGATATCATGGCAGTGAGATGACTGTGCTGCATTTATTGCATGACAAGCGCTTCTTCTTCTCCCCAGCCTTCCAATTTTAGTTTCCACACCTTGTCTCACTGTTTTTCCAGGTCTTCTACTGGAGCATAAATTTCTTCAAGCATTCGCAGATGGCTGCAGCCATGATATGAATATTTGATAGCCCTTACATATCTCCCTTGAGGGTAGTGAAATATTAAAGTACTTTCTGGTCACCGGTTGGACTTCTCAACCATTTGAAAATAAATAACTCATTAAATAGACCTCCAATTGAGAAAATAAGAAATGTTTTTGGAGTGTTTTTATGTAACAATGTATAACAGCAGGGATTAGACATTCAACCAATGCGTCTGTTATTGTTTGAAGTTAAAAATCATTTCACTAAATGTTCACAATTACATGAGGACAAATTGGGCTGAATTCTGTAGTTTTTATGTGCAGCATACTGCACAGTTTTGCTGTGCTGCTCTCAGAAGCTGATATTACTTAAAGTTGTGAAACTATCTAAGTATTTATCTTATATAGATAGAGTTTGGATGGTCTCTGGAGTTTTAAGAAGGTGTGACAGTGTTGCCTTTCTTGTGAGCAACAGGAAGTGTAAAAGACTAATTTTAGCCAGTTGACTGGCAACAGGTGGGTGAGGGGCAGCACTTTGTTATTTTATCAACTTAAATCCCTGAAATAGTGAGACAGAGATTTAAGCTGCTCTAAACTTTTTAAAACATTGACATACCTTGAAAACATTTATTACGTCCTTCCTCATCAGTGTCCTTCCTAAAGAAACATAGCTAACGAATTTTAATAAATCTCTCTTTCAGCGGGATTCCAAAGGACAGAACCTATTTGACCTCATCTGCCACCACCTCAACCTCCTGGAGAAAGACTACTTTGGCATCAGATATGTCGATCCAGACAAACAAAGAGTAAGTCTCTACTCTTGTAATTTCTTGAATGTAATCCTTGAAATCTTTGATGTTTTTTTTCTGTCTTTGGAAACGTCTTCTAAAATATCTGATGGTTGCCAAAAAGTTCTAATTATCTGTGCAAACCAGGAATAAATGGCTTATGATTTTGGAGAAAACTTGTTTTAAAAAAGCACTTTCTCACAAAAGCACCCTGATGATATGTTTACGTAAGGCCGTCCTACATGCTTGTCCCCATTTTCACTTAAATGTGGTGAGTCTGCAGAGATGGCAAAAGTACTCACTTTCCGTACTTGAGTAAAAGTACAGATACTTGTGTTAAAAAATACTCCGGTAAAAGTGGAAGTACTGATTAAACTTCTTTACTCAAGTAAAAGTAACAAAGTACAGGCTTGTAAATTTACTTAAAGTATAAAAGTGAAAGTAGAAACCACTTTTTTCATGCCGTTGCCTTCATTTTAAATGGATGTCTGCCAATAGGACTAGATCTCTGTTGTGTTCATTTTCAATCATCTTGTCGTCCATGCTACTATGCTAACGCCACCGCCACCAAGCTGCAATGATTTGCCGCTAATGAATACCACCGAATCTGTCGATTCATCTTGTAGTGGTGCGTCAAATGCAACGTAGATTCCCATCCAATTAGATTGAATTTGGTATTGATGACATGAAAAATAATAACGGTAACTCCATTGAAATGATTCAAAACTAAAGTAACGAGCCAATTTTTTAAAATGTAAGGAGTAGAAAGTACAGATATTTGTGTAAAAATGTAAGGAGTAGAAGTAAAAAGTCGCCATAAAAATAAGTAGTAAAGTAAAGTAAAAATATCAGAAAAATCTACTTGAGTACAGTAACGAAGTATTTGTACTTCATTACTTCCCATCTCTTTGAGTCTGATATAGTGGATAAATTAGAAATCTTCTTTTGGAAAGTAAGCTTGTATGAGTGATGCAAGCAGCAACTTTTAAAAAGAGGAATGGGATCATGCATGCTCTCGCATACGTATAATAATAGGTGTTCCTTCTCTGGAGTTTTAAATTGAGATGGCGGGTCTTTTCATAAAATTGCAAAAAGGTTTGACTATATAGCAACATGTGCAAACTTATTTTGTGCAAAGCTGATAAACTAATCATGTGCATGGGGACTGGTTGAGTGATAGTGGCTGAAACAGTCAGGCTCACCTCCACACAGTCATGGCTGTTTAATCCATGGGGTGAAATTGAGGGCTAGGGTGCATTTCCTTGTCTTCCCCACAGCTCAGCCCTCCGGTGTTTGGGTTCATACCAGTTGATGAGAGGCTCACATCCCTGATCCTTGGAGTTAGGGAAAGGGCTCTGACTGTATGGACGTGTCTTGGCCTTATGGGACAAGAAGCACCACAGCCTTCCTAACTTCCCAGGCTGGGGTGCTGGGCAAGGCACCTCTGGTGGGGCTCCTTTACCTTACAGGGGGACTTGTGGGAAATGACTGTTACCTGAATGGATGGTCATGCAAAGCAGTTCTATCAGCTGGACTGAAGTAAAAAATGTTTCTTGGGTTATAAAGGTTTCCGACGGCTCATCTAGTGGAACCCTGTTTCAGTCAGGGACCTGTGTAACTGCCACCTAAAGGAGAGCTTTTCTTAAGTCCCAGGGAAAGCTGAGGACTTAGTGTTATTGGATCATGTTCTCCGCTATATTGTTGAAGAGGCTGCTCAGAAATGTGGCCGTAGTTTTTAGATTAGTTTTTATGATAAAACAGTGGACAGAATAAAGATATGGTAAGATAAAAATTAGTAATAATTACTACACAGTACCACCCTTAAAAAGAAGCAGACTTCCTGTCTGATGTCTGTTTGGCAGTACTGTAGATGATGCAAAACTGATTTTATTAGATTAGCTTGATTTTCTGTTACTACAGTCAGGGGCTTAATGAGAAATTTCCCACCACAAAAACTATCAGGGCAAATAGGCCAGTCTGCAGGTTAATTATGGATATCAGAAAAAGTAATAAAGTCCTGTGTAATGTTAATAGTTGGTTATTTTTTCATCGTTGAACTGTAAAAAGCTTATAAGAGCTTGTATAGTTTGCAGTCTCAGCCTAAACGTTACTTATTTAGACATTAGCCCGCAGATATTCTAAAGACTAAAGGAAAAATACAAAGATAATCCGTAAAATGCTATCAAGGATATAGCGTGTTTGTTTTTAAATGCATCTCCATGATGCAGTATGCCACTCATTACTGACCCATTATACTCAGCAGTATGGAAAGACTGGCTGATCTGATTACTTTCTATATAGCTTTCTGATTAAATGACCTGCCGTCTGCACAGGGACTGGTGTTTTAGGGGATCTCATAAGCTGAAAGCTGGAAACTAAACGTAATTCTGCTGAAGCCTCCAGCTAAATTGATTTAGGGCTGCAACTAACAATTATTTTGCAAATCGATTAGTCTTTCGGTTATTTTTTCAAATAATCAATTAATAATCGATAGAAAAGGGTTCCCTAAAGAAGATTTTTTATGAAAAGAAACTAGGAGAAACTAAAACTTTTGTACTGGAGGAGTTCTCGATAGAGCATATTGATGGATGAAAAATATTTTATATCTTAAATGCAAAATTTTTAGGTTTTTTTTACTGCTTTACTTGGGTTGCTAAGTCAGCTTTAAGCATGTTTTAGAGTCTCTATACTCCAGTTAACAAATAATTTATTACTAATTTAGTTGACAATTATTTCAATAATCGATTAATCGCAATTAAGCCCTAGATTGAATTTTATTTGTCTTTTTAAAAAACAAATGCTTTAATCTACAACTTTTTTTATGCTTGTTACTCCTAGAATTCGATACCAAACACAATGCATGAATTCCTAGCTCTTACCTCTTTTACAACATTTATAACACATTTATACCAAATACCAGTACTTTGCATAAATTTGTCAGGTTGTGTGGATGTTTTTAGAGGATCCAAATGCAGAGACGTAAGCTGAGGTGGTTTCTTGCAGATTTAATGCAGTTTCAAAGGGCAACAGAAGCAAAAGTGCACTAAAAAATATAGAAAACAAAACTCCAGGAGATGTCAGGGAAAACACACAGAACAGAAACTGAAGATGAGGAATATATATGCCAAATAGAACAAAGACTGGGGTAATCAGCAGATTGGGAGCAGGTGTGGACAGAAGAATCTAAAAGAAAACTAGGGGAAGAAGAGTGACACAAGAGGGCAACAAGAGTAACAAGAAATACATAAGAACTCAAATACAACCAGAAAACAACAAAACATTGAAATAAAACCAATGAGAACTCAAAAATCAAAACTTAAACAGAACCAAAAATTGCAAAACCGGTACAAACAATAAAATATAAGGAAAATAAAAGCAGAATAAAAGTAACAAGTTAACTTGTTGAGTTACTAGCAAACTGTTGGGTTACCATCCATTTTATAAGTACATTCAAAAACACAATTGCTCATTATCATTAATACTAATTATTATTAGGTTTTTCTTTTATTACTTTCTGGGTGTTAGGACTATGTGCAAGACAAGATTCACTTCATATTCCTAAAAAGAGTATTCCTAATACCATCAACGGTGACAAGTAACAAAGTACAAATACTTTGTTACTTTAGCTAAGTCGACATTTTGGCTATCTATACTCTACTGAAGTAATTCTTTTTTAGACAATTTTTTACTTGTAGTCCTTACATTTTTTTTTGCAATTGTCTCTACTTTATAATCCTTACATTTCAAAAATAGATTCAATAGTTTTGTTTCATTTGAACTCATTTTTGTTGGCATTTAAAAAAATAATAAAAAAAAAAACATCAAAATAATTTGTTTTATCCACACAATTCATGACTTTGTTGTTGGACTTGTGACTGCACCTAACTTGCTGTTTATTACATACATAAATAGTTTTTCAAGATGATGCAAAATTATCATCCATCATCTGTTCATAAAGGTATTGTGGAGGATTTTTGCTAATTTTTTGTAAGACCCACCCTCTACACCTTAAAAAAAATGCACTTGCACAAGCCTGTACTCGCTCCCAGGAGAGAATTAAACGTGTGCAAGTGCATGCATGAGCCCATTTCTCCTTGTGCATGCTCTGTTTAAAAGTTGCTGTTTGCATTGCTCATACAAGCTTACTGTGTACGAACATCTGCCCTAACCCCCAATTCCCTCAATCACTATATATAGCAGGGACTATATAGTGGACTTCATAGGGAACTCAGTTAACTTACCGTTCGGACAGAAGATCACTGCTTGTTGCTCCATTGGTCTCGTAACTCCACCTCCACCGCGCCTGTGTCATCTTTGTTATTAGTCGGTGCCTGCGGGTAGCGACAGCCTATGGCAACAGCGGGCCGCTGTGACAGCAAATCCAATAATGCATATAGCATTCCGGGATATATCTGTCTCTTCCAAAGCCTTTCTTTTCTTCTCATACACTTCATAGACACTTTGCCTCTTAAGACTCTCAGCCATTTTCAAAGAACCGTGGCGTGAAAGATGAGCTTCAATCTCTGGCTGAAACAGTAGCTCACCACACATATACGCCTGAAATTGAAAATGTAAAGAAAAAGATAGCTAATGGGACGAGGACGTAGGACAGCCTTATGCAAACATATCACCAGAATAATTGACAATTAGGAGGACCACTTATTTGATGATCCACCCAGAAATAAAAGATCATCCTCTACACCTTTAACATTTTTCCGGCATCACTTTTACTTTTATACTTTATGTAGTTTTAAAAAATGGTACTTTTATTTGAGTAGAAGCTTAGGTAATATAAGGCAATATAATTGCACATTTAACACTTTAATACTTCAGGACTCTGATCTTTAATCAGTCTCTTGTTATCTAGTTTTAGCTTTTTCACTCCAGTAGGACTCTAACAACTAATGGTTAATTGATTATTGAAATAGTCATCAACTAATTTAGTAATTGATTAATCGTTAAGTGGAGTAAAGACACTCTAATAATCTCTAGTAGTCATACAAAAATAAAAAAATAAATATTTTGTGTTAAAGATCGGTTAAAATCTGTTAGTTCCTCAATATGTTCTACCCACAATCTACCCAAAGTTTTAGTTTCCCTTTGTTTAGATTCTAAAAACTTATCTTCGAGGAAGTTTTACTGTCCGATTATTAACCAATTAATTGAAAAAATAACCAACAGATTAATAACTAAGCTAAATAATTGTTAGTTACAGCCCTAAACACCAGTGAAATATTTTTGGTCCCTCTTGGCCTGTATGTTTTATGATCCACTACTATATTTGTCCTTATCTTTTCTATCTTGTTGTTTTAAACGGAAATGCCATCTCTCTCTCCGTGTGTGTAATTACTTCCCCTGCTTTTACTGCTCCCAGCCATGACAGCTTACTGTTTCAATCGTTGTTACTGCTGTTTTATCGATTTTATTATTTTATGTTTATAACTCAACCTTTTAGGGACTATTTTAGGGACTTTTAGGGATGCTAATCTGGTATATTTACATGTAAATGACCATAAATATGCATTGTCCCCTATTAAATAAATTATGAAAAAACTATAGTTTTGATGTTTCTTACTTGTCTTTAATCAATAATAAATAAGAAAGTGAATACGAAAAAACTATAGTTTAGATGTTCTTACTTATTAACTTTCTCTCCCTTTGCAGCACTGGTTGGAGTTTACAAAATCTATTGCCAAGCAAATGAAGTGTAAGTATTAATACTTAGCTTTTCTTAAACGTTTGTGCTAATAGTTTTATGTATTACCCTGGGCACAAATATATGAGGACTGATGAGATAAATAAAAATCTAATTAAACATTGCAAACAAACAAAATAAAAACAGTAACTGAGGTGACTGTTGATTATTTGTGCCCTCCTGTCTCAGCCCAGCCACCTTTCACCATGTGTTTGCGTGTCAAGTTTTATCCACCAGACCCAGCTGCTCTAAAAGAGGAAATCACCAGGTAGGAAATCATTGTGCATCTTGCAGGGGGTAGTGATGTTACTTCATCTCTGTCACCGATAAGGATCCATTCACAACGACCAAATGTAAAGGTTTTGGTGGGGTCATGAACAAGCATAGAAAAATACAATCATGTTCAATAACGTAAATAACATGAGAAAAACACAGAAAAAAAAGTATATCGATTATTGGAAAATTTATTTGTTTAAGCTGTTTATCCCCTAACCAAAAGTCTGGGACCGCTGGCCTTAAATCGTTAGAATATACTTATGTTTTGCTTTCATGTTATTACCTCACAGGCATCCATGAACTTCCTGTGGAAAAAATTTCAAGGCTTACTGTCTTTGAAGATTGCAGGACTGTTGAGTTTGCTTCATCACTGTAGAGGATGGACACAGCAAGGCAGTAATTTAAATTAGTTTGAAGATCCTCAGGGGAAAAAAGCCAAGTGGAGGACCCTATATGTGTTGTTATGTTGAGCTGGTGGATCCAGTGAGGGGGGTACCCAAAGACGCAGCCAGAGCTTTGACCCAAATTAGGACCCTAGCTGATGATGACTGCAGAGAAACTTTTAGACTGCATTTTAAAAATCAAAGCGCAACTTCATAGACACGTCTCCTCCCTCTGCATACACTCATCTGGTTGGCCTTATCAAAGGAACACCAAACATGAGGCATTGTAAGTTAGAGAAAACATTTATTTGAGCAACATGTATAATTTTATCATGATGGTCCAGATAGATCAATACTTTACTGTTGCAACAACACAAATTATTATTCCAATTTATATTGTTAAAGAAGATTGACTCTAGTGCATTTCAAATGTTTTCCTATAGCTTGAATTTTTCTATATTCTACTATATTACAACTAAACATTTTTATGTATTTCATATGACAGACCAAATCATTTATACCAAATATTTTATATAAAGTGAAAATGAGGCCTACATTTGCTTCCTATGGTGGCCCAGAGTACTTAACCCCTTCCAAAAGCCATAACTCAATTTGACCTGAAATGCAAGCCATTTACAATATGCAATAATCGACCTTTGTAAACAAAAGTTGAGGGCTGTTGCAATATCATGGAGGAATCTTTGGTTGCAGCTCTAAATCTGTTGAAAACCCAGCAGCAAGAAAATCCTATATTTATAGATAAATCATAGCAGTAACCACGAAAACTGCTAATAAATGTCAAATAAATGTAAGGTTACCAATATTGGTTGTGTTAAGCTATTAACGGGAAACTTGTGTGATGTACAAGGATGTAAAGAAAATAACTCAATAAATATGTAATGTTGGGGCTGTTGGTCTTTGCACTTGCTTCTTTTCTTTTTTATCATGAAAAAAATCCTTAAAATAGATCACCTTGCATTAATATTCCCTATTGAATCTTAATGTTGTGCATCTCCAGCAGCTACTAAATAAACATTTTTGGTCTGACAGAAAGCTCACTCTGCATATCATTTTTAAAGTACAATCTCAATAGGAAACCTGGCAGCATTATATAGGGACATTTTCTTTAGTAAGAAGAATACCCCTTTCCCACTGGCAGAAAAACCCGTTTAAACTCAGAAACAATCATTTTTTAGTGGCAGTGAGAAAAGCTCACTGACGAATGTCTATCCCGGTCAAACGGCTTGGCAAGCAACCCTCATTAAAATCGCCTCAGCTCCCATCGGCATGCTGTGGGAACAGCAGAGACGGGTGGAGCCGTTAATTTAGATGGCACCATTGAATGCAACGTATGGACTTCAACCCACCGCGCCAATAGAGTCTGATCAAACTAGCAGAACAACTCTATTTAATCATGTTTTTTCAAATGAGGGATGTTAATACATGATGATCAAAAATGGATGTATTTGATAGAGGTTGGAAACTAATTCTAAAGGGCTGTAGCTTCATCAAAAACCCAGAGCTACAATGGAAGGATTTAGATCAAAGCAGATGATTTGATTTTTTGAAGAAAAAAAAACTTCTTTCTGACAAACTGAGAAATTCTTCAAAAGACTTTAAGCTGTAAGATAAAAATCCAATTAAATGTTCTACAAACCCATAGGGACATAAAAATGCATGTTTTTATTTGTAAATAAATGCTGAAAAGAATCTTTCATTCCATAATAAATCACTGCAAAAAAACAAGGAGTATTGATATTATTGTGTTATCAATTTCAGATATGTGTGCTGATCGTATTGCCCATCTTAGGGGAGTACATGAAGGCGCCGGGGTTTACCATATCTAAGGCAGCAGCTCTAACTGCTTTCATGAGTAAAAAAAAAATTAAACTGATATGAGATCAACTATTAGACAGTAGCTGAAAAAGTGAATCACTGTGTTGGTTCCCAAACTTGGGGTTGTGGGCCCACTTGGGGTTTACAGGTAATCACATATGGGGTCTTTAGATCCTTTATAGCATAGGTCACGGATTAGCGGACCACAGTCCGGATCTGGACCCACCTGCTGGCTTATCCGGACCCAACCTGATTTAAAACAATTATAAATTACAGCATGTTGTCTGACTGCAGTGTCTAATTTCACTTGCACCGCTTCTCCTGATTGTACGGTAAAGCCCTCCTGAGAGCAGGCTGCACAGGATACAAATAAGCCAATGAGCTGTGTCAGTCTGGGTTGCAAGCTACTTTTAGACACAACAGGCAAACCTGTGGCAAGCTGGGTGGTGGGAAAGAAGGAGAAGATGATGAGAAAAAGTAAAAAGAAGGTGTGGACTGCTGGAAGAACTGCGGTGAACTTATAACAGAAAAGGGAAATGGCGTGCTCAAAGATGACCCTGTACATTTTGAGTACGTTTGGTACAACCTACTGCTGTGAAGCAGGATTCTCCACCATGAACATAATTAAAAAATAAATATCGATCCAGGCTCAAAATGAGCACCTTGATATGTGCTTTTGAATGGCTTTGTTGCCATTCAAACCCAGGTTTAAAGCCTTGCAGGGGAGCATAAAGCCCATGTCTCTCATTAAGTCATGAAAAAAGAAAATTCACATGTTTTATAAAAAATATGTGAATCAGGAAAATGTCTATATACCAAACTGTTTGGTCTATATACCAATTGTTGTTCTCTACTATAAAAAAAACACATTAGATTTTAAAATGGTAAAATGTTCTATTTTTTTTTATATTTTCTTTTATTTACAAAGTCTACTGATTTTTAATTGGTTACCCCTGCTTTGTAGAAATGAAACTATGAAAATAATGAGGAAGCAGCTTTATTTGTCTTAAGATATAAAAGCATATCTTAGAAAAACAAACAAAAACATTACACAAATACATTGGTCGTCACTGTTATTTTTATTTAGATCATAGATCAATCGATCTGTTAGAAATGTTTGTATTTTACTCAATTCCTTCTGGTTCTATTTTGTAGGTCAGGAACCAGAACATTTGGAAACCTCTGTTTTAGATCGTTTCATTTGGTTGCTTTATTTGTAATTCTTGGGTCAAAAATAACTGCTTATTAGCAGGAATCTTAAAGATTGATAATCTGTCATTTTTATTATTTTGAATACAAATTGTATCTAAATATCAGGACAGTGTCATGATGGGTGTCACAGAGAGTAAGCCCAAGATGCAGAACACACACAGAGGCACTGGTAAAAGTCCAAAGAGTTTATTAAAGTCACAAGCACATGAATCACAGTTCAGGCAGGGGACTGATTCGCTGGGGTCTGTGCGGGGAAAGGGAGATGACTGGATTTGAGCTTCCAGCTCACTGCAGGGAAACAACAGGGGAAATCCACATGGGAACCTCTTAGGGAAACTCCACAGGGGAAGTCGTCAGGTAGCATCCACGTAGAATTCTTGGGTTGGCTCACCAGGGCAGAATAGCAGGTTAGCTCTCCTAGAGCGTCAGGCTTGGGACTGGCTTCCTATGATGCAACTCTCCCAGAGCTGCAGGCCAGAGACAGGTTGCCAGAGAGACAGTTCTTCCAGAGCTCCACAAGGAAACAGGAGGTTAAGCTCATCCAGAGCTTTCACGAGGAGACAGGGGGTTTAGCTCATCCAGAGCTTTCACGAAGAGACAGGAGGTTAAGCTCATCCAGAGCTTTCACGAAGAGACAGGATTCCTGTGAGGCAGAGACAAGGAAGAATTATAATCTGATCTCACACGAGAGATAACAAAGATTCATCTGTAACAGAGGCTCAGGAAGCTAACCAACTAAGATCAACACTGCGGCGTGGAATCAAGGACAGGCAGGAGCTTATAAAGGAGAGGTCTTCTGATAAGAGGATTAGGAACAGGTGTGCAGGAAGGTTCCAGCTCCAGAAGACCCACAGCGCATCCTGCTGGAGACAGCGGGTAATCTCCAGATCCCCACAGTAACTCCAACCCTAAGGGAAAAACAAAGAGAGCAGAAAAGGATCCTCGGCGCCCTCTGGTGGGCAAGCCTGAGGATCCCAACAGAGCCCCCCCCCCCTCAAGGGCGGATTCCAGACGCCCCCTGAAAAAAAAAAAGTCCAAAAAACAAAAAACAACCCACCCAGGGCGGGCGGCGGGGGCACTAGGGCGAGGAGGGCCAGAACCAACAGAAAAAAAGGTCCAACAAACAAAAAACAACCCTCCCAGGGTGGGCGAAGGGGGAAACAGGCCAGGAGGGCAGAAAACAAAAACAGAGTCGAGAACAAAAAACGATCCACTTATGGTGGACGACAGCAAAAGAAAACCCAAAAACTTTCTTGGGCAAAGTCTCTGGTGGCCGGCCGTGGGACCGGCAGCAGGACACAGTCTCAGGTGGCCTGCCGTGGGGCCGGCTGCAGGACACAGTCTCAGGTGGCCTGCCGTGGAGCCGACGGCGGAGGCGTAGTTGCTGCTCAGAAGGTCGACCGTTGAGATGAAGGTGGAGCAGCGTCTTAGGGAGACCACCGCCGGGCCGGAGGCATGGTAGAGGTTCAGGAGGCCGGCCTACGATCCGGCAACGGAGCAAAGTCTTAGGTGGCCGGCAGCGGGGCCGAGGGCGACGCTGACACTCTGGGGGTCTGCCACGGGGTCGGTGCTGAAGATGATGCTCAGGGGGTCTGCCGCGGGACCGGAGGCGAAGCTGACGCTCAGGGGGTCCACCACGGGGCCGGAGGTGAAGCTGACGCTCTGGAGGTCTGCTGCGGGGCCGAAGGCGAAGAACCTTCTCAGGAGGAAGATGTCCAAACTTCAGCAGGTACCCCCACGGGGTACCCCGTCCCCTCCTCGGCAGCTCAGGCTCCGTAGCGACCGCGGCTCAGGAGGAGGCTCTGAGGAGACCGCCGAGTGCGGCTCTGGTGGAGGCTCTGAGGAGACCGTCGAGAGCGGCTCTGGAGGAAGCTCTGGGGAGACCGTCGAGTGCGGCTCTGGAGGAAGCTCTGGGGAGACCGTCGAGTGCGGCTCTGGAGGAGGCTCTGGGGAGACCGTCGAGTGCGGCTCTGGAGGAGGCTCTGGGGAGACCGTCGAGTGCGGCTCTGGAGGAGGCTCTGGGGAGACCATCGAGTGCGGCTCTGGAGGAGGCTCTAGGGAGACCATCGAGTGCGGCTCTGGAGGAGGCTCTGGGGAGACCATCGAGTTCGGCTCTGGAGGAGGCTCTAGGGAAACCATCGAGTGCGGCTCTGGAGGAAGCTCTGGGGAGACCGTCGAGTGCGGCTCTGGAGGAAGCTCTGGGGAGACCGTCGAGTGCGGCTCTGGAGGAGGCTCTGGGGAGACCGTCGAGTGCGGCTCTGGAGGAGGCTCTGGGGAGACCGTCGAGTGCGGCTCTGGAGGAGGCTCTGGGGAGACCATCGAGTGCGGCTCTGGAGGAGGCTCTAGGGAGACCATCGAGTGCGGCTCTGGAGGAGGCTCTGGGGAGACCATCGAGTTCGGCTCTGGAGGAGGCTCTAGGGTAACCATCGAGTGCGGCTCTGGAGGAGGCTCTGAAGAGGCCGCCGACTGCGGCTCTGGAGGAAGCTCTGAAGAGGCCGCCGACCGCGGTTCTGGAGGAAGCTCTGAAGAGGCCGCCGACCGCGGTTCTGGAGGAGGCTCTGAAGAGGCCGCCGACTGCGGTTCTGGAGCAGGGTCTGGAGCCGAGGAGCCCGCCAATTGCGGCTCTGGAGCAGGGGAGCCCACCGACAGTGGCTCCAACGCAGGAACATGCAAACCCTCTGACTGAGGATCCGCCTCAGGAACTGGGGAGGTCACCGATTGTGGCTCCACCTCAGGAACAGGAAACACCACCGACTGTGGTTCATCCTCAGGGGCAGGTGACACCACAGACTGTGGTTCACCCTCAGGAGCTGGTGGGACCACCGACTGTGGTTCCACCTCTGGAACTGGAGGGAACGACCATGGAGGCTCAAGTTCAGTCTCTGAGGAGGCGTGAGGCGTTTGTAGAGAGCTCTTGGCGATTTGTGGCCCTTGCTGAGGGGCTCCTGGAGGCATTCCTTCCCCAATTCCATTCTCTGAAGCCCTCTTAAGTGTATGCTCAGGGGTCTCTGGACGGCACAGGGCAGGCTCAGGGGTCTCTGGACGACACAGAGCTGACTCAGGGGTCTCTAGACGGCACAGAGCAGACCCAGGGGTCTCTAGACGGCACAGAGCTGACCCAGGGGTCTCTAGACGGCACAGAGCTGGCTTAAGGCGACGCCTTTTCTTACGCCGAGGAGTCTTTGGAGCTAAGTTAACAGGGTTACTGGCTGATTCTGGCAAGAGGCTAACTGTTTGAAAAATAAGGGTTCCAGAATGGATTACTGATTCAGAGGCTAGGTAATCAGGCACGGAAACAGGTTTTGAAACTAAGGTGACGGATTCGGGTGTCTGAACAGGCTGGCGGAGATCTCTAGCTGTTTGACGTGTAACTGGTGGGCCAATTTTGAGTTCTTTAACAGACGGAGCTAACTGACGATCGAGTAAATTAGAGCTGAGACTGACCTGGTGACGAAGGAAACTGGAATCCTGAGACTGAGGGTAGACGGCTCTGGGTCTAGTTGGCAGTTTGATGTCTAATCTGATGGCTAGCTCTATGAGGTCTTCAAGGTTAGTTGGTTTATCGTAAAATGATAGCTTATTTCTGACTGGGTCGTTTAGAGCTAGGAGATAAGTGGTATGGAGCGCAGACTCGTTCCACCCGGAAACGGCTGCTTTTTCAAGGAAATCAGAGGAAAACTCAGCAACGGTCCTATTACCCTGTTTTACATTTAGAAGGTAGCGAGGAACGGAGAACCATGTGACCTGATTAAAAGTTATTTCTAACTCCTGGGTGAAATTCTCAAAAGTGCAGCTTTCTCGGATATTTAGCGGAAATTTGGTCTCCGCCCATTCAAGGGCTTCATCAGACAAAAAAGAAATAATAAAGGCTATCCTATCTTTATCAAAACGAAAATTAGAAGCGTGAAAACTAAAAAATAACCGACACTGAAATAGAAATCCCTTGAGCTTACTTGGGTTACCAGAAAATCTCTCAGGTAGAGGAGGACCGGGTGACGAAAACGATGGAATGAGGTCTGACCAGAAAGGAGGGTTATCATCTTGACAGGGGAGTGACGGACGGAATTCAAGAAGTGACGGACCCAGAACCGGAAGTTGAACAGGCGCCATCTTGCGATTCTCACGAAGCCCGTGGGATCTTGAAACGATTGTTTTTTTAGAGTAAAACAGGGATTTTAACTCACGGAGGGACTGAGTGTGATCAGGAGTAGGAGCGTCCTGTTTCTCAGAGCTACGACGGGAGTGATCTGCTGGGCTTTGTGTTTGGCCGCAGTGTTCTGTCATGATGGGTGTCACAGAGAGTAAGCCCAAGATGCAGAACACACACGGAGGCACTGGTAAAAGTCCAAAGAGTTTATTAAAGTCACAAGCACATGAATCACAGTTCAGGCAGGGGACTGATTCGCTGGGGTCTGTGCGGGGAAAGGGAGATGGCTGGATTTGAGCTTCCAGCTCACTGCAGGGAAACAACAGGGGAAATCCACATGGGAACCTCTTAGGGAAACTCCACAGGGGAAGTCGTCAGGTAGCATCCACGTAGAATTCTTGGGTTGGCTCACCAGGGCAGAGTAGCAGGTTAGCTTTCCTAGAGCGTCAGGCTTGGGACTGGCTTCCTATGATGCAACTCTCCCAGAGCTGCAGGCCAGAGACAGGTTGCCAGAGAGACAGTTCTTCCAGAGCTCCACAAGGAAACAGGAGGTTAAGCTCATCCAGAGCTTTCACGAGGAGACAGGTGGCTAAGCTCACCCAGAGCTTTCACGAGGAGACAGGGGGTTAAGCTCATCCAGAGCTTTCACGAGGAGACAGGAGGTTTAGCTCATCCAGAGCTTTCACGAAGAGACAGGAGGTTAAGCTCATCCAGAGCTTTCACGAAGAGACAGGAGGTTAAGCTCATCCAGAGCTTTCACGAGGAGACAGGAGGTTTAGCTCATCCAGAGCTTTCACGAGGAGACAGGAGGTTTAGCTCATCCAGAGCTTTCACGAAGAGACAGGAGGTTAAGCTCATCCAGAGCTTTCACGAAGAGACAGGATTCCTGTGAGGCAGAGACAAGGAAGAATTAGAATCGGATCTCACACGAGAGATAACAAAGATTCATCTGTAACAGAGGCTCAGGAAGCTAACCAACTAAGATCAACACTGCGGCGTGGTATCAAGGACAGGCAGGAGCTTATAAAGGAGAGGTCTTCTGATAAGAGGATTAGGAACAGGTGTGCAGGAAGGTTCCAGCTCCAGAAGACCCACAGCGCATCCTGCTGGAGACAGAGGGTAATCTCCAGATCCCCACAGTAACTCCAACCCTAAGGGAAAAACAAAGAGAGCAGAAAAGGATCCTCGGCGCCCTCTGGTGGGCAAGCCTGAGGATCCCAACAGACAGAATTTGAACCTATAATAAAAACGCTACCTTATAATCTTGTGGAAGACATTTAATGAGTTGTGTGTCAAGAGTAAATAGGCTTCAACATTTACTGCAGACATGAAATTATTCCTAAGAATATCCTAAGCTCAGCACAGTGAGCTTGCGTGCAGTGGATTTAAGAATCTCTGTGATGAAGTCATGGAGCTTCTCTTCACTGCCACGCCATGTGGTATTTCTGACAGCTGAACAAACTGCTGTGAGGACTGATCCAGAGCTCTACCAAGTTCACAGATCCCCGTTAAAACCCATCCCTCGACTGGTTGCCATGCAATAAAATCTCTCCCCCACATTTGAGCTCCTCTTTATGAAGCAGAATACAAGCAAATGCGAGAGCCCCTCTATTTCTGCACCCATCTGTTCTGTCTGGAGACTTTTAAAGATCCTGAATCATGAAAGATAAATATCACCTTAGTTTTCACTGATGTTTTTGCTTTTAAAGACATTTAACTAACTATGACCAGTTTCGTACTTACTCTATTTACATAGCATATGTATTCTTGCCTTAAGCTCAGGTGATGGTTAACTCAGGATGAAACAGATATCATAGATAATTTCTGATTAAAGAATAAATTCAATTTACGGGTAAGACTGACAATTTTACTGCAACATTTGCACAGCTACAATGTTTATGAAATTGGGGCACGTAAACATTAGGTACATCAGGTGCAAAATCTGCCAAGAAAAAGAAGAAACTAAAAATTTCCTATGATGCTGTAGATCAGACCTAAAAACAGACTTACACTGCCTCGTTACATCATTGGAGATTCATACACTTTGCTTTAATATTGAAACAGGATCATCTATAGATCATTTTTGTTTTTATCAGGATTTCTTATCCTATGAATCTTTTTAATCAAATTATTAACACTCAAACTTTAAGTTTGCAGTGGATTTCAAATCAATGACAAAATCATTTTAGTATCTCTTCGTTTTGCTTTGCAGATATCTCGTCTTCCTGCAGGTTAAGCGGGACCTCTACCACGGCCGCCTCCTTTGCAAGACATCAGATGCAGCTCTGCTGGCTGCCTACATATTACAAGGTGTGATAAACTGGAAATAGTGTAATGAAACCAGATTACTTTATTCTTGTCGGCGTGTCACATCACCCAGCAGAGCTCCATGCATGGGAATACATCTTAATGTATTGACGATTTCTTGCATTTTTTGTTATGTCTTTTGGTGAGATCGATAAATTGAAAAAAACAGCAATTGTAACATTCAGAGTTTGACATCCATGTCCACTAAAAAGAAATCAAGGATTTATTTTTCAGACTGACTGTGATTCACCGAACAAAACTCTACTCTTACTAAAAAGAATTGAGTGGTTTTGCTGATGTTGGATTATTCAAATGCAGGCAATTGCAATACACTTAGAACATTTCACTCACTACACAGATGCCCTGTCAGCATTTAGCTTATTCTCCAACCTAAACACTCCCACTGCACCCATATATATTGTCCAAAGATGCTGCATGTGTAAAAGTACCTGAGGTTATCAGCCGCTAGTGCTTAAGTATTTAGGTATTCCTGTAAAGGCTAGTGATCATTTTCTATGTTTCTTAGTGGTAATGATGAAGTTGAATGTAGCTCCCCTGGAGTTCAATAAGGGATTCAAATCATTCTTCATTTAATGGGCATTTATTTAGCATTTAGAGTTTCGAGCTGTACTTAAATGCCAGCATAGGAAGGAAACACACAAAAACACAACAATTACCCTTACATTGTCACAGTATTGTGGGGAAAAAACATGGAAAGGTGCTTTTAAAGTGAAGAAAATACAGTGCAACATCCTCCCATATTGGACAGAGTCTTAATCAGCCTCTTACACCCAGTCATGTAATCTTTAGCCAATAATAGGTATTCATAATATTTATGCAGAATTTGCAAGCAGCATGTTTTACTCCTACACAAAATGTAGTACAAAGTATAAAATAAAATAAACCAACATAAGTGTGTGTGTTAAAAGTCTGTTCTGCATCTCAGTGCAGAGATATATTATACTGAATTACCTTGTGGTCCCCCAGTTTTCAGTATTGGGTCTGATAATTGCATGGTTTTTTCAGGTCACATCTCGGGTCTGAATTTTCAATTTCCTCAGGTAGAATAGGAAACTATATATTATGTTAAATATGCACAATATAATAATTGCAGACTAGTAAGCAGAGGCGGTTAATCCAGGTCCAGAAAGTAAAAACCCTGCCTAGTTTTCCTTCATTCTGTTCACATATCCAGGTGAATAGCTCCCAGTCTGTGTTGTGAAGTTGGAAATATAATCTGTTGGAACGGATCTCTGTACAAGGTTTTTCTTTATGCACCTGTATTTTCACCTCTGCAAGAAGTAAAATTCATTAATATATTCCGAAACTGTATCAACTTTTACTGCCTTTTATGCCTTGATATGGATTTTAGTGATAGAGAAGTGTGAAGTAAAAATGAACACTGAGAAAGGAAAAATATGATTCCACAGAAGTCAGCATTGATATAATGAAGAAAGTATAGTATCTGAAATGAGGGTAGTTCTACCTGATAAAGTCATTTTAAGATTAAATAATACTGTTGAAATATCAGGCTAATTCTAGAACCTTTAGTTCTATGCAGTTTTACAGGGATACTGTGTAAACCCTAGCACCTCACTGCCTCAAACATGTATTGAAGCCGTGGTAGCTTCCATGTGTGAAACAGCACAGATGTAACCCTGTCATCCGAAATGAAGTGAAGTCTCTACAAGCTGACATTTACTTTGACATAAAGCCAGAGTTGACTGTGGCTTCAAAAGCTACTAAACCAACATTAACCTACAATTCTGTTCCAACAAGATTGCTTATGTTTGCAGGATCTTTTGTTATGCTCTCTATGGTGACGAGCAACACAGTCTAATTAAAGCATACAGAAAAAGTTAGCCTTATGCTAATTTAGGCAATACAGTTCACTTACTTCTCCAGGAGAAACATGGAAACTTATGCATCCTTTTGAAAATCTTTCTACTTTATTGGCTCCTTCTACATGGAGAAGGTGTCATGGTGTGTTTAAAGGTCTGAACCAAGATGCAGAGAACCACTCAGAGGGCAAGGCAAAGGTTAAACAGGTTTATTGAGGAAAAGGTAGAAGGGGGGAATCTGGAACTCAAAGAACTGGTGAACAGGAACTAGGAATTCTGGAGAGGTAATGACAATGATTAGTTCAGGGACCGTGGGAATCTTGGGTGCCGTAAAGATAATGCTAGTGAGGGACTCACGTTTGGGGGTTTCTTCTCTCACTTTTAATCCAGTAAGTGTGGGTTGATCCAGAGAAGAGGGGACACGTTGAAGAGTGGACAGGTAAATATTCTTTGGACCCGGAGGAGCAATGGAGCAGACTGTCACTTAGATTTCCAGGAGAACTTGAACGGCACATGTGGAGATTTATCCCCTGCTCAGTGTGAAGCTCAAACAATCCTTTCAGGGGAAGAAGGCCCAAACATCCAGTTTGCATCCCGTGCTCAATGTGAAGCTCAAACGGTCCTTCCAGTGGGAGAAGACCCAACATCCAGTTTGCAGGGTGACTTCCTGCCGAGAGGCAAAGACAAAAAAACAAGGTTAAAGTTCAGAGAGACAAAGACTCAGTTAGACTCAGTGAAACAAGGACTCAGGTTAGACTCAGCTAATCTAAGCATGGCTAGAGTACCCAAAACTGGCAAACACTCTGGCAGCGAGGTAGTGACAGTCCACTGCTTAAGTACTCCTCCAGATGATCCAAAGAGCCGCAGGTGTGCAGGGAGGACCAACAATGACAGGGTGCCACCTGATGGTGGAGGGAGAGACAGACCACACAAACTGGATTCCTGACAGAAGGTTTTCTTGATGCTATCCACATTTTTTTATTCTTCTGTTTTTTTTTTCTTTTAAGTTTTCTTTTTTATTTTCTTTTGGATGGTGAAACCATTTCTTGTGCTGCTGTCGGGTATGCGTGGTCCTGCATGGTGCTGCAGTAGTGCAGACTTTCAGTTGTTGGTTTAGTGTCTCCAAATGATCAACACCGCCACACTGAACTGCCAGCAAGTGGAAATGTGTCTTATCCCGCTTCCAAAACGTGTGACTAGCCCAATGTATACAATAATAGAAAGTTCTTTGCTCATAAAAATATATCTGATTATTTGTGGAGGTAATAATACACCAATAATAACACATATCTAAATGCAGTCATCGATTTAAGGCAGCAAAAAATAGAAATTGTTCCTAATGTTCCTTTACACCTTTCTATGCCTGTGATACTTCAGCATGGATGTAGAAATCTTAAACCTTAACTTCTCTCTTCTGCTGCTTAATGCAAAAATGCTGGAAATTTTTTCAGCTAAAAAAAACTGTTGCATTGTGATAGCAGATGGAAAGATGGTAAATTAATATTATACCAGTCTATTAAATCTGCTTTTTTTTCCATTTTAGAAACATTAGAAAACTCAGATCAGTCATTTCACTTAACCAAGCTCAGAGAACAGTTACACAGTCTTCTGCAACGTCTAACTCCAGATACTGGATTATTCAGTTAGAGTTTTTAAGTAAAATTTTATTGAGAGTATAACTCTTGTATGGTCAGTACTTCTCTGACATGTTGTGCTTTTGTATTTCCCTATTTTGATGTTTGATCATTTTTTTTATATTTATTATGAATGCACAGATTTATTACAAGTCTTCACTAAAAAGCCATTATCATTGAACATCTGTCTTAGAGAGATATTTAAGGGTCTTCAATTAAAGAAAATAATCTGCAGACTCACATTTCATTACCGTCTTTCTTTTTATTTCTCCAGCTGAAATTGGAGATTATGATCCTGGGAAACACCCTGAGGGCTATAGCTCCAAGTTCCAGTTCTTCCCCAAGCACTCAGAGAAGTTGGAGCGACGAATTGCTGAGATTCACAAAACTGAGCTGATGTAAGGTGACACCCACTGGGATGCTTGTGCACCTGGGCTCCACTCCTCCTCTCTGTAGAGGAAAAATCCCATGTGGACCCGCTGACTCAAAGCCTCCAACTAATCAATTCTTCATCTATATTCGCTTCAGTGTTTTCTGTGTGTTTACCTTCTGGTTTATCTTAATGTAAAAAAAAATACATAATTTCCACAGGCAGGGACCTCTGTACAGTCCATGTTTCAACTAACATTATTATTTTTTTTATTTTTTTGTTTGTTTGTTTCTTGTTTTGCCAAGGGAAATAGATGTCCCAGTGCTGGCTGATAGCCCAACAGCTTTCCTTTGACAAACAGACCATTATGACTGTTGCCATAAGGCTTGATAATTGTATAAGAAACTTTATTGAAATAGACTTAGGGAGTAAATTGTATACAACAGACATGGAAAGAGGGGTGAGAAAGAAAGAGAGGATAAGAACTAAGGGGAGAGAGGAAGAGAGAGTGAGAGAGAGACAGGAAAGAGTGCAAGAAAATAGAGACAATTTAACAAAACAACAAAAATACACAACACAGAAGATATATAGTAACTCCTACAAGTCTGCTTCCACACCTGTATGAGATGAGAGGAGCAGAAAACAGAGCATAAAAGTAAAAAGAAGACAACAGACAAGCAAAGTAAACACCAACAAAAGCATCAAGAGCTGCGGGTATCCTTTAGATATCCATGTGTGGAAGGCAAAACCTATGATGGTTACACAATGTTATTCATGGTGGTTTATATCCAAACAGTACCAGGCATTCAAAATGGCCCATCCCAGTCAAAAGCCTGCTGGATGACTGCTGGAACTCAGACGGAAACTCAGTTATATACATCTATATACATGTAGTTTATATATCAATGGATGGATAGATAATTCCAAAATAATACTGTGAAACTGCTTTTGTTACCGGTTCACTCTACAGGTATGAAATAAACCATGGCTGGGGCATTCCTTGGATTTATATTGTGCTGCATATGTAGCGTCTTAAAGAAAATAGGCATTGATTTTATCCTACAGTGCCCCCTATTGATTTTTAAATATGTTTTATTATATAAAGTACAGACTTCCTTGGTTTTCAATCTTCACACCTTTTTTGAAAAAAGGGGAAGATTAAGAATAAAAAAGGGTTAAAAATAACTTGTACCTTTAGCAGTCCTTCATACTGTTAAGTATCAGAGATCGAAGGCTGCATGTGCAGGAGATTGATCTTTTTTCTATTACGCTCAGTATGACTACAGCAGCTGTGGCATTGCTTTATACCCTTTAAATTATTATTATTTTTTATTGTGCTAATGCTTAGTTTAGGTAGAATAGAATAGAATAGGAGAGAATAGAATACAATAATTTTACAGTCTTTCAGCAGAAAAGACTGTAAAAATTAAAAACAATTATGACAAAACATTGAAATAAAGGAGAAGAAATTAATTTAAATACATGTTGTTTTCAAGTTAAACTTATACTTGCTCTATGTGTTGAGGATTTCTTTCCTTGTATTTTTGTTGGCTGTAGAGCCAAGCCGCTGCTAGAAGAAACCCTCTAGTCTACTAAAACATTTTAGTTGAACCAGATACACTATTAATCGATTTGTTTTTTCCCAGAGGTCAGACTCCTGAAACATCAGAGCTCAATTTCTTGCAAAAGGCCCAGACTCTAGAGACGTATGGAGTGGACCCTCATCCATGCAAGGTAATCTTTTCATTCAAAACAAAAACTAAACATTAAACAATGTGTTTATCATTGTTAGATCTTATGTATTTATTTCTTTTTTGATACTTTCATTTACTTAAACATTTTGGATTAGTTTTAATGCCTGACTGAAACCATGGTATTGTTCTCTTTTTAGGATGTGTCTGGAAATCCTGCTTTTCTGGCTTTCACTCCGTTTGGATTCACTGTGCTACAAGGAAACAGGAGGGTCCATTTCCTCAAATGGTAAGCATAGATAAGATATTTATCCAAGTACCTGGACCAAAACAATCACATTAAGGCTCTCCTTCATATCAGTTCAATCACTGCGGATTTTTGTTTCCTTTTAAGAGGACAAATGAGTCAAGTAGTTGGAAAGTAGCATGTTCCAGAGAAAACTGGTTTAACAGTTATTGGTAACTTATTCTGGATCCTTAAGCCAATTAGACGAACTATTCCTGTTGAACTCATCCTCCATGCTTCTTACATTAGAAAGTTTCAAAACACTTGGAAACATTCATTTACATCCAAATCCAGACATTTTCCCCAAAGTTGTCTCTTTCTGTGTCTTTATTTGCTAACATTTCTCCTTTTTTCTGCTTTCCTAATTTGTAATTCCTTATTCTTCTCCAATTTGCTCTTCGTTATCTATTCTTTCTACACATCAGGGAGGAGGTAACCAAACTCAAGTTTGAGGCAAAGACATTCCATATATATGCAACTCAGAATGAGGTATGGGAATTCTTCACAAAAAGCATGACAACACAGATCTTTACAGCGCTGAAAGCAAATTAGTTTTATTCTTTGGAAGCATTTGTGCTACGTATAAAAGTCTAATAAGCCATGAAGTGTTTAATGCGACTTTAAGTTAATGTTGGTTATATTTATATGTTACAGGACAGGAAGATTATACTTACTTACTTTGCACCTACACCAGAGGCCTGTAAGCATCTGTGGAAGTGTGGAGTAGAGAACCAGGCCTTCTATAAGTAAGTGACAGGATATGGATATCTATTTTGGAATTTTAGATGAAATATTAATACAAAGTATGACAAAATTATGTTGTTAAAGGAAAATAATGCAGCTTATAAACGGCTTAGTTTTTTTATTCTTATGCCATTTCTAGGAAGTCCTTATGGCCTTGTATTCCTTTTCTCTGCTGTGATTGCAATGTTTCCCTTTGCATGAATCTATGACACCCAATCCAAATAAGTTACAATACAACATTTATGGCTGTAACCAAATTAAAAAACGAAAAAGTTCAAGGGGTCTGCATACTTTGGCGAGGCTCTCTACACTGGATTCATTCCCCTTTGTTGGCTCACAGGTTAGAGAAATCAAGTCAAGTTCGCACTGTTTCCAGTGGCAATCTCTTCTTCAAGGGTAGTCGCTTCAGATACAGGTATACAAAGAACCTTTATGACTGAATCATTTGTACAATTAAGAGTTTCATTTTTGTATTAGGAACAAATCTGACTGTTTGGAAAGATTGTTAACAGACTGGTGTGTCATTCTCTGTTTGGTAGTGGAAAGGTTGCAAAAGAGGTTATGGAACAAAGTGCCAGAATCAAGAGGGATCCCCCTGAGATCCACAGGTCCTTATTTCTATTTAACAATCCAGTTATTATATTTTGCTTTATTTGGGTAAATATTTTTTTTATATCTATTCATGTGTAATTTTTTATATCTATTGTTTGGTTTGTTTGGTTTTTTTGGTGCCAGGGCTGGCATGGTTCCCAGCAGGAGTTGTCCATCTATTACTCACGGTCCCCGTTTGACCAGCGTGCCGAGAACCCGGAGGAGAGCTGTGCACATCTCCATTATGGAAGGTTAGCACACTCACACACGTCACAAACAAAAATATTAGACTAAAGGGAAACCTTAGCAATGCTGAGCAATAAATGATTCAGCATTTACTAAGAGTATTAAAAAGATTAGAGACTGGTTAACTACATTTTGGACAACCTCCCTATGTTAACAGAATAGAAAAGAAAGGCTACTGCATACTGCAAATCTTATTTATTATTATTATTAATGCTTAGACAGATTGATCTTTAAATAATGTTTGGAAACATTTGGAAACACACATTTTTATTTAGCAAACATTCCAATAGTATGATGCTACCACCACCTTACAACACCATAGGGACGGAGCATTTAGGGTGATGTTAGTTTTCCTCAACATCATATTCCAAAAGAAGATTTAATTTTGGTCTCTCATTCTGCTTGTTAGCTGTGCCCCTTACATGGCTTGCAAAAACATTTAACCTTAAACCTTGGCGTTTCCCACCACTGCTCTCCCGTAGAGACATGAGTCACAAAACAAATGGTTGTCACAGTCTCTTTTATCTTAGCTGTTGATTTCTGTATCTCTTCCATGGTTACTCTGGGCCTTTTGGCTGCCTCTCTGATCAATGCTCTGCTTGCCCAGTTTGTCAGTTAAGATGGATGGGCATTATTTAGTATTACATGTCTACATCAAACGTAGGGTCATTTTATCCCATTTTAATGGACATATCCCTGCATGGTCAAAGCAGACTTCAGTATGTTTCCTTTCAGTATTAGCTGGCTCCCTGGTGTGTCCCTAATTCTATGTATTTTATATCAGCCTTTCTCTGTTGGATGTGCAAAATCAGAAGCAAGCACGCATCCATCTTAAGGCACCCATCAGCCTGCTCTCTCAAGCATTGATTTTGTCATGAGAAAGTCTTGCTGTCACTTTATAAAGGCCGCTTACTGTCCCCTCTCCCACCCAATTGGCTATTAACCTTTAGCCAGTGCTTTCACTGCAAGAGTTTTTCCTTATTCGAACAGCTTGTTTAGACTAATAAACTTTTACCAGTCTATGGAGCATTGAATGCAGGTCTTTTGTCAAGCCAGTCCACCTCTCATCACGGGCATGGAGTACAGGGTTTGTCAAATGAATGCAACAATACATGTCCCCCACATGGGTTTTGTTCCTCTTGTATTTCAGCTGGTAATAATATCACAACCTGAAAATAGCTCCTGCTGTCAGAGGTCAGGCTGCGTATGTCCCAGCTGATAGGAGGGAGGCGGGTATGTGGACTGTGGAAGTAGCAGGTGGGATTTCATAGCCTTGTCTGTCACTTTCTCATTGTTCTGCCATTCGTCTATCTCTGCCAACTTGCCGGGCAATTTTTTGTAACCAACCGACCCGAGACAGGAGGTCTGCTCACTTTCTGTACTCTGAGGTAAAATTCGACAGCAGGAAGGTAAAATCAGGACAGGCAGCAAGAAGAAAGGCAAGGTTAAATAACTAGCTGAACATTTGCCTTGAGGTTAGGCTTTCTTTGTTTTTTCTTTTCTTTTCATTTTTTAAATTTGTATAGTAAAATCATGGTGAAGTGCTTGATTCGGATCAAGACGAAGGTGAACGTTCACCTACGTATGATCAACCATTGCTATCGGGAAGTTAAGGTCCGCGTGTTATCTATGGGACCCAGGCTCCTAGGCAAAGCTCTGGGGGTTCTGCCACTTTTCCCAGCCCTCCCTGGAGGATCTTCTACCTCAGGATCTGTTTCTGGGTCAGGACATAACTCCAAATCTCCCTCCAGGCTGGCTGTCCCATCTTTCATGCATGGTTACAGTCATTTACAAGCCAATTCTGCAGGTAATATCCCAAGCTGGTCGGGTTTAATGGACGCTTTGTGTTATTTTGGCTAAGAGCTGTGTAAGTGGATAGGAGAATACAGCCAAGAAGACCATATGTTCATAACAGTTTTTATACGCGGGGTAAATTCCAAGGTTATTACAGAAAAAAAAAAAACCAGAGGAAAAAATGGCAACAAGCTGTCTGAAAATCTGACCTATCCACTCAGTTATTATGTATACACTGTGTGACTGTAGCTAAGGGCAGATGTTATTAAGCTAAAGTGGTCCAAGAATAGAAACTTGAGGAGCCCAACATGTGATTGTTTGGTCTGTGGCGGCTGGTGGAGTTTTCTCCAGGGGGGGCTATAAATTCAAAAAAAGATGTATAACCAAAAAAAAAAATCAAACTTATACTAAGTTATTACACCAGTATATTTATATGAATGCAAATAACAAAAAAAAATTATAAAAACTTGATAAAAACAAAACATAATTTCATTTACAGGTTTATTTTTTGTACAACATTCTTGCCCTTCTGAGGCTTTGTGAAGATAAATTTGTGTTTTGCATGCTCCAATATTGTGTGACAAACCTACAAAAAAAAAAAACGCCCTAGCGCCCTCTATTGGTCAGCTGCCACTGTGTTTCGTCATTTGTTTATAACTGCCAGATGAAACAACCAGTTTGCCAAATGAGACCTGAACCAATTTAGCATATCAGTATTTTAGTTAATCAACAAGCATGTTATGAAAAACTGTGTTAATAAGTGTTATTTATAAAACCTTTTCCAGTGCAGTCTTTGTGCTGTCAGATGTGAAAAATTCAACAGAACAATATAAGTGATTGTATGTTTTTATCAAAAATTAGTAAATTAGTTAATACATTTCCTTCTCATTTCTTTAACAACTTTAGGCTAGTTATAACCCTCTGATTAAATATTTTGGAGGCATCCTTCTTTAAAGAATATATCCACAACATATCCACAACAATAACTAAACAAAGTAGGAGAGAACTGGATTATTAAGCTTAGAATAAAAAGATACATGATGAATAGCAAGATTTGAAAAGGTAAATCCTTCATTACAGTGGTAAGTTAAAATAAAAATAAATGAAAACTGAAGTTTTTGTAATGCAAAACTTGGATCACAACAATTTCTTTATGTGATATGGGTCAGATAGATAAAAAAATATTGGTTTTAAAATGGAAAAAAAGCAAAAATATTAAATAAAAAATGCAGGTGTCTATTATATATATATATATATATATATATATATATATATATATATATATATATATATATATATATATATTAACAAAAAAAAACTTTCTCACCCCTCGTGGGGTGGTATGTGTCATCCTCAAGCTCGGGTCCTCTACCAGAGGCCTGGGAGTTTGAGGGTTCTGCGCAGTAGTTTAGCTTTTCCTATATATATATATACCGTATTTTCACGACCATAAGGCGCACCGGACTAAAAGGCGCACTCTCAGTTATGTGTCCCATTTCTGTATTTAACACACACATAAGGCGCACCGGACTATAGGGCGCGTTTTTTATATACAGGTACAAGTCCTCTACTACCTTTAAATAGCTCTACTGCGTATTTAAAAATACAGCGGGGGCAAAACTGAGTATGACTGTGCTTTATTCATGTATTTATTACAAAGTATTAATCAAACCTGGCAGCTGGCCGTGAGACAGAGACATCGCAGATGACACAGCGCTGTGGTCACTCCTAAATTAACTTAAAATCCTGAAACCTGCTGACGGAATATGTTCGCTTTTATTGCCGGTATCCTGGTGCCTGCAGCTAAAATTATTTAGATGAAAAACACCTGCCAGCAGCCGCGGTGAACCCGGAGGCTGCCCAGCCTACAGGCTGCTGATGAAGAGATTTCTGCTGTCAGCGCACCGCTGGTATGTGGGGGTCTGAGCGCCTCCGACAGAAATAGATAATCTGGATGAACTGACTGCAATTATGAAGTTTTCAGGTGGACTTTCTCACTTAAAAACATATTAAAACTACTTTATTCCCACTGATCACAGCAAATATAGCTGCAAGATTTAGATTATTTAGATGAAAAAACACCTGCCAGCCACCGCGATGAAGAGGAGGAGACGCGCCGGGGATGCTGTTGAATTAAGTTTTCAGGGAGAAAAATACAGCGGGAGCAAAACTGAGTATGATTGTGCTTTATTCATGTATTTATTACAAAGTATTAATCAAACCCATCAAAGTCATCATCCACTGTTTCTGAATAAAACAGCTGCGCTAAATCAGACATGCCAGTTTCCCCTTCTGCGCTGTCAGTCACTTTCCGTGCAGCGCAGCTCCTCAGAAATAATGCCTGCTTTTGCGAAAGCTTGAACAACAGAGCCAGCAGACACGTTAGTCCAAGCATCTACAATCCATCCGCAAACTGTGGCGTAATCTGCCCGGCGCTGCCTTCTTATCCTGAAACTGTGGTCTCCGTCGGTCATCCATCGCTCCCACGCCGCTCGCAGCCTTACTTCGAACGGCTGCTTCACACCGATGTCGAGCGGTTGAAGCTCCTTTGTCAGACCCCCGGGATAACGGCGAGCACAGCGTTCATTTGATTCACCTTTTTTCACATCGGCTGTGAGATGGGCACGCAGCGATGGTGATGCGTGGAAAAAACCACCTAGTCTTCTCACATACACCTGCCTCAGCCACGCATCCATCCAGCCTTTTCCATTTGCGTTAATATCATATGTCATCAGAGCGCTGTCTGTCTCGCTGGCAGCTCCCAGATCAGCTTCTCTGATTGGTTGATGCGGCGCGTCCAGCAGCAAAACTTCAATTTTTCCATCTCGAGCAGCAGAAGCGCGGCGCTTCAGATGCTTAAACGCTCCCGACGTGCTGCACCAAAATGCGCTGCGGGACCTTTTGCTGCACCTATATGCGCGTCAACCATTGACTTTGCATGTAAACTCGCTGCTTCTGCTGCACCTGCTGGGTCCGGTTCACACCGATGTCGAGCAGCGTTAATTTGTTTCCCCATGTTTTTCACATCAGCTGTGAGATGGGCACCATGGAGTTACATATTAACAGCGATGGTGAGGGGTGGAAAAAAAACACCTGGTCTCCTTACATTCAGCCACTCTTTCATCATCTCCTCAATGAGGTGGTCTCAAAAGTCGCAGTTACAACACACATAAGGCGCACCGCACCATAGGGCGCACCGCATATTTTGAGGGGAAAAAAAGACGTTTAAGTGCGCCTTATAGTCGTGAAAATACGGTATATATATATATATATATATATATATATATATATATATATATATATATATATATATATATATATATATATATATATATATATATATATATATATATATATATATATATATAAATATATATATATATATATATATATATATAAATATATATATATATAAATATATATATATATAAATATATATATATATCTCCTTGTATAGTCCACAGATATTAGTCAGGATGTTAGACAAACTATACAAAGTATAAAAGTATATAAACAAAAATATAAACAAAAGTGATCTTTACAAAATTTTTACATTTTAATTTAAGGTAAATTGGAGACCCACCCTCTACACTTAAAAAAAAAGGCCCATACTTTTAAACATGTTCTTAATGTTTTCATATTTCTTATGAATGGATGCCCTAAGATTAAGAGTTTTGGTGAACAGATAAATGCCAACAAATATCTGTCTGCCTAGAATTACCTCACATGTCAACGGAGCGTGCATCGCCATAAGCTCTCACACATTGATGAGAAAACAGATTGAAATATGAACAAAAATTGAACTTTTAAACATATTCTTAACATTTTGTCAGAAATGATCTAGAATGGTGTTCATAACAAATGCAGAGAATATATTCACTGGACACTGATTGTAGCACATCAACTGAAACATTTCTCCATACAAGTAAAAATCATATTTATTTAAATGTATCTGTCCACCAAAAACTCTTACATTTTAAGCACATCCCTGCATAAGAAATATGAAAACATTAAGGATAAGCTTAAAAAGTTCCCTTTTCGTTCATATTTCATCTTTTCTCATCAGTGTGCCAGAGGGTAGGTAATTCTTGGAAGGCAGGTATTTCTCGGCATAACACCAGTAAGAGAAAATGTGGACTAGCACGTAGGACGAGATGGAAACATATCGGCAGAATGATTGACAATTAGGAGGACCACTTATTTTGATCATCCACCCGGAAAAAGAACATCCTCCACAATACATTTAAGTAATAAAATAATAACTTGCCACAGATGCAAATAAACTAGGTAGGTAGGTAGGTACAGCGCCACCAAATGTAAAACATGTTGGTAGTAGTATCAGTACTTCTTGGGATTTTTCATGAAGATGTATGAAATTAAGAGCATTTCTGAAAGCATGTGTTGGAAGCAAAATATTCAGACGCTTGCAGAGATATTCAATCATTCAGCTTCATTGAGAGTTAAAGCATGCATAGAAATTAGATGGAATGCTCTTTTTTTATTAATGTGCTTTATCAAATTAGTTCACTTATGCAACCAGGTTAGGCAACTGATTTTATTTTGCACTTACTTTTCATTATTCTTTTTACCTGAATTGTATATAAATCATTATGATGGTTATAAAAATATTGTGGTTATGAGAGCACAATATTGAAAAATATTTCCTCCCAACTTTGAGTCTTAAGGACTACTAAAAGATGAGGAGGAAGACAATGATGGATTAGAGGCTTTGAAAACAAGCCAGTTATCAGAAAAAATAAAATAGGCCACAATAAAGCTTAATTAAATCCTTTATTAAAAAGTAAATAATGAAACTAAACCAAACCTGTCGCAGACCAAAATTCTAACCAGGACGAGATTCATTTTGGAGTTGGATAGGGTTGAAGGATAACAGTAGGATATTAGTATGGACGCAGCAGAGTGAGTTGTTACTTTAACAAAAAGGGGCTAAAATGAAAATGTTGACATTTTTTATTATTATTAAAAGTAATAAGTAAGAGCATTCTAATTATTTAACCCTGATAGCATACGGACATGGGCCACTTAAAGCAATAATCCGGCACTGTAGATATTCATCTGGCCCATACAAAATAGATTTGTGAACCTTAAGTTTCCCACGTATTGTTCTGCAAATGTCGTCTAGCTTTAACGAATCTGGACAGAAATATGGCAAGTAAGAATCCGCTTATCTGGATGCGAGCCTAAAGGGGCCCACATATAGCTCTGCACTTGTGACCCACCTTTACCAAATCACATTTGGAGCATTCTTGGCCAAAGTATGACAAGTAAGCATCCACTGATTTGCCATGTTAATGACAGAAAAAGAAGTACCCAATAAATTAGATTTAGAGTTTGGGTTATTACAAAAGATGGCTGCATATTTGCAGAAACTGTGAATCTGGACAGATTCAGTCATCTTTTACCATCACTCTACGGACTCTCTTGGTTCACTGTTAGCTGAACAACCTCTGAAGGAAGAAAAAAAAATGCCCTTGTTATGTTTTAATAATCCACCTTTGTTTTCTCAGGTTTGGAGTCTCTTCGAGACAGTGCCCACTCCACACCAGTGCGCTCCGTCTCCCATGGCGACTCCTTCATGTCCAGCCGGGGCCACCTGGAGGACAGCAGTGAGGCCAGCACGTCAGGAGTAATCTCCGATGAGACCTACAGCCCCTCGGACAGCGTGCTGCCCACTCCTGTAGCAGAGCATGGGGTGGAGCTTCCTTCAGCTCGCCACCTCAACGGCTCACCCTGCAGCATCGATGAGGAGAAGGAATCGGAGGCGAGGGCTCTTAAAGAGGGGCAGGCAGGGGAGTTCAGATCCGGAAGGAGAGCAATGGGTGAGGTCCGTAGCAGGCCTTCACAAGGTGCTGATGTAGAGGATCTTAACAAGTTCATCCTGAGCGTGCTGCGTCTGTTCCTGGTCACTATCGGACTGTTGTTCGCCCTGCTGCTGCTGCTCATCATGTTGACAGAGTCCGACCTGGACATCGCCTTCCTGAGAGACATCCGCAAGACACCTGAGTTCCAGCAGTTTCATTTTGAGTATTTCTGCCCTCTCCGGCGCTGGTTCGCCTGTAAGTTGCGATGGATGGGTAGTTTTCTTATTAGCAAATGAAGTGAAGCAAGTGAAGAAAGTACACAACTAAACACAGACCTCCGGTGATGGACATGGAATATGTGGAAATAACAGGAGAGAAGGGAGAGGAAGGCAACAGCTCTGATTATGTTGGCTCCGCTTCTCCCAGGAAGAAGTTCCTGTCACAAGCCACAGACTGCCATAATTATTATCTATGACTATCACTACATATGTAGGGGAAGAAATCTCACTTTATTTTTGTGATTCAGGTCATTTCAAGGTATTTTATTTTCACAAAAAGTCCCAATAGCAGGGTGGATCAAAGATTTGATCCGGGTCTTTCAGGTTGTGTTTGGTCAGCCAGAGATCATAGTTGCCTTTATTTTTCTATTCTTTATACTTTATAACATTGCTGTGAGAAAGGTCAACTAGAATGTTTGTGGTTATTTTAATAGGATAGTTCTGGTGAGAAACAAAAGGGACAGAAAAGCTGATTGTTTTGCGCAAACCAACTGTAATGGATTACTGTAGTGGAGATGGATGGACCCAAAGACAACCCGCAAACAGGTCAGTGAAACGTTAACAGTCTTTATTTAAGAGAGAGGGGGCGGCACGGACTCCCGGGAAGAACGATCAGGCTCAGCGACAGGCAGCTCCTATAGACAGAGTGGTGGATAGTGACCAGTGGGGGCAGGCAGATGTTTGAGTAAGGAACTTGGTCACTAACCTGGCTACAAGAAGGCTCGGTTGGGCTCAGTCCGGTTTCAGGAGAGGAGAGAGTCCGTGCTGGGGAAATCCTAGGTTCGGTCCGGGTCTTGACGAGGGGGGAGTCCGTAAATCCAGCGAAGGTATCCAAGGGGGAATCCAGGGGAAGTTCCGAGTCCAAATCCAGTTCAACATCCACAGAAGCAAACACAGTTCAAAGGGGCAGGCAATCTCGGTAACTCACAGGCAGGCTGGGTCAGAAACACGGTTTGGCAGTCCAGATCTCTGAGGCTGACGAGCAGGGCTCAGGCGGGCAGACAAAAATCCAGAAAGGGGGTAAGGCAGGCTCAAAAAACTGGGACAAAAACAGGTCGAGGTTCAGACAGGCAGATGCACGTAAAGAATAGGCTGGAAGTTCTCACCAAGAGGCTTGAGACGTTCTGGCACTGGAGGCAGGAGGGACAGAGCTTTTAAGCAGGAGGGGAGGAGAGAGAACAGGTGCACTGATTGCAATTAGCAGCTCCAGAGCCAGGAACATTACAGAGCCCCACCCTCAAGGGCGGATTCCAGACGCCCTAGGCTGGTCCGGGTGGGCCCTGTGGAAATCCCTAATAAGGGATTTGTCCAAGATGTGGCGGGCAGGAACCCACTGACGCTCTTCGGGCCCATAGCCCTCCCAATCAACGAGGTACTGGGTACCACGACCCCACTTACGGGACTTCAGGAGCCTCCTAACAGAGTAAACCGGGGAGCCATCAACCAGGCGGACGGGCGGTGGGGGCGTGGAGGAGGGAACCAAACTGGAGGTTTTGACAGGTTTGACCCGGGAGACATGAAAAGTGGGATGGACCTTCATGGTGGGAGGGAGGCGGAGGCGTACTGCCACTGGGTTGACCACCTTGGAGACGGTGAACGGTCCGACGAACCGCGGAGCCAACTTCCTATTGTCGACCTTCAGGGGAAGGTCCCTGGTGGAAAGCCAGACCCTGTCTCCCACCTGGTACTGCGGGGCTGGAACTCGCCGGAGGTTAGCTGCACGGACCTGATTTTGGGAGGCCGCGTGTATGGCTCTCTTGGCCCGCCTCCAGGCACGCCGGCACCTCATGGCAGAAAGGCGGGCAGAGGGGACCCTGGACTCTACCTCCTCAGTAGTGAACACCGGCGGCTGGAACCCGAAAACGACGTAGAAGGGGGAGAGACCTGTAGAGCTGGAAGGGGTGGCGTTAATCGCGTGCTCGACCCAGGGCAAATTCAGAGCCCATTTAGAGGGATCAGACTGGCAAAAGAGGCGAATCTTGGTCTCGACCTCCTGATTCATCCTTTCAGATTGGCCGTCAGTTTGGGGGTGGAAGCCGGAGGAGAGGTTAACGGAGATGCCGAGCATGGCACAAAACTCCTGCCAATAACGGGCCACAAACTGGGGACCCCGATCTGACACAATGTCAGAAGGCAGGCCATGTAACCTAAACACCTCCTTGGCCAGGATCAACCCCATCTCTTTGGCTGAGGGGAGCTTGGGTAAAGGGACCAAATGGACCATTTTGGAGAAACGGTCCACAATTGTGAGGATAACTGAGAAGCCGTCGGAGGAGGGGAGACCAGTGATGAAGTCCATAGAAAGGCTGGACCAAGGCCGAGAAGGGATGGGCAGAGGTCGAAGCAGACCTGACGGAGGGCGACGGGAAGCCTTAGCCTGATTGCAGGGGGAACAGGCAGAGACGAACTCACCGACGTCTTTGGCCAGAGAAGGCCACCAAAACTGAGATCGGATGAGCCGAATGGTTTTGTTGATGCCAGGATGACCATAAAGGCGAGAGCTGTGACAGAGATCAACGACTTTGGGTCTGAGGTGGAGAGGGACAAAGAGCCTGTCCTTGGGACAGGCCTCGGGTATCTGTACAGACCCTAGAGAGTCCCTTACCTCCTTCTCGAGCCCGAGGCGGGAAACAGCACACCTTACTGTGTCTGGCAGGATGAACCCCCGTTCTTGGTCGTCGTCTACCTCCTCTGCCTCGAAGAGCCTGGACAAGGCGTCGGGCTTGATGTTCTTAGGACCCGGCCTGTAGGAAAGGGTGAAGTTGAAACGACTGAAAAACAAAGCCCACCTGGCCTGTCTGGGGTTTAGTCTCCTAGCAGTCTTGAGATATTCCAGGTTGCGGTGGTCAGTCCAGACCAAGAATGGAAGCTTGGAGCCCTCGAGCCAGTGCCTCCACTCCTCGAGAGCCAACTTAACCGCCAAGAGCTCCCGGTTGCCCACATCATAATTCTGCTCTGATTTTGACAACTTCCTGGAAAAGAAAGCACAAGGGTGAATGCGGCCATCACCGGACTCTTGGCTAAGTACAGCCCCTACCCCAGAACTAGAGGCATCTACCTCCACGATGAATTGCCTCTCCGGGTCGGGGGAAACGAGGATAGGTGCGGAGGTGAACCGTTCCTTAAGGCGTTTGAAGGCGATTTCTGCCTGCTCGTTCCAAACAAATTTGGCCTTGCTAGAGGTGAGAGCGTGGAGTGGAGAAGCGACCTGACTGTAGTTGGTAATAAACCTCCTGTAGAAATTAGCGAACCCCAGAAACCTCTGGAGCTGCTTACGGTCAACCGGGGTGGGCCACTCGGTGACCGCTCGAACCTTAACTGGGTCCATGGCAATTTGTCCAGGGGACAAAACAAAGCCGAGGAAGGAGGTTGATTCTGTGTGGAAAGCACATTTCTCTGCTTTGACGTATAGCTGATTCTGTAGGAGGCGGAGAAGGACGGAACGGACGTGTTGTTTGTGAAGGGTGAGGTTCTTGGAATAGATGAGGATGTCGTCCAGATAAACAAACACGAAGCGGCCAATCATGTCCCTGAGAACCTCGTTAACCAGATTTTGGAAAACTGCTGGGGCGTTGGTAAGACCAAAGGGCATGACCAAATACTCATAATGGCCGGTAGGAGTATTGAAAGCGGTCTTCCATTCATCACCCTCCCTAATACGGACCAAATGGTAGGCATTACGAAGGTCCAACTTAGTGAAAACTTTAGCCCCTTGGACCTGATCAAACGCCGTGTTCATTAGGGGGATAGGGTAACGGTTCTTCACCGAAATGTTATTAAGCCCCCTATAATCAATGCAGGGACGAAGGGAGCCATCCTTCTTCCCGACAAAGAAAAACCCTGCCCCTGCAGGGGAGGAAGAGGGGCGGATGATGCCCGCACTTAGGGAGTCATTAATGTAGTCCTGCATGGCTTGGGTCTCAGGAGGGGAAAGAGAATAGAGGCGACCTCTAGGTGGGGTGGTGCCTGGTAACAGATCAATCGCACAGTCAAAAGGACGATGAGGAGGGAGACTCGTGGCCTTGGATTTGTTAAAAACCTCCCTCAAGTCATGGTAAACAGATGGGACCTTGGACAAATCTGGGTAATAATCATTAGTCTTACCCTCAGCGGAGTGAAGAGGCTGGGCGGAGAACAGACATAATTCAGAACAGGAAGGAGCCCATCCCGTCACCTCGACCCGTCGCCAGTCAATCTGGGGATTGTGTTTACGGAGCCAGGTGGCGCCCAAGATAACAGGAACCTGCGGGGAGTCAATTATCATAAAAGTCAGCATCTCCTTATGATTACCTCCCATCGTTAGCTCCACAGGTTCAGAGACGAGGCGTGACTGGTTGAGTTCGTGACCATCCAGGGCGAGCACACTGCGGGGGGATGAGCCAGGGTGGAGTGGGATACTCAATCTTCTGGCCAAACCTTCATCCATGAACTCAGTGTCGGCTCCTGAGTCGATGAAAACTGACAAACTATGGGATTCAGAGGAGAAGGTTAGAGTGGCTGGAAGTAAACGATCAGAGGAGACGGCCAGTTTGGTGTAGCTCAGTAGGGATCCCCCACCCCCTACTGAGCTTTGTCTTTTGCTGGACAAGACCGAGCTCGATGGCCATCCCCCCCGCAATAGAGACAGAGTCCCTGCTGCTGTCTGCGCTGGTACTCATCTCTTGACAGGCCCACCTTGCCCAGCTGCATAGGTTCAGGTTCAGAGGGCTTAAGAGAAACCGGAGATGAAACAGGGGGGGGAGCCGAGAACCGAGGATGGGTTGTGGGGTTAGAGCGACGTTCCCTTCTTCGCTCCATTAGACGGAGGTCTACCCTAGTGGCAAGCTCCTCGAGCTGACTTAGGGTCTTAGGGTAATCCCGGGTGGCCAGCTCATCCTTAATCTTGTCATTAAGACCATGAATAAAAACATCCATGAGGGCATATTCATTCCATAAACTCTCTGCAGCCAGTAAATGGAAATCAATAATATAATCAGCCACTGATCTATCCCCCTGTCTAAGAGATAAGAGCCCCCTAGAGGACTCCCGGCAGGGGAGCACGGGACTGAACACCCTCACAAGCTCTTTGGAGAAGTCATCATACGAGTGGCAGATGTGTGTATCATTCTGCCACTCGGAGGTTCCCCACAGTCTGGCTTTACCAGCCAACAGGGAAATAACATAGGCGACCCTAGACCGGTCAGTGGGGAAGGAGGATGGCTGCAGCTCGAAATGTATCTCACACTGTGTGAGAAAAGCCCGACAATGCTCCGGATCGCCACTAAAAAGCCCAGGCGGAGAGAGACGGGGCTCTGACGGAAATGACGTCACCGGAAGTGACGGGGGACTCGGAGGAGCTGCTTGCGGAAGTGGAGGCTGTGGGGTAGCCTGGTTTCGGAGATGATTGAGGATCTCCGAAACGCCGGCTTCTAAGTCAGAAATAGACTTTTCTACCCCCGCGCGCCACTGATCCCCGGGTGCCGGGTCCATGTTTTCCATTCTTTTGGCCAGAACGTACTGTAATGGATTACTGTAGTGGAGATGGATGGACCCAAAGACAACCCGCAAACAGGTCAGTGAAACGTTAACAGTCTTTATTTAAGAGAGAGGGGGCGGCACGGACTCCCGGGAAGAACGATCAGGCTCAGCGACAGGCAGCTCCTATAGACAGAGTGGTGGTTAGTGACCAGTGGGGGCAGGCAGATGTTTGAGTAAGGAACTTGGTCACTAACCTGGCTACAAGAAGGCTCGGTTGGGCTCAGTCCGGTTTCAGGAGAGGAGAGAGTCCGTGCTGGGGAAATCCTAGGTTCGGTCTGGGTCTTGACGAGGGGGGAGTCCGTAAATCCAGCGAAGGTATCCAAGGGGGAATCCAGGGGAAGTTCCGAGTCCAAATCCAGTTCAACATCCACAGAAGCAAACACAGTTCAAAGGGGCAGGCAATCTCGGTAACTCACAGGCAGGCTGGGTCAGAAACACGGTTTGGCAGTCCAGATCTCTGAGGCTGACGAGCAGGGCTCAGGCGGGCAGACAAAAATCCAGAAAGGGGGTAAGGCAGGCTCAAAAAACTGGGACAAAAACAGGTCGAGGTTCAGACAGGCAGATGCACGTAAAGAATAGGCTGGAAGTTCTCACCAAGAGGCTTGAGACGTTCTGGCACTGGAGGCAGGAGGGACAGAGCTTTTAAGCAGGAGGGGAGGAGAGAGAACAGGTGCACTGATTGCAATTAGCAGCTCCAGAGCCAGGAACATTACAACCAACAAGGATCCGATCATAAACAGCACCTTCTAGAAACATTGGCAACACTAAAGATCCTTTAGCTTTAGCTTATTTCATCCATAATCAAATTTATGTATTCATACAGCAGGGGACATTTTATTTTCTAAGAAGAACTTATTCTTTAGAAAATCAGCCATTCCAAAGTTTTTGCCACACTTATGATCTATATTGTAAATGTTAAAAAAAATAATAATAATGAAGCCAATTTATTTTTTATTTCATTTTGATTGGTGTTTTGAAAATGCTAATTTATAAGCTTCCTAGAGAATGAAAAAAGAGGCAACAAAAGGGCCAATTTCTCTCTCCGCTCTTGAAAATGGGAATAAAAAAAGAACATGTCATTTAAGAAATTACATTATGCTACAACAACAAAATTATTTAGAGCCTTTTACACACTTTTTAATGGTTCCTATACAAGTTGAGAGTTTTGTAAAGGCTTCTTACGGAAGACAAACCTGTGTGGATGGAAGGCAAAGTTTAGAATCAGAAATATTAAATAGTGAAGGTAGACAAGTTCTTACACAGATAATCTGTCTTGGAGCCCAAAATCTGGCTATACTCTATTAAAACAACTACAAAAAAGTTATTTATGATCACTTTATGACATGAAGAGTGATACAGGTGCTACCCTGTCAGCTAGTTTGAACAATGTTTTTGTCTGTGTTGCTGTGTCTTTGTCAGGTGTTGTCTGACCTTCATTTTAGTCTATACAATAAAGTAGAATTAAAGTCAACAAAATAAAATAAGCTCTCATTTAAGATTTTATGGTTATAGGTTAATTGTTAACTAAATAAGAGCCAGACAACACAATCGGTTTCTGTGTGAGAAGTTGGTATCTTCCTTTACAGTAACTGTAAGGAACTGTGATGCTGTAGAGGTAGTCAAGTGTTTGTTTAGTTCTCCTCCTAAAATCTGTAGACAGTTTGTCTTTTTGTGGAGTAATGTTAAAAATCTGACATCATTTCTATTGAGGGAAATTTGATTGTAAAATTCTTAAATCAGTGCTACTTTCTCATAGTGTTCAGAGTTAGCTCTTATGTCAGAAAACCAACAGAAGTGAGACATTTAAGTTTGTTTGACCCTGCTTTTCTAATTCATGCATTTATTTGTAAGCCTTAGTTTATTTAAACTATGTTCATTTATGTACAAATGCTTTCTGTTCCAATTTTGGCTGCTCTTCACAGTGGCTGTAATATCTTTCTCAGCACTGTTTTCACTTCAACATTTTTTATGCCAATTAAGAAATCCTAATTATATTATTGTTAATGCCTACACATCAGTATGTATCGCCGTGCTTACCAAAGAAATCTCTGTTGTCTCTAAGAGTGTTTGCATCAACAGATGAAAGCTCTACTAGTCTGCTGACCTACTTCAGCCTTATTACTCTGATTTTTGCAAGCAAACCTATAATGTGTCTTTAGTTACCAAAAAACTCCAAACCATCTCCATTTGTCAGGTTATACAGTCAAATGTTTGTTTTCCGAAAAAAACTACACCTTTAAAGAGCAGATTTTTTTACACATAGAAATGAAAATGTAAAAAAAAAAAAAAAAATGTCCAGCTTTTTATTTTGTACCTTTAAAACCAAATGTTTTACTAATAGCCTTTTATTTTGTCCACATCTAACATCAATCATCTAACAACTTCCTGTTTAATGGCGCTGTGATTTATTTCCAAATTCCACAATATTACTTTCTGCAAAGTCAGTTCACATACTGATTAATATACCTTTACATTTTTTTTTCCTTGGTTGGCGAGGAAGTGAAATGATGGCGCGCCTCAAATATGTCGCATCTCCGAGTTGTATAATGAGAAATTTAAAAAGATATGAGGAAGAGAGTAGCGGACCTCCACAAGTCAGGATCATATATGGGTACAGAGTTTTCAATGCTTCATAGCTGATGTCTTTATTTTATCAAACTATAGGCCAGAATAAACAGCATGGCTATTAGCAACCATCATACATAACAGGAAGGTCTCAGTGCCAGAGAGGAACGTATTTTGATTCAAAGCGTGTGTTTCAATCACAGATCAAATCAAGCAATGGCAGCATACTGCCAAACATTATAGCTTCAAGCAATCTTTCTGAGCGGACTCACAACTCAACATATATCAGGAAGAATATTTCTGCAGACTATTGTTAGACGGTCGTGATAGAATGGCCAAAACACTTTCCTAATGTAATTTAGTTTAAAGGCAAAGCTACCAAATGTTGAGGTTCCTCAGATTTTGTAGAATATTCTCTCATTTTGGTATTTAGTAATTAATCATTTATGCATTCAAAACAAATCTAAAACAGGAAAAGGTTTGCTCTGATTAAATATGAGAACATGAGAAAAACAGGTTGTCCACTTTTCCTATACAATCCTTGTATAGGTCTGGTTTTGATGCATATCCTTGTTTGCTTCTTATATCTATCGTTTAATTCAGTTTAGACCAGTAAATTATAGAAGTTGAAAAATCATTCAAGGCATAATCTTTGGTTTTTAGATTTGTGCTAATGTTTAAATGTTTTTAATCGTGGTGCCTAAGTCCAGCATTCAGCTCCAGAGGCCTGGTTAACCAGTGATCAGGTGATTCAGGTGTTTTAGAGGTAGGGATGCATCGAAAGTTTAACGCTTTACCTTTCGAGGACTAGAATTACTTAAAATAAGCAAGACACTCAATATTTCCTATTCTGTTGTGAAAAAAGTCTGACTAATCAAATGTAAATCTTTGCTTTCAAGGGGCACCAATCATTTAAGGTGCTTTGAAACGTGTAGCTGCATGTTTTGAACAGACGGTCCAGAAAAAACGTTTTTCTGTGAAGTCCCATTGAAGTCTTCGTCTTTTTCTGCAAATTAATCAAATTTGAATAAAATAAAAAAAAAAGAGACATATTCTGCATTGTCTGTAATGAAGTTTGTAAATGGGATTTAAAAAGATGTTTTAATTCAAAAATAAGATAAAGGTGCGCTTTCTTTTGCTTTTAGTGTCTATTTGTTCAATGCAGTTGGATCGATCCACAAACCTGTCAGAATTAAAAATTTGAACTGTCACAGATTATCAAGCTAATTGTTTAATTTCACTGAAACGGATTTAAGTGTTGTACATGTTCTAACGTCAATATTTATTTCTGTATTTGACTCCAGCACACGGCAGTGTTTCTGTAAGCATTATGTTCTCCATTCATTTCTTCTCAACATCACAGCTTCTTTCCTATTGCTGACTGAAGACTAGTGTAATCTGTGAATAAATAATATTCTTAATATCTTGCAGCTGCTCTGGATTTAAATAGATGTAACATCCAATGATTCGAATAACAGGTATATTTCCACTTTATAATATAGAATTTAGAACCATATGAAACCAATAAGCCTTGTTACACCGCTGCCCTCTTCAGGTGACAAAGCTAAAAGCATGAAAACATTTGACTTTCTTGTTAATATCAAAAGTTTAATAAAGATATCAAAGACAAACACAAACATAAGAATGAAAACATTTAACTTTACAGGCAGGTTTGCCCAATCATTTTGTCCCAAATACACAATGGACCCGTCTTATCAAACTTTGGACAGTTGGAAAAAGTAATTTTACAAAAGCTAATTTCAAAGTTGGAATACCTAAACATGGGGGATGTACTATGCATTATTTAAGGTCATTTATATACATATACTTAATGAGACATTTAGAAACGGGACAGAAAACAAGATAGTGGAACGTATAAGTAAAACAACCTGAGAAGTCAGACCTATGGAGGACCTTAGATCAGGCATCTAGACGAAATAAAAAGATTCCTGAAAACATGATTATTTTATAAAGGTGCATCACATCTGGAAAACGATTCCACAGAATCTGACAAAAACAAAAAAAGGCATTTTAAATGAATCTCTTTAATCCACCTTATAGATGACCTTTCTGAATATAATAAGCAGTAACCATGTACTGTGCTCTTTCCCCCGATGGTGTTTGCAAACTCATTGGCCTCAATTTTAACTATAGAAGACATGCATGCGACCTGATGCATTTCCACCCAGCAGCGCATTTCTGGTGGGATGGAAGGCAGTGACCGACAGCACCGTGGCAAGGTTATCATCCATAAAGGAGTGCAGCAGCCGACCGCTCTCATGGAACACCTCCACCCTGCGAGGCCTTTTCATACTTCCCACTACGAAGCAGTCTTCCTTCTTTGGGTCCCACACTGCTGACAGCTTCGTCAACCATCGACCTGTGTGCATGTCATGACTGGGGAACCAAGGAGGAGAAACAATGCTCACTTACACGAGAACACAATAATAAAATCTTATATGATAACTCAAATATATTATTGTACCTGAGGGATCTGAGGACGGGAGGTGCAGCAGTCATTGAAGATGTATCATATATCCTATGAAGTTAAAGAAAAGGTTTGAAATATAATCAACAAAAAGGTACAGAATAACCTTTTATTCTTGCCATGTTAGGACCCACAACTTCAATGCATTTGTTTTGGGGACGTTTTTGGCAACAAGTCAAGTAATGCTTAATTGTTTAGGCAGAGAAGAAAATGTAAATATATTATAGAAGAGGGGAAATAGGCATGCTTAAGTGCTTGAAATAAATACCACTAAATTGAAAATAGTGATTGAATATAGCTCAGTGATATTATTTTTTAAATTTTGGGGAAGTTTATGCATATAATATAATATATATATATAAATTTTGATTGAGATGATAGAGTTGATCAGATTTTTTAGCATTTAGTCCTTGTTTCTCTCCTAGAGATAGTTATGAGATTTTACTTTTACTAACTGTATGTGCTCTCTTTCATCATTTTGACATAAAAATCAGTTCAGATCATATCTGCTAAAATGTTGTGAGGTAAAGATGCTTTAACCAGTTTGCTTCACCTTATGTGGTTATCCAAGCAAGAGGTGAGAACTCTGTTCCCTGAGCAAGGTGAGAAATAAGCGCTGTTAATGACTAAAGAATGCCCATGCAGATGAGACACAGCCTTGCTGTTTGTCTTCTTAAGGTATCTGCTGTCATAAATGCTCACAGTCCTGTAGGCAAGAAAAAAAGAAGAAAACATTTAGCCATGTCAAAAAGGATGATAGAAAATTGAAATGAGAGAAGAAACCCATTATTCAGAAGTTACCTTCCTTCTGCTGCTGCAAAGTACTGCATCTGGAGAGGGTGGACGCTTAAACTGCGAACAGCCTTTGTGTTCAGTGAGTGAAGAGACTCGTGAGAGTTCCTAGAAGTACAAGACACAACTATTGTAAAAATGGTTTACCGAGTAACAACATCAGAGCACTGAAATCATTCAACAAAAAAATTATTATCCACTCTGTGGATAAAAGGGCCATACCCTGGAGTCCTCCTGTCTACAATGGCGACCTCTCCAAACCAGTTCCCAACCAGAAGAGTTGAGCAGTCAGGCGACATAAAGGTAAAAGTTTTCAGCCCATCATCAATGTCATACACCTGAAAAAAAGATAAACCGGTCATGTAAGGTGTTTGTTCTAAACCAGCTAAACCCCAAATGATTAGTTTAACCTGTCTTACTATAATATTGTGTCTATCAAGTCTACAATCATTCATGCAGCTTTTAAATTGTCAGTTTTCTGGTCAAGTTAAAGGATGGCCAAAACTCTTCTAAAGCATCCCAAGTACCTTTATTCATTGAGGACAGCTTTCATCCCCTCTCTGCAGTTTATTTTGTTAAAACAAAAGTGTTGAAGCTATTCATCGTGGCTGCTAAGAGCGGGTCTACAAGGCCACCACTATGTTACTTTAATTTCCAGTAGCCACATTACAATATATTAGTTATCTAACACTTAATGATCTAAGAGGATCTATATATAGGAAAGACCCATGGTGCTTTGCGTGAAAGAAAACTAAAGGAACCATTTTATCTCCTGAGATGTCTGCATAGTTTCCGATTAGAAACTTTCTTCCAAGTCAACTGTAAATAAACAAAACCTATTTTGCCAGGTGTATCTATGATTTCAAAATTAAATCAGATTTTTATAACAAATGTGCTTGATTGGATGAGAACGGCACTTACATCGTCGAAAACGGCCTTCTCTATGTCCATGCAGCGCAAAGATCCATCGTAGCTGACGCTCAGCAGCTGCGTGGGGTGGGCCGTGGAAAACTCCATGCAGCTGACCGGACGGGAGTGTGGCTCAAAGAGCAGAACACCATCATTGCCCCATTCAGCACCCTGATGCACAGAAAAACAATTATTTCATTAAAAGTAGGCATCATTACATCAAATATATGTTTGAGATAAACAGTAGGCCCAGAGGATATGGTTAGAGACATGATAGGGTTTATTTATGCAAGACTTGTATAAAGCAGCTAATGTCTTTCTCTTCATTCAAGATCAAACACTACAGAAACCTGATGGAGCAATAACTCACGCACATGCAGCAGTGTAGACTGAGGTCTTTCCTGGAAAGCTAATAAAAAACTGTAGGCAGTAATTCTAAAATTAACTAATTTTAAAAAAAGCAACTATAATTTATAATTAATGTCAGTAAAGAGTCCAAAAAAAGTGATGTATTCAACAGCTTTCCACGTTCTCCCACTTTTAAACCAGGAGGAAGGAGAGAAGATCAAGAGAGCTGCTGGCAAGATTAAAACTAAGTAACAGCAATAAACATTTACATTCTGTTTTATAATCACTTTAAAGGTCAGAAGGCGTATAAAATGAAAGATGTTACAACTTTTCCAACAAATCTAAGAAATCTAACAAATATTGAACTGGGATGACTGAATTACAGTGCTGAAACGGAAGCAGCCAGGAGCCCACATTAACAAGAAAACAAGGTGTTGTTAAAAGCTGAAGGGAGTTAAGGGGGAGTTTACAAATCCTTTTGGTTTTCCTTTTTGAATAAGAAAAAATGCAAAAAGAAGGGTGTTCCAGTCATGAAAGAGAAAAACTGAAGCTTCAGTTCGACTATAAAATGCTCCATGTGTGGTAAACCGACATGGCTCATCACCCTGATGAGGTCTGGACACCGATTGAAGGAACAGGAGGAAGGAAGCACTGTGATTGGTGGAGAAGTTGTTTACACAGGGAACTGTTTTTTGTCCTTAAAGGTACACTATGCAACCGGTGTTGATTTTCCAGCGAGACTCCCCCCAGAGGGCGAAAGTAAAAGTGCACTGTCGTAAATATGCACAGCTGTTCTCCTGGTTTCTCCGTCAAGCCAGGCGCGGTTGTTTTGAGCTTAGCAGACAGGCGAACGCAACGAATGACTAATGCTGCGTTCACACCGCAGCTGGCGCGACAGAAGCAGCGAGTTTACATGCAAAGTCAATGGTTGACGCGCGTCAAGGCGCAGCAAAGGAGCAGCAGGCCCAGCGCGTCTGAGCAGCTGAAGCAGGGAGAGACACAGCGCTGATGATCAGAGGCTATGATCTCTCTCTCCTCTTAAACAGTTTATTGACGCCTAAATTAACTTAAAATGCAGAAATCTGCCGGCAGAATATGCAGTTTGGATTATTTAGATGAAAAACACCTACCAGCTGCCGCGGTGAACCGCGAGGAGGCGACCAGGCCAGAGGCTGCTGATGAAGGGGTTCCTTCTGTCGGCGCACCGCTGGTATGTGGGGGTCTGAGCGGCTCCGACAGAAAAAATATTGAAGGCAGGATAATAATCTGAATGAACTGACGGCACTGATTACGTTTTCAGGTGTATTTTCTCATTTAAACACATATTAAAACTACTTTATTCCAAATGATCACAGCAAATATAGCTGCAAGGCAGAGAAAGGATAGTGAAGCTCCGCCCAACGCGCGTCAGACACACTTTTGCACCGCACAGCCAGAGCGTCAGAACTAACTGGTTCAAGCAGCAAAAATGAAGCAGCAGACACGATTTTGCTGCTTTTGCTGCGTGAACGTAGCATAACTGCACAAGGATCGCCACTGTGCTAGCAACGAGAATGCTTTTAACTGGGGGCGTGTAGCAGTTCTCGGCCGTAAAGCAAGACTGACTCTCACGAGACTTCTGAGCCTGTGGGTGCGGGTCGGTGCTCCTGCAATTGCAAGTGCAGTATTTCCCCCACAGACCACCAGGGCGGCCGAGAATACCTTTGTTCAACCTGAAACGACTCATTTAATCATCCAAAACGTTATGGAACACATTAATTAACTGAAAAATGTTGCATAGTGTGCCTTTAAGAACCAGGGAGCCTGGTAGAATAACTGTATTTGCAGAGAACTGACCAATCTATAACTTTAGTGTAACAAAATCAAAACATCTCTCCTGTTGAAACTTCTTTCATTGGTTTCTGACTTAGAAATTGGATTTACACACATTCCTTACAAGTAAGGTTTAAATTGTGTCGCTATGATGCATGAAAACAATAAGATGTTTAAAAAGAACAGAGCTTCAAAATCTTAAAAATATATAAAAACTTACCAAATTCCAGAGTCCCACTTTTCCCCACTTGTCTCCAGCAGCCATCAACAGGCTGGAACTGCAGGGGTGGAAGGCTGCAGAGAAGATTCGATCTTTCACCACTTTGGCCACATTGTCTTCTGTTATCTTCATGCCTTTCAGTGCAGAGATGTACCTGTATGCAGACATAAAATGTTATATGCATTTTCCTCACAAAACAAGATGTAATGTCAGCAGTGGAAAAAAAAAAAAAAAATCATCTTACTCTTTAAGATCAAGGTTGGTTTTTATCTTCTTTTTCTTCTGTTGACAAAAACAAAGCAATCGTCTCAAAATGGTAACACTGGCTAGAAACTTTACTTAAAATGCTTAATTTCATGGATTTCAAAGGGATTTTGAGTATGAATAACAATAGGAAGATGTGATGGAGGTAATGAAAACGTTAAACCAGGAACTACTTAATCAAATTCATACCTCAGAGCAGTGATCTATAAGCTGTGGTGGAATCTTGACGCCTTCCTCCTGGTTTATGGCGTCCATCAGAACAGGGCCAGGAGGCTTCTTTAATACTCTGTTCTTTAGACAAAGGAAATAAATAAATAGAATTAAAGGTGAGGAAAACCAAATTCAGCACAATATTAAATTGCACAAAATATATTTAAAGCTCTGAACTTCCATATCAATGCTTTTTTTCCTTCTCCCATACTGTTTACATTTGATAACTGCTGCACTTTAAGAAATGAAAATGTCATGAAAGCTGTACAAAAGGAATTTTCTTTTAGTATACATTCTGTGTATACAAAATGACAAAAATAAGTTGTCTAAGTCTAAGAACATTAGTAAGACCATACCAGATGGTGGTCAAACGAGTCTGTGGGTTCTTTAGGAAGAGTCAGCTTCTCTGCAGGCTTGTTTTGAAGGCGCAGGGATTTACGAGGTGGGAGTACTTCCTTCACGACAGCAGTAGACCTGCACAGAAATATAACCAATACTCAAAATAAAATAGGAAAAAAACTGTCCTGATAATAAAACACAACTAAAAAGACAGTCAATAGGTTATTTCCTTTCTTTATAAGAAAATAGTTTGAAAAGCCATTTGGGCTGAAGCAGTTGATCGTATTAATTGTAATCAATTATTGAAATAATCATCGGCTAATTTAGTAATTGATTAATCATTAACTGGAGTATGAGCGACCCACTTAGAGCAGTAATTCACCAAGTTTGTAGATAAATATTTAGACATTATGCATTTAAGATTTAAAAAAAAAATGTTTTCAATCCGTCAATGTGCTTCTATTCAGAACTCCTCAAGTGGAAAAGTTTTATTTTCACTTTGTTTACTTTCAGGAACTTTCTGCTGTCCGATTATTAATCAATTAAGCGAAAAAAAGAATTGACAGATTAATGAAATTGCAAAGTGATCATCAGTTGCAGCTCTAAATGCCATACAACCTTAACAGACCAACTTATCAAGGTATTAACTTTACACAAATTAAATGTTATAAGAAAATGGTAACAGCTAAATTCTGAAATAAGCAATCATAACTTTAAGCTGACCATACCTCAAACCTCTCTGCGATGGCTTCGGTCGTGTGGTCTGATGCAAATCCTCTCTTGCCTTTTGGAGAAGCAAAAAAAAAAAGTTTTTCCTCTGGTCAGAGAAACCAAACCATCTGTAACGGTTATGGTTTTAATCAATGCCCTGGGTTACCCATAATTCCAAGTCGTACTGTAAACAAATTAAATACTTGTTTATATTTATATTTTTTTTTAAACAAAGAAGAGTGTGTATGACGTCATCCACGCGCCGGACGCTCTACCCATTCTATTCATTCGGCTAGCTAATCGGAATCGTTCAATTCCATTTCGAGAGCGACATCATCTGTGGTAGTAGCACTAGACATCTTCTAGGCATGTGAGTAAAACTAGCAGCAGTTCAGCGGACAGCATGAATGAATAGTAGCCGGTGTGCGCGGATGACGTCATACATACTCCGCTTTGTTTTAAAAAGAAATACATAAATATAAAAAATATATAACCTTGGATGTCTGGGGGGACAGTGATTCGCCTACATGTTAAGAATGCTGGCGTACCATAAAGAACAAATTATGAACAATTTAGTTTGTGCCTTCAAGGTGTTGCCCATAGGAAGACGTTACTTGGATTACAAAATCGAATATCTTCAGAACAGCTCCAAATGACACACAACTAATATGGGTGAGTAGAATATGATGTAATAACGCAAAATCAAGAGGCAATGTAAAAAAAAACGGTGTTCTCCTTAAAGAGGAATTTTTCACATCATTACACCTGTAAACAGGCGTCCTAGCCCTTGCATAGGGGGCCAATCAGATGACAGTGATTGGGCCCCTAAAAAAACTGCAGTCTCTGCTTACCAATATTAATGCCATTGCCTTTCAATTGTTGGACACATATTTACCAGGATGAACATGAGTAAATTCTTAAAAACGACAGCACCTGATTATGTGAAAGTTAACAATGGCATTTTAAAGTCTAATGAACTAGAGATAATAAACAGAGATGAAAGTTGGTGGTGTGTCTGGACCAAACCAGTCCATCTACCTGGAATAAGTTGATGGAGGACAGAAAAGCCTGGTTCTTCCTGATGTTCTCAAGACGCTCCAGTTCATATTCAGACAGCCCTCCTGCATAACCATCCTGTTACACAAAGACACCACATTATGCATACCACCTCCAACCCTTCACACACAGAACCTGCTCCACCATATTACACCCAACATGAATGCATCTCTGCACTTACAGCTGACTGGTCCACTTCATCTTCTGCATCTTCATCCTTTATGCGTTTTATCTCTGGCTTTTCTTGTTCGGTTTTTATTTTCTATGGAGGATTTTTTTTTTTATGCACAACTGTTAACGAACAACTTTCCGACAGAACCAACCGAATCCCATTCAGTAGCTCCACTTACTTTCTTCTTCTTTTGATCCGGGGTGTCAGGAGAAAAGGCGAGACGTTTAGGGGCCACGGCCCTTCGAGAGGACCGTCGAACTGTTGCTTCGGGGGTCACGTTTTGTTCATCGGTCTGAGGGCAAAAGAAAACCGGTTACAAAGAGTTTCAGCGGATTAAAAAGCCCAAATGAAGGAGAGGGAGGCGGTTACCATACCTCAACAGACGCTTCTCGTTTCGTTTTTTTGGTCAACATGTCAGGATATTAGCTTTATCTACAGGTTGATAAATCCAGGCAGTGAATGTCTGCTGTACAGCATCAAACTGCAACTCACAGTTACTGAAGTTAAAACATGTTTGGCGCCACACCGAGGAAGTGTTTTGCAACAAGACCCTCCCATTTTCTCTTATGCAATGCAATGCAAACAGTTGATTGGATGCGCGCGCGGTGCACCTCGAGGCGCACTGCGCGCGCCTCCAATCAACTGTCTGCATTGAGACGTCTGCTTCGGGCGCAGAAATCCATAGAGAGAGTAGTTTATGTTATATAGCATAGGTCTGATCTGAATGGATTGCATCCGTTCCACATTATATGTAACAACTCTTATTTTTTGGATAATATATCAGTTCTCCGAAACAACCCAGGGTCCAGACCAGGAAATACAGTTGTTTTTATTGAACAAAAAAATTATTTACATTTTCAAGTAGGAATCACCACATTTCTTTCTTACATAAAAAAGAAGACAACATATATTATAAACTTAAATATTGCAAGGCATCAGAGATAAATGAATAAAAAAACAGGCAGTTTCATTTCAACCAAAGGAAACATACAAAACTTAAGAGAAAAAAGAAAAATTTAAAAGAGACAGCCTCGTTCTACTACAAGACAGTTCCTTACATCACGTTAACTTTTGCATTTTGCTGATCAAAAACCAGAGATTTTGACATTTCACTACATAGTTTTTGTATATGTCCATATTTGTCAGCTAACAGAGATAAAGAGGAGTATAAGATTTTAAGTTTGTTTTTGAAACTTATTACTGAAGGTTTTTTATTTTTCCATTTACATACATGTATATGATATCTTCCCATGCTTATAAGAATATTGACCATATCAGATAAGTCCTTCAGAATGTCATTCTTGTATGTTAATATTTGATTTAAGTACAGTTGTTCAGCACAGTCCCGCTCCTCCACAACTGTCAACCCCCAGTCACACCTCGTTCAGAGTCTCCAAGGCATAAATGAAATAAGATTTATGTTTATATTTACAGAAATACTTGGTGAGAAGCAGAGGCATAGCCAAACTTTTTTTTATAAGGGTGGCCAATAACACATGTAGACTGAGGGGTGGCCGAAAGTGGATAGGCACCAGAACCTCAGGGTCAATCTGCACTGTTCCAACAGGAAAATTAACAAGCAAAACATCCATATTTTCTAAATAAAGACTAACTATACTTTCCCACAGCCTTTGCTAACAAAAAGATGCATATACCGCAAATCCTCTAATATAGGACGGGGCCTTTATTTCACTCAGGTACATCTTGGTCCAGGCCATTATTGGAAGGAGGCCAGAATTAGAGGCAGGCCTCTGTTTGATCAAAACAGACTACTAATGAAATGAATAAAAACGAGATTTTGTCTCTTTGAACCTATAAAATAGTAGGTTCATTTATTGAAAAAGTACAGTTACCATAATGGTATACAGAACGTTATTCAGACTTCTTCCAGCGGCTGCAATTTTTCTGCACGGCAATACAAGAAAAGAAAAAAAGACACATAATGGAATCTTGGCCAAACTGACTTGCGAAACAACATTTTGCTGTTCTGCCATCACAGCGAAGTTTTATTTGAGGCAGGCTAAGTGGAAGTAGGCTATGAGTATTATATATTTCAAGGGAAATTCAGAACAACGAAGGCCAACAAAATTCTGTAATTTCAACGCTGCCTGGTTACGACCAGACCTACCGGTGATCACATTTGTCTTTCAGATCAGAACGATTGTGTAAGGCCACTACGATCTCTGTGTAAGGATGGGACTTCCCATGCCAATGGCTTGGATTCGTTAGCAAACATTGCACCCCCACCTTGTGGTACTTGTATGTTGCTATCACAAGTTGTTGAGGACTGCCCAGGAACATCGTTGGTTCTTATTATAGCCCGGCCTGTATACGAGCCCGGCCATTATTTACCTTCGCCGACAGTGAGTCCGGCCATTGTTAGAGACCCGGCCGCTAATGGAATACAGGCCAATATTAGAGGATTTATGGTATTTAAACATCTGTAATTTCTAGATAAAGGTATAAAACTTAGGTTTGAGTTCTTGGGCATAAATCTTTTCCATTGCCATTACTTACCTACTTGTACCAATAAACATTCGGCATAAAATTGATATTTACAAGCACTAATATCTTTAATAATAATTTTTTTTTAATTGTTATTTATCTTTGATTTCACTGAAGACTCCTAGATGACTTGTAGAGACAGATATGTTTCTATTTTTTATATAACACAAAATCTAGTTCTGAAAAGAGCATGAATTATGTTAGTATATTGATGTGTATCATTAACCACAAAAAAAAAAAATCTAATGTTTTTAATATTCCACTGGAGAGTATTACTGCTGATACCATCTGTATTAGAGGGGAAAATGGTAGGGGGGGCCACAGGGGTGACCAGTGATTGGCTAAGGGTGGCCATGGTCACCCCTGGCCCTCCATCTAGCTCCGCCCCTGGTGAGAAGGAGAAGGTGTAACCACCTTTCAGTCGGATTTATTGCTTAGTCTGAGGCCAATTAATATTTAGAAATAGTCTTCCACATTCATTATGCAAAGTAAAATAAACATTTTCTTCATTGCACTGATGTTAAGACTGCACAGACATCCAGCAAGGTGTTTTTAAGATATGAACAACTCAATTTCTCTTATGACGTAAATATAGTTCAATTAGTCTACAGCTTTTTGAGCTCTTTCCAGTCCGCTTGGCTTTCATTCACATCTCTATTCCTAACACGCCACAGTTCACTTGAACTGAGCCGAGACCTAGATTTTGAGGGGGACCAAATTTCACTTTTTTGGTCTGGATCAGAGTTTCATTGTGGATTCACACCTTCCTTAACGAACCAAACTTTCTGGCCAAAACAAACTGTGGTGTAATAAAAGCGGACTAAACATGGCTGCTGTGAATATACATCCTTACTTTCAATTTATCAATGTCTTACCTGTTTTAATGTTAATGATACGGTAAAAGTAGGGATTTTAACATGATGTGGTGTTTTATAAAGCCTGAAGTAATATGAGTTAGGTGTCAAGTGTTTTCAAAGAGTAGCTAAATTTTTTTTTTTTTAACAAACCCAAGAAAAAACATATGTTTGTAAGCACTGTGCTCTATGTTAATTTACTATAAACAACTGTTTCTATATATTTTTTTTAATTGACTGTAGACTAGTGTAAAGCGTTAATAAATAATATTAGGACTGTATATAAATAAAACACAGTTACTATTTTACAGATGTACCGTAATTTTCATGAATTTGGAAAACAAAATCCATTTCCAGTTTAATTTTAGGTCAGTATTGTCAGCATGTGTGTTCTGGTGTGTATGGAAACTGCAATCAACATTTTATTTTTCACTTGACTTCCCTCTTATAATATAAATATTATATAGTATATAATATCATATATAATATAAATATTATCTGAGTAGGAGTAAAGTGTACAGCCTATGTTTTGGAAATCCCAGGCTCCAAACAAAATTGGTGCCAATGAAATTGTTTAATACAGATTTCAAACACTTAAAAATTCAAACAGAATGTCTTTATGTCTAGTTAATGTCTAGTTAACTATTATTTAACTAGTTATTTTACAATTTAGATCAGGCATCCCCAACCTCGGTCCTCAAGGCCCGCTGTCCTGTAGGTTTTATAGGTTTCCCTGCTTTAGCACAGCTGATTATAATGATTGCAGTAGACCAAAAGCCTGTTAATCAGTTTTCAATTAAAATCAGCTGTGCTGGAGCAAGGAAACCTCTAAAACTTTCAGGACAGCGGGCCTCGAGGATGCCTGATCTAGATGGTTAAATAACATTGAAACTAGGGAGGTATTTGATGAAATGTCAGAGAAAGTATCAATTAGGCTGTTTTGCTGATCCGATTTCCCTTGTATAGCTGACATCACGTGATGACATGTCAACATGAGGGTGGAGATTGGATGAGGACCCAAATGAATAAATGAGGGAGGTAGAGATGAGTTCTTGTAGGTTTAATGTGGTCAAAGGGCAACAGAAACAAAAATCAAAGAATCAAACAACAACAAAAAAAAACAAAAAAACAGGAGACATCAGGAGAAAACACACATGGGGAGCTGAGTAACAAGGAACCAGCACTAAATAATTGCACAGGGAGAGTATATATGGGAGACAGAAGAAAGAATGGGGTAATCAGCTGATATGAAGCAGGTGTGGATAGAAGTGACTAGAAGGGAGCTAGGGGAAAGGAGACGGCCACAAGGGGACAACAGAAAGAAACTGAAGACTGCTTAAATATAACAAAAAATGGAAAAGATCAAAAGATCACACATCAATGAAAACTCATAACTCAAAGTCCAAAGGGGGAGAACCATAACAACCTTTGACAGGGAACACAAAAAAACAAAAGAAAAGCTGGATATGGATGCACCTGAGTGACACATACATACACATACATGCAAATGTAAATCATTGAGCTTGTTTAAATTTCTCTTAAGACTAATTGATTTATTGTTTATTGTGAACAACCTACTTCCTGTTTAACCATCTCTTTTCCTCCAACAAGTAATTTTACAGTGGAAACATCTCTCTAACCATAATCACCGTCATGTAAAAAGGATTAATCTGTCTCGTCCAGGAAGCACTTATCTTATTATATATTCCTTTCTACTTCACAACTGTGAGCTATCTGTTGGTCTAACAAAGAATAAAATACAAAAGTGTTTGTGGGTGTAAAATGATAAACTGTTATATTCATAAAAAAAAGGTTGAAGTATAAAAGCTTTTGCATGTACATTCTTACTTTTCTAGTAATTTTTAAAGATAAGAGATTAAAACTGTTTTACAAAAATTTTTTCATTTAAATGTGTTAATTGGACAATTTGATGTAATATAAAACAACCATATACCCCTGCTTTAAACTCAAACCCACAGGATGTAAACCAAATCCACAAATTCCGTGTCCAAATTGAAAATTGAGTGCACATGCATAGGTCAAAATTAAAAGCAGAAAAACAAGTCTGAGACATTTCACCCCCTGAGAAAGAACAGATTTATTAACAAGAGGTAATCAGCATAGAGTACACTTTTATACAAAACTGGAAATACTACTCAAGCTGAATTAGACCGAAAGATATTTCTTATCACTGGGTATTGCTCACTGAAAACATCTGGTGTTCCTGTTGGAGGATACAGAGTTAAGGATGCAAAGTAGGGTTTAAATACAGTACACATACCATTTTATATATAGATTTGATCTGATCACAAAGTGGAACATGCCTGCCACTTAAGCTTTAGGTATTTCTCTATACAAAGCGTGTAGAAAATACATATAAATATTTCAAGAAGCACATTGATACTACTGTGTAGCTCCTGCTAACACGTTGGGATAGAATGTGTTACACTTATAAGTTGCCTTAAAAATATATATCAGCGTGTCAAAGAGGGGATAGTATTCTAGGATTTAACAATCATAAGAATAACACGTCTCCAGGGATGCATCTTTGAGCATGTTACTAGATGCTTCAGACTGTCTGTACATAATACAATCTATCCTGGTTAATTGGCAAATCGTAGAACAAAGTAGTTCACATACTTTTGTGGAATATAATCCATTTCATGATTAAGGCAAAACCATAATGCACTATCAGAGGAGGGGCCTAACAGAAAGACTGCACCCTCCGGATCTGAATATAGAAGCTGGAAGCTTTTACTTCTGTAAGTGGCTCAAAAATGTTACATTTGCTACATACAATGCCTGGTGCTTACACCATATATACATGACACTGCCCACCAGGGGAATAAAATAAGCAAAGCAGTAAAAAAAATCTATAAAGAAACCTTCTGTTTCATTGCAATCCCTAGAAACATGTTTATCAGTCAGTGGTTACATAAAACAGAAAATGTGATTCAGCTTTAGTTGTTGCACTTTTTCCCTAGGCTCTGCCGTAAACAACGTTATAACTTTTCAAAGATTTATAGAAATTGACATTTGTGTATGTGTATCTTTGAAGCTAATATCTGCATAACACAAATATAGCTTTTCTAAAACATAGAAATTAGTTTTCCATACCTTAAAGATTACTTTCCCAAATTTTCCATGCAATCTCCAGAAGCTTTGTAATGTAGGCAATAACTTCCTTCTAAGTTTCAGGAAGAAACCAAGAAGTTTCAGAAAGTGACCTGTAAGATTCAGAATGAATCTGACAAATTATAGAAAGTACTCAGTGAAGTTACCAGTCAGTTTTATGGAGATTAAAGGAAAGCACTTTGTATATTGAAAAGAATGGAAGTTTGATTTTCATAAACCCACCAGTAAGATATGCACTAAAGAGTAACTGGTAATTTTAGCAAGGTATAGTCTAATTACCTGAAAGCACATGGTAGCTTCTGAGAAGTTATCAGAAAGTTTCAAAATAAACAGGTCCTCCAAAGTTTAATACAAGTCCCTGGTAAGTGGTGGAAAGTTACCTGATATATTTTTGTAATATAACTGGAAATTGAAACTGGTAAATTCTAGGATAGAGTATTTTATTTTTAAGAAAGTACAATGGAAGTTCCAGAAAGTAACCTCTAAGATTTGGCTAATAAAATGGTAAGTTCCTGAAGAATATGTGATCCTGGAACTCCTGATACATGAATAAGAATTTTAACAAAAAATTGTTTTTGTCAAGGTTGGAAAGTTAACTTCCAGTTCTCTACCATTTTCAATGTATATATGCAAAGTCACGTTCAACGTAGACTGCAATCCTACAAACTGCCCTTGAAATCTGGGATTGTACAACAACCTGAAAATTAAATTTCTGGGATAATTGACAAGATCATTGATTTTACAATGAGAGCTTGTCGATAGCTCCTGCAGAGTCTTGACTTCAGTTCTCCCTAAGAGATTTTGTTTTATACTGCACTTTAGATGCAATTAAATATTACGTCTGCAAACTCTCCTTTCTATCTGTTCTCTAGTGCAAAATAAACAGGTCATAAAATAGCATTTAGGACAATATAGAACAAATGAATACTCTATAGAAATAAAACCTCTGTGGGCTTCTACTCAGTTTCTAATAACAATAATACACAAAGTTCATTAGGAAGAAATACAAGGAGGGCACAGCCTATTGTGTCTAATACAAATAAAGATAAATATGCATTTTTAAACTTTCTCTCTACATGTAGCATGTAATCATGATACAAATCCTCTTCATGATGACGTTTTGGGCTCAATTCTGAGAGATGCTTCATACAGGCTCTCTTCATCCATTACTGTGCTGTTGTCCAACAGGTATTTTGCTGCCTGCAACAATAAAAAGCACATTTATAAAATACTGAAAATAATTTTATTTTCAAGATCTATTTTTGGTAGGGAAATATAGAATAAGAACTGTATGTTCTTTTTTTCTCTAACGGATCTCTTCATGTGTGCTGCAAATTAGGAAGAATACTTTATCGTAGTCCTTAAATAACCTCCAGCCATTCAGCAGATTATCAGATTTTTCTTTTTATATGGTATGCTCATGTAAAGCACTTTGTTATTGTAATGTGCCATACAAATATATGTACGGTGCATGAGAAGTGAAAAAGCAGTAAAAATTTATAAACACGTAGCAAATACAACAAGTCTTGCAAGAAAAAACATAAATAGCAAACACAAAAAATAGGCAAACACACAAATAAAACAATGTTAAAACAATGTAAGAAGGGAAATACTGTAATCACAGAAAATAATAAAGAGCAGCAAATGCTGCTCTGCAAATGCACTGCAAATACATAAACATGCTGCAGACTCAAAGCCCGCCGCAAAAACATAAATTACGCTATCACACAAAACAAATGTAAAAAAAAACATCTTCAAGTAGCAATAATAAATAAATGTTAAGAAAAGCTGCAAAATAATTCTGCATAACAGAAGTCATGCAGACCACCGTTAGGGGAGATGAAGTTATACGGTAGCAGACCCGTAATATAGACATAGACAGGATGCTTGAAGAAAATAAAGCATAAATAATATACCAAATGAATGAGCACAAAACATGTATTTTCCAAATAAAGACAGACTAGATTTTTATGGAGCCCTTGATGATAAATATACACACATATTTACACAACATGCTGTTGAAGATAATCAGTCATCCAGGTCATAGTCATTCCAAAAAAGTTAAGAAAATAATCCACTGGACTTTGCTTCCAAATTTGAAGACCTGATAGCACAGACATAAACAGGCCCATTCCCATAGGCGGACCTGTTCGTCTGGTTCAATTAGCATGTTTTCTAAGCCAAAACAAGGCTTTGTTTCTGGTCCACTCTATAAAGCCTTGAACTGAATGCTATTTCTGACATTTTGAATAAAAAAAGCTTCCTTGATTGGAAACAAAATGTCTTCAAACTTGGAAACACGGTCCAATGGATGTTTTTTTTTTTTTTTTACTTTTTTGTAATATTTACATAATGTCACAGTCTTGGTTTTGTTGTGTTTATTTAGAGTATTCAGTCTTACTTTGCTCCTTGTTTTAGTGTCTTATTATTATTTTGTTGTTTTCTTGTTAGTTCCTGTCCTCCAGGTTTTCCATTTGTTGTCCTCTGCTACCCTCTTGTGTCCTCTATCCCTAGCCATGTGTTCTGCTCTGTCCTCCCTTGCTGTTTTCTCTGTCCTGCCAGCACCTGTTGCCAATTTCCTCATCAGCTCTCTCTTTGTCTCTGTCCCCTTTAAAAGCCCTTCCTCTTCAGTTCTTGTTTGCTGGATCCTCGTCTTACTTCTCATCATACCTCTGGTCAGTTCTCTGTCGTTCCTTCCTTGTCTCTTCCTGGTTCTTAGTTTTTGCCTTTTCCCTGATGACTCTTAGATTCTGGTTCTTAGGATATTTTTGTTGGATTTTTTTACTCCTGTCTTGTGAGATATTTTGTTGGATTTTTGACTCCCGCCTCAGAGCCTGTTTACCTATTAAATCACTTAATTCATCTCAACCAACTCATCTCTGCATTTGGGTCCTCTAACCAACACCACCAAATCGTGACACATAACCATTCTGTCTAAATTAAAGGTTTAGTGGACAATCTTTCATTTCGAGTTTAGGATGATTCATTTATTGGTTGTTCCAGACATTAGTCTTTGTGATGGACTTCCCTAAACCATGTGCTCTTGGTGCGCATGCATATTTCTGTTTTTTATATATCCGATTAGCTTTGGTTTCAGGTATTTATTGTAGCCTCTGCTACTCTCACTTTAAAAAAAATAATAAAGCCTGCGAGTTCCAAAAATCTAGTATTCTTACAAGTTCATGGAAAGAAAAGGAAGGCAGAAAGATATAAGAAAGACAAAAGACCAGAGTGTATTTCTGAGATTATTTAACATGGTGGCAGAAGAGCAGGTAGGAGTTCATGCTCATGCTCGGTTATTCTCAAAGCAATTTGGTAATTTCTTAAAAACATTTTTACATCTTAAATGGAGATGTGCTTGAAAGTTTAGACACAATCCCGTTAAAGAAAAGGCTAAATTCAAAACAGTTTATTCAAAATAACAAGAAACTGACAGAAAAGATAAATTAAGATTAACTAAATTATGATATAGTAATTTGAAATATAGTGAATTTAATTGTGGTTTTAAAATGATGAAAGCAAACAAAGAAAAGTTCCAGACACGTTAGAGCCGCTTGTTAATGAACATTCCACCAACATACCATCAACAGGTGCAGAAATCTGACTGAATATTTCAGAAAACACCTAATTGCACTGATTCCCTTAAAACATTGCTCAACATTTTAGGAACTCCATTGTGCTTGTGTATTTTTTTTTTAAGTAATATTGCTTTTGAACCATTATTCAGAATACTATGTCATGATTTCACTGGCAGCTGATTTTTTTTCCATCTCTAATGGAAGCTGAATAAGCACTCAAGCACATATAAAAATTGAAGAATAGTAATACTAATAATTGAAGTTATCCCTCTGCTGCTTGAGGGACTTAACCAATCAATGTGTTTCAGATTTATTAAGAGATATAAACACAGATATAGGCTACTCTTACTTGAACTGGCTTCCCCCCCCCAAAAAAATTATCTGATATCCATGATGAGGCTTTCTGTGCGCATACACAGTAGGATTTATAATGTTAATAGGCATCCAGTTAGCTTGTAGTCGAGGTGCTAACGTCTCTGTTAAACACTTTAAAAAACTCTGAAAATGGAATACGAAAGGTGGATTCTTGATTCTCGACGTCGGAGTACACAGAGTGAAGCGAAAAGACTACAACTGTGTAAACAGGCCCCATTTCCGTTTCCGGTGGCAGGGGAATATTGACTATTCCAACAGAACTCAATGGGATTTACAAAATGCTAAATAAAACACTACAGGAACGTTTTTTCTTCACGAAACTTTTTTTGGAACGTCATTGAACAGCGCTGACGACACGGTGAGTAGCATATTTTAAAAAAAGAACGTTTAAGGTTGTTTTAAGGACATTATCGGACATGCACAATGGAAGCCATTCTAAAGCAGCCAGGGGGGATTCTAAATTAGCCAAAAAGCAGAGACAGGAGCAATTGTCAAACTTTTGGTGTCGATCATTCGATTTCATCCTGGACACTACAGAAAATGGGCTTAAAGTGTAAAAAACCGAACTTCTCCTTTAAGAGCAGCAAGCATGAGGACTGGTAATTGTAATAATGCATTTATATTAAAGCTGCAGTCTGTAACATTTAGGAGAGAGCAGACTTCGACTGAAAATTTTAAGAAAAACAGGTTTCACGCCACTCCCCCACCCTCTCTGCTTCACTCATGCCCCACCTCCAAGCTCCACCCCTCTCACAGCATCTGCGCGGCTACCGCATGCGACCAGAAGGGGGGGGCGGGATTCAGCGTGTGTGAGCTGTGATTGACACTCCATCAGACGCTCCTCTGGCTGTGATTGGTTGTTTTGTCCCGAATTATTCTTTCCAGATTGAAATACAGGCAGTAGGCGGTACCAATTGAAGCAGTTTTTTTCACAGGTTACATATCACATGTACTGCTGTCTGGGCATAGGGACAGTTTTAGCCAATATGACAAAAAAGTGATTTTTAAAAACTTACAGACTTCAGCTTTAAGGATAAGTCAAGCATTGTGCAGCATATCCTGGTTAAAGCAAGACACTCAAACTACTATGGCAGGTCAACCGCTGGAAGAACATAGTTCTGCATGGAACGCTCAGACTGGCTCCCCTCCCAAGTGGGAACGTAGGATGATGAATTAAACTATTTTGGAGGTGTGGGGTTAAAATATTATTTTTTAAACCAGTTACTATATATAGTATTTACAATGTTAAAGTTTGTTTTTCTTATGTGCTTTATTTTAAAAACCACAAACATAATAAATCAACAACTTGTGCTTTGATTAATTTAGGGGTTCTTCAGCACCCCCAAAGTGGACTAAAAACTCCTACGGTTTTGGCTACTTTCAGTATTTTTACTTTGCATGAGTTTTGCATGTTTATATGCTAGCATAATCAATGTGTTTGCAGCAGGTTTTGTGTTTGTAACACAACCAAACTTCGGTGCTCTATCTTCTGATTGCAGGATTTTTCTTTCGCATGATTCATGTTTTTCCTTTGCACGTGTTTTGAGTTTGTTTGATAATTCCACTTTTTTTTGTATGCTGTTTTTCTGAATTTGCTGTACATTTATGTACTTGCAGTGTATGTATGCCCATTGTTCACTATGTAATATAGTTTTCTTTGTCTTAACTGCACATTTCATCTGATAAATTTCTCAAAATAGGTATTTCTTAGGGTTAGAAATCACTCTCATTCAAGATTTTTTTCTGTTTCCACAAAGTTTGATTTCTCTGAGATGTTGTGTACATGTTGGTCTAAATTTGTCTTTGTGAACACTTCCATCCATCAACATTACATTGTTATCATGCTGCAATATGAGGTGGTTGGCTTGAATAAAAAGCCCATCGATTGCCTCAGGATCATGTAATGGTCTGAACTATCAATGTGCTCCTGTGTGCGTTGTCTGCCCATACCATAACACAAACACCATGGGCAACCCGATCCTCAACGCCAACAATGGAAAACCTCTCACCCACATAGCATCATACTCACTGTCTGCCATCTGCCCCGTACAGAGAAAACCTAGATTTATCTGTGAATACCTCTCCAAAGTGCTAGACGCCATCGAATGTGGGAATTTAGTCAAGTGTCACCCTTAGAAGATGGCACTCTATTACAGTAGAGAAATGAAGATTAATTTTAAGAGCAGGAACTCTAGTGGACATTGCTGTAGTCCACATTGCATTGCTCCTCTGGTATTGTGCTGTGTGACAAAACCACACATTTCACAGCGGCCTTTTACTATAGCCAGCCTGAGCTTACTCATGCCATCTATCAAAATTTTAGGATACCAAACATTTGAGAATATCTCAGAGAGAAGCGCTTTCTGTATATAACAGTGTTATTGTCACTTGAGGGTGACACTCACTCACTCACTCACTCACTCACTCACTCACTCACTCACTCACTCACTCACTCACTCACTCACTCACTCACTCACAAAGAGGTGTTCTCACCTTAGGCTGAAAATCGATCTTGTAAGCTGTTTGCTGAAACTGTCGAATCTCTCTGATAATGTGCGAAATCTGGAGACAAATGGAACAACTTTCTGTCATATTCACCCTATTCATAACACATTTTGAAAACGTTGCTAAAAAAAACAAATGCTATATTTAATTAAACAGTGGTCGGTTTATGCAACCATTTTATTGTACTGCTTCAATCTTAAAGGAGAATTCCGGTTTTTAACACTTTTAGCCCATTTTCTGTAGTGTCCAGGATGAAATCGAATGATCGACACCAAAATTTTGACAATTGGTCCTGTCTCTGCTTTTTGGCTCATGCAGAATCCCCCCCTGGCTGCTTCAGAATGGCTTCCATTGTGCATGTCCGATAATGTCCTTAAAACAACCTTAAACGTTCTTTTTTTAAAATATGCTACTCACCGGGTCGTCAGCGCTGTTCAATGACGTTCCAAAAAAAGTTTTGTAAAGAAAAAACGTTCCTGTAGTGTTTTATTTAGCATTTTGTAAATCCCATTGAGTTCTGTTGGAATAGTCAATATCCCTCCGTCACCAGAAACGGAAATGGGGCCTGTTTACACTTAGTTGTAGTCTTTTCGCAAGGCCCAAGTGTTTATGCTTCACTCTGTGTACTCCGACGTCGAGGTGCTAACGTCTCTGTTAAACACTTTAAAAAACTCTGAAAATGGAATACGAAAGGTGGATTCTTGAGGAGGACATATTGGACTTTGAGTTTGACGGTAGAGGATACCGTCGCCAACTAGTGGTCTGGAGTGTGCAACGCTTCAGATTCGAACGGGAAGCGGAAGTTTATAAGCGGTTGTGATGTATCGGAAAAAATAGTTCTGGGATTTACAAAATGCTAAATAAAACAAGACAGGAACGGTTTTTCTTCACGAAACTTTTTTTGGAACGTCATTGAACAGCGCTGACGACCCGGTGAGTAGCATATTTTAAAAAAAGAACGTTTAAGGTTGTTTTAAGGACATTATCTGACATGCACAATGGAAGCCATTCTGAAGCAGCCAGGGGGGGATTCTACATGAGCCAAAAAGCAGAGACAGGACCAATTGTCAAAATTTTGGTGTCGATCATTCGATTTCATCCTGGACACTACAGAAAATGGGCTAAAAGTGTTAAAAACCGGAATTCTCCTTTAATCGAAGCCTTAAAATCGATGATATGTTAATATGACATTTTTGTTTACCATTCTCATTTTCGAGAAGTTGACCAGGTTGTCCTCTGTGTAGTTTGGTGTTCCTTCTTCAATGAAAGCCAAGTCAGTCAGGTACATTCCCAGGTAAGGAACACATGGAGGGTCACAGCTGAAGCATGCATGACACAGAGGGAGAGATGTGGTTAAAAAGAAGCACATTTGTAAAAAACAAAAAAAAATCTAGTAAAAACAAGCTTACTTTTTTAGAGCCTCCCTTAGGTTTTTGAATCGACCCTCTGATGACACGAGTTTCTGCAACTTGTCGATCACAGTTTTTGTCTAGAAAGCGGATTAAAGAAAACCTTTTACCATTGGGAAAATCTCTGTACATCAAAATGTCTACCATTGCTGTTTTTTGATCATCAAACAGGTTTTAACAGGTTCAACCATATTTCATAAAGGAGCAAAGGATCTTAAATATCCAATTTTATGATTTTCATTTTTTGCACTTTCTTTTTTGGATCAAGAGAAAATTACTTTTATCCAGAATGATCTATACCAAAAAAAAACGTTTCTCAGAAGATATCAATATACTGATGAGAAAACCTGCCTAAACCTAAGAAAAAGCTATGTTTGACACACTGCTGTGTTGAATGATTTCTGAGAAAAAGTCTAATACTCCTTTCCCACTGGCCGAAAAACCTGTTTAAACCCGGGAACAAATTGCTTTAAGTGGAAGTGGGAACAGCTCACTGACACCCGTCTACCCGGTTCAAACGACTCATCAAGTGACCTGGATTAAAATCTCGTCGGCTCTTATTCGGCAGACCCGGGCTCTGTTTGCAAAGTTGATCTGCTAAATTACATAAAACCAACGTACGGACGTAAGCAGAAAAATTTTGTTTACATTCGATAAACATGACGCAGCACTGGTGAGAGGGATTTGGACAGATAGTGAAAATATACAGCAGTTTCTACGCCCTGTTTGAATGTTTACATTCTTGATTTCTGTCGCACTGGTGACATCATCAATGCAACCCAGCGTGATTGTGTCTCAAGAAACGCAGCGGTGGGGGACATAGGCCCGTGCAGCTGCCAGCGGGAGGTTAGACCCAGTTTTTTTTGCCAGTAGGAAGGGAGCCAAATGTCCATCATCAGCGGGTCATCCCATGTTTGAAAAACAAAGGTTAACCCGCAATTTTCTGTGGGAAAGAAGATTATAAGTAGACTCTCTCCCACACATCAGCGGATGGTACCTGCTTGGAAACTTTAAGCCAGGTTCTCTTGAGGCGGAAAATGGAGCTCCGGTTTAGAGAAGACGTGATCTCCAGCACGGCGTTGTAGTTGTGAAGGCAGCGACAGATGTCTGCCACAGCCACCCACTTCTCGATCACTGCCACCCGCATGTTGACATCATCCCAGTGAAGGATCTCTGAAGCAATCCTGTTACTGATCTAACATCAACATAAACACATTACTTTTTATTATGGTTTATGACTAATTGAAAGCCCAAACCTTGCAAAACCTGCACAGCGGAGCAGTGGGTAGCCCTGCTGCCTTGCAGCAAGAAGGTTCTGAGTCCCTTTCCAGTGTCATTCTGCATAGAGTTTGCATGTTCTCCTCCCACAGTCCAAAAACATGACTGTTAGGTTCTTGGCTTCTCTCATTTCTCCTAAGGTGTGAGTGTGTGCGTAAATGGTTGTTTGTTATTGTCTCTGTGTTGCCCTGCAAAAGGCTGGATACCTGTCCAGGGTGTACCTCGCCTCTTGCCCATAGACTTCTTGAGATAGGCATCAGCACCCCTCGCAACCCCAGCTGGGATAAGCGTGTCAGAAAATGGATGGATGGATGAAAGCCCAAACCCATATTGTATAAGACAAGTAACGGCTTTAGATGTGATGCTTTCTACGTTCCAAGCAAGTCCCACTGGAAGGAGGCCCAGAAGATAGCCCAGGGCATGCTAGAGAGACTACCGGTATCTCAGCTGGCCTTGTAACAACTTGGGCTCCCGCAGATGGAGGAGGTGTCTGGGGAAAGGTAGGTCTGGGAGTCTCTACTGAGACTTCTACCTCCAACCCCAGTGTGAAGGGACTGCCTTAAGAGACAAAGAATCAGATTTACTTTGCTTCTACCTGCTGGCTTGCTCTGTTAAGAGGCTGATTTCATCTTCTAGCAGTAGTTCAACTGCCTGAAGCTGCCAAAACTACTAATACCTACTCAAATTAAAACATAATTATTGAGCTGAATTTCAAAGAAAACTTACCTGACTCTAGAGATTATTGTTAGGAAGAAGATGAGAGAAACGAGTAAAAAAAAAAAAAAAAAAATAGTCTGCTATGACCTTGTTTTAAACTGAATTACTAATATCAGCAAACATTTCAATCATGCTCTAAATAATTAAGATCCATGTGAAGATATAAAATTGGAACATTATTACATACATCATTAAAATGCTTGGTTGTTTTCATTATGTATGGTGTCCTTTCATTCTTGTCATTCTTCATCCAGCCTTGTCCAAAGAACTCCCTGTTGAGGGGAAAAATACACCCATCACCATAAATATAAAAAACTAAAAAAACAAGCATTTAAGTGAGCTTTGTCCTTTTTAGAACCCCTCAATCTAAAGTTCTTTCATTTTTGCTGTGCTGAGATCTGCAAGTAGGCTACTCACTCATACGGGATGACTTTAAAGACCAAGTGGTCCAACATTGTGAGCTGCTCAGCAATCTCCAAGGCAGAGTGGTTTTCAAATGGTTCTGTCTTACTTTCTTCCATGGCCTGAACACACACACGTCATAAAGTCATTATTAATCCTAACACAGGAATCACAGCTAAACAACAGCCTGCTGGATTCAAGAAATTTTCTCACTCTTACCATCTGTGTGATCTCCTCAATGCTGGGCTGGCTGTCTCCAGGATCCTCCTGAGTCAGAGTCCTATGTGCAAAGAGAAGGTACTGTTATTTTAGAGGATTCTTTAAGGAGGATTTAGTTTTTATGCAATATTTTCAGAGCTACCAACCTATTCAACATTCTGGCTTGTTGAGAGATTTGGTCAGACCACATGTCACGATATTATCCTTCCAGTTTGTCTACAGTAGTGGTACCTCTCTTTCTATCTTCTGTACATTTTTAATGCTGTCCAAGCACATTTTAACCTTGAATTTCAAACTAGACGCTGTTTCTTTCTGTCACCACATTTTAGGTACCTCCAAACCTGCTAATTTCTACACCATTTCTTAAAAGACATGTGATTTAGCTATTGGAATGACACGCCAGTGAAGAAAAGAAAACCAACCTGATAATGTTTGCAGCTGCTTTTCTTTCCTGTGTCAGGAGCTCTGGGTCATGCATCACCTCCTCCAGGAAGCCAATTACTCGCATCTTTAGTTCTGTGTTCTGCTCAAAGTCCTAATGAAGCAAACAGGAACAATTGGTGGTATTAAACAGGTCTTATTGTACCGCTACAGAAAAAAGAGTAGAGGGGGGTGAAGTTCACCTGCGAGTGTTTGGACACCCAGTGACGCAACACATTCAGGACTCTATTTGTAGCAGCTCTGCGAATAACAAACTCTTTGTCTCCATTTCTTTGATCTGTAGGAAAACCTGGAATCCGGGTTAATACATTTGGGTTTCTGTTTCTCTAGTAGACTGCTTTTGCTCTAATACCACAGTAATTTGCCCATGCAGCAAACATGCAACTACTGGTTTAACTGCTTAAATAAGTGAAAATAAGTATAAATAATTGTTTTGGTCTAAACCTTTTGGCTTACCATAAATACAAATTTAAATCACCTAGATAAAATGCTTTCTTCCTGAACATGTCGCAAAAGTGTAAAGTAAAAAAAAAAAGGCCTCCCAATGGCTAAGATATTCTGTAATAATTAAATTAGCAATATTTAGAAAACAATACAGCATTATTTCTTAAACTAGCTTTTTATCCTGCTCAGAGGTATACATTCATGCCCCTATGGCATTAGGTCAGAATATCAAAATCAAAGACTTTAAATTACTCATCTCCCCCATTTATTTATTGATAAAAGTAGCAATAAACCATTCTAACATACTGCAATTGCGAAATTGTGAGGAGAGATAATCAAAAAGAAAAAATGAAAATTCTAATCTAATAACATCACATTCTTTTATGTTTTGTTTTATTTTTTATTATTGTAATTATTGTAACATGTGAAAAAGAACAGGTCGTATAAATCTTAAAATTCCCCAAAAAAGAATATGCAAACATCTGGCCACGTCTGTATGGTAAAGGGTGGCCAAGAGTGTCAGCCTTGAGTAACTGTTGTTTTGTATTTTTTCATAAAATTTGATAGAACTTTTTTTTAGTTTTAAGGTTATTACGATGCAATGGGATGATGAGAATAGATTGTAGTTTTCGGGGACAAAGCAGTCAAAACATTGAGGATAATAGTGAAAGCCCCCTTGTATTAAGCCACTTGAGTTTTAATTTATTCACTTAGCTCCTGCATTAATTTAATATCTAATAAAAAAAAATCATATGGGGTAAAGTTTTGTTGTGATCAAAGAGTGTTCATTGTCAATATTCATCTGCTTGACACAGCCCTCTACTGGTGTCTCTACCTGCCAAAGATGATACTGACCTGTGCTGGCGAGGGACATACGCCGGTACTTTTCCTTGGTTGGTGTTCCTTCATTGGCACCAGCTGTTGCAATGGCAAAGGCTGAGGCAGCAGATAGGGCACTGCGGTTATTCTCAAGCTCCCGGCATGAAGACACTACCATGCCATTGTTAAAGGAAAATAGGGAAAACTCTGAAAAGGGGGAAATAAAAATTAATTCATTGGTTAGAAACAAAAGCAAATATTACAGAAAAGAGGAGTTACTTTAAAGTTAAAAAATATTTTAGGATTAGCACCTATAATATTCATTTCTTAGACTTGCTTTGTCTGGTCAAATTGTTGACCATGGGGGGCAACCAAGAGCTAAAACCGATATAGAACAGCATGTCCTGCTTCTCATGGTAGCGATGGTGAACACTCCACTGAGCCTGCCTCTCTGCCTCCCTCTATTACTCACTTCTTCCCCACTCTGCCTTCCTCCGTTCACCCGGGGGCGGTATAGAAGAACACGCACATCGTTGCTATTCAATTCAATTCAATTCAGTTTATTTATATAGCGCCAAATTCACAACACATGTCATCTCAAGGCACTTTACAGTTCAACCAGATCAGTTGCTAAGGTACAAGGTTTCCTTCCACCTACTCACACAAGGCACTGGCTTCCCTTATATCCAGCAACGTGGGAAGAGAACTCACTGGGGATGGATTGTGCTTGACAACCTACGGGGTGGATGCTCCTTTGCTCTATGGCATGGGGAGGGCCAGGATGCCGTAGGTGGTGTTTATCAAGATCTTATTTGGTTGTACCTGTCCTCTTGTTCCAAAACAAAAAGAAGTTTGTTTTGAAGTTTACTGATGCAATTTTTTCATTTACTTGTTATTAAATAAAAAAGGAGTGCTTGCATTTTTTGCATTTTTTAGTCTTGTAGCAGAATAAAAACCTGATTTTACCATTCTTATATTTTGGCACTGTATGCATCAAACCTGAAAACTCTAACCCTGAATCTGATTTCTCATAACTTGGAATGTGGAAAAACCCACAGCTCAGATGGAGCAGTCCACACAGCATACCCTTGGAAGAAGGTGCTCTGCGCAGATGAAGCCAAGGTTAACACACAATGCGACAGTGGTATTTGACAAGAGCAAAAAAATAATATTGAAGCATGTATTTTAAAATATTTTGAGAATCTGTAGCAAAACTTTCTGCTGACCCAATCTAGCAGAGATTAAGGGATTTTATAAAGAAAAAATGGAAAAGATGTCTGTTTTTATATTTGCAAAGCAGTAAAGACAAACCCTATTGAATTCAATTCAAAAACACTTTGTGCTGGTCCTGCAACCCACCATTTATATTTGGAAATATTTGAAGGTATTATTTTGTGTCCACTTCTATATATCCCCTGCTCTATAATGGTAAAAAAAAAACCACCAAATGTAAAAAAGTTAAAGGACCATATAAAATAGCTTTTAAGGAATACTGTACAGGTTAAATCCTTCCTACAGTTTAAATGCCTTCAAAGGGGCATTTAGCAACGGCATTTTGGACTAATTTAAACAAATCAGAGGCTCTTATTCGCTGTTTTAGACATTTGCAAACAAACACAACTGGAAAGCACAGCATACCATTTTCTCTAATCCCTAAACCTCGGCAATTTCTCTACTGCATTACTCCTGGAACCAGTTTTCTTTCTGTTATAACCACCGAATGTCAACTTAAAAAGAAATAGCAAGTGATTTACAACAACCTCAAGAAAAGCAGCAGTTGAAAAGTTCTACTGTACCCGAGTTTTTTGACTTGACGTTCTTCGGTGTTGATGGAGACTTGGGTGGAGACATTTCTGATTCTGCCTCATCACTCTGACTCGGCTCTTCATTGCATTCCTCTCTGACTGACAGATCTAGACCCAGAATTCAGAGAGTATAGAGATAAATAAAAGGAAGAGCAAAAAGTAAAATAACAGAGCCTGCATTCAGATCAGTGTAACTTGAGATGAAGAAATTGGGGGAGATATGCAAATGAGATGCATTCAAGTGAAAAAGTTGCAAGAAATGGGATTAAACTCAGTTATTACAGCTAAAAGTAATGCTATAATCACCTTGAACTACCTTTTCGTACCAACAACTATTATTTCCTGTATTTTGAAGGTCAAAACCACATTCAGCAAATCACAAAGCTGTTCTGACCTTGTTTACTGGGAGCTGACTCTTCAGCTTTGCCCTCGGCTTTGGGCTCTCCCTCATCAGGAATTTTGCTGGCCATTGTGCTAGACACGTAGAGCTTGTTAATGTCGAGTGTGGTCTTGCTGAAGGGTGACATGGTTGTGTGCATGCTTGCATAGCCATTGGGAGAGCAGCTGAGCGCAGCGAGGTCCAGGGCCTTGCCCCCAGTGATGATGGGGATGTTGAGAGAGAGTTTGCGACGACGATTCGGAGAGGAATTCTTGGTGATGGAAAGAGGCGGTGGGGAGGAGAACTTGCGGCTGGCACGTGGCGATGTAGGTGGCTCACCGTAAAGGAGTTTGTTGTTCTGGCTGCTGACGAAGAAGAGCTCCAGAGAGCTGCAGAAAATAGTGGGGGGGTGCAAACAGAGTTGACTTAAGGCTAAGTGGGAACTGTAAAGATTTGAGCTTTGGTTCCAAAATAAGGTGAGATCGTAGCAATAATGGCTATAATGGATTTGCACTGGGTCTCAGAAGCGGAGGCAGAACCGCAGGGCTACTTGGGAGCTCCTGCCTCCTTTATTTAAACTACTTTGTTTAAGACATTATCCTCCTTACTCTGAGAGCCACCCCCTCTGATGGCCTATAAATAGCATGTCAAGTGACAGTGTGGGAGGCACGGGTGCTGCCAACAGCAACAAGCCCAGGGGAGGCCCACAGAGACATGGGGATAGAGACGCAGAAAGAAAGGGGAGCCGAATAAACACAAACAGGGGAAGAGGGAGGAAGAGACTGGGCTTCAGTAATAAAAGACGAGCAAGGCTGAAAATAGTGATACAGAGAGGGAGGGCACTGGAGAGGAGCAACATAGTTGATATGGATTCCACCACAGCGCAGGTTGCTGGATGCGAGTGGGCGAATGGGAAGCCTCCAGACCTGTATGATGCCAAACTGCAGCCATGGCGTGTCTCCTTGCAGATATTCACGAAAAACACTTAAATAAGGAGATTAGAGGAATGATCTGAAATGAAGACACTTAATGGGGTAGAGGAGAGTTAAGGTAGATGTAAATTAGAGGAGGGCAAAATAAGAGTAGAAAGTTGAGAGTGTAAGCAAGTCAAGGAGGCAAATATACTTTTGATTAGAAAACAAGAGGAAAGTATGACAAAAAGGAGGAAGGAGGAGGAGGAGAAGAGCGCAGGGTGCAAAACACCAACATCAATATTTAATACCATGGAGCTGCTGCAGATGATGGGGAAGACAGGGGAGCGGGGGAGAGGGTGGGGTCCTGCAGCAGAGTGGAAGGTTGCCATGGTGACAGTGCTGCAGAGAGAGGGATGGTCAGACTCACCGAAAGAAAAATAAAAGCAAGAGAACAACACAGGGCAATAGAAAGAGGAGATGGAGAATTATAAGGGAAGAATGAGGAGGACAGAGAAAGTTTGCTGGTGTGACCTCTCACTGCCTCCTTCTATCTCCATCCTCACTAGGACCAAGTAACACAGCAGGACGGAGGTTTTCACAGACAGTCCACTTGAGAGCAAAGAATAATTCAGACACTGGGGATGCCCTACCTGTCTACTGCACCTTTAAAGCTTCCCTTCCTCCTCCAGTAAGGCAATTTCAAAGTTTGGCGAGCAGCGGCCATGGCCTACCCATTTAGATTTCAGTGTACTTAAAAAAAAGAATTTCTGATCAAATAAATACAGCTTTTGAATACAGACACATTTAATCCAAGTTAAATCAATTACATCAGAGGGATATAAAATTCATTTTATTATACCAAGTAAAAAGGTAATTCTTCCAAGAAATATCCATTCTGTAAAGTGTGTGGCCACAGTGGGGAAGAACAATTTCCTTCAACAGGAGGAAACCTACATGACAACTTAACTTTAGTACAACAGCCTAGGACTTTGTAGCTTGGTTTGTAATCCACCTTGATATTTTTTTCAAAAGGATATACAGTAACCACTAAACTCATCTTCTCATACGGAGAACCTTGACAGTAGACAGGATGTGTTTTCTGTTTTGCTTAACTAGAGACAGTCATAACAACAAAATTACTCATTTTAATGCATTTCAGATAGAGAGTTCTAAAGACTAAACTGTGTGTAGACTAAACACTGTTTATTTATTTGTTCTACATCAGACAGTAATAAACCTTTTTACTGGCAGACTCATTAAGGCTTGATATACAGCAGTAAACAGAAACATGTCTCACTCAAAACTAAAGTACTTTCAGTACCGCAATAAAATAAAGGATTATTCAAGAGAACAAACCTTTTAAAGTACAAAAATTGAACCCTTAAATCCCTGCAAAGGAAATGTACAAACTACATTTCCACTTTGCCACCACCTCAAGAAAAATGTGTTTCAGGAAAAGACACTGATGTTCTCTGTAAACCCTAAACCAACACTATTTCACGTTCTCCCCATGCCTGCATTAGTATGTAAAATCTACCTTTGTGATCAAGCAGTAAACAGACAAACATTGAAAACATGAAATGGATGCCAGCGACTACAATCACCTTTAATAGTGAGAGCTCCAAAACAGAGTAATCTTACATACCGTGCAGGGATGGCACTGATTGGCTTCTTGTAGATGGTGATGAGCTTGTCCAGGACTACGTCTGCACTAGTGAAGACGCGGTATGAATGGAGAAAGGTGTTCAGAAAGTCAATGGAGAGGAAGCGCAAGTCGATCAGCCTCTCCAGCAGACGCTCAACACTGGCATAGCGGATCTGAAGCACCTTGCATGAGTTCATCATCTTGCTGAAGCGAATGTCGACATCATCGCAGTACAAGCTAGTGTCTGACCTGCAGGGTATTACATTTCATTAGAGGGGGGAAATGTTCCTTATAATACTTTTACTACCTGTATTAATACCACCCAATTTTAAGTAAGCCTTCTGAATCATTTGTGGATCATAGGAGTTTTCCTTTGTTAGTCTGTTAACTTCCCCAAAAGGAGAGGAGGACAAAAAGAAAAAGAGATTTTACCGCTTCATAAAATGTAACAGCAAATTGCATTGCCTCCAAAGTGATAAGAGGAAAATATACGTTTTTCTAGTTTATTCCATCAGATTTTAATAAGATCTTATGAAAGTAAATTGGTGAAAAACAAACCATTAATAATTCAGGGCTCTTGGATCATGCACATAACAGCTTATACATCATGCTTTATTCAGTATTATCTTCTTGTTGGTCATCTTTTTGATAATAAATTTGAATGTATGGTTAAGGCATGGCTTTAGGGCTTGAAGTTATATTTGATAGGAAATTCTGCTATTCAAAAAATATATAGTCCATGTTAATTGATTATTTGTGAAGTATTTTGAGAAGTATTTTGTAGTCGTTCCTAACACTCCTTCCAGTCTTTCTGCATGTTTAATATATGTGCATTGCTATGCAGGACCAGACTCTTACTTGATCATCTGTGGTACTGTGACTTTACTGTTTTCCTCAAAGGCGTTCATCATCAGGCCATTGCAGCGAATGTTGTCAATGCACTGTAATAGTAAAAAGAGTATTGTTCTCCGTGAGCAGGAAACAAAAAGTGAGGGATGTGGTACACAAACGTCTTGACATTGCAGGTTTCAGTGCCTCCTCCCTACCAAAGGTCTGTTTTCTTTAATAGAAATGTATCACTTTAAAAAGGACTTTATTACCTGCTAGTATAATTGTGTTTGACTTTTAAGATCTTTTACAACCAAGATTTTTTAAAATACTGATTAAATCTGCTCTCAATAATGCAAACTGATCTTTCTCCCTGTCAAGCTTTACACATGCAAAGACATACCTGGCTTATGTCACTTGTCCATGCTGACTTTTCCTGTCGGGATGAAGCTACAAGGATGACAGTGTATGGTTGGCCCTCTTTGGGCTCCACCATGACTTTAAAGTCCAGATGCTCTGCATCCTGGCCGCTCCGCTCCCCTTTAACTGCAGTTTAACAATTAAAAAAACCAACATTACAAAAGAAATGTTTAGAAATCCTTGCAATTGCACCAAGACCGTAGATGTTCAGCAACAGATTTCACTTGCATACCTTATGTACATGTACTGGTTATAACCTAATAACTTATAAATGTGAGAGACCTCCTTCAGTGTTGTGATGAATATGATGCTCCTATGCAAATAGAACTCACTTAATAGCTTCTTTTTAATTTACCCTCGCCAATCTCTACACGCCAGACAGTGTCAGAGTGAAGCTACATGCAGTAAGCATGATTAAATCAACAAAGACATACAAGGAAGCAGCCATAACCTTGGGACTTCTTCTGGTTTGCCACATTACAACCACAAACTAAAAATTATTTATAGATTTTATTGAATTTATATGTGTTGAACCAACACAAAGTAGATAAACTTTGTTAAGTAGAATATAAATGATACGGGTTCTCCTAAATAGGTTGTGGATCCCTGCAGCTCCTCTGGATCTCTTAGATACGTCTCAGATTAAGTTCGTTTATGTTGTCGGTCATATTTTAGAGCTCAACTGTCCTTTTATTTAGAGGATGGAGAGATTTTCTGCAACATGGTGAAAGCTTGGAATATCATTTTAAAAATGTAAACCTCCTTTGACTTCTCCTTAACTTTATCTTTAAACTGTCTAGTATGTCCCCTGGCACTTATGAGGCTATTTTTTTTTTGTTTATTTATACATTTCTGATTCCTTCGAAAAACAATACTTTCTTTAACAAGTACTAGATTAAATGCATGCCACACTTTTCAGATTTTGATGTGTAAAGATGTTTTGATGTGATTTACACATAATATCTCAACAATGCATTTTATTTTTCTGGGAGTAATGTGACAAAATGTAAAAAAATAAAGGTTAAGAAAATTTTTATCATTTGGTATCCTCTGCACTCTTTATTAACGTCTCACTAAGCAGACAGTGGGTTTCGGCACGAAGGTCACAGATATGCTGCCAAAATCACCAGCTATGTTCCGTCCTAATATGCTACTGCAAGAAAAAATACTATGACCTTTTTCCTGGATAGGGCCACATTTTACAGTTGCCTTTTGTATCTCTGCTTCTGTCTCCTTGATTCCCAGACAGCCTCGGCAGATGGCTGCTCACACTGAGCCTGTTTCTGCTGGAGGTTTCTTCCTGTTAAAAGGGAGTTTTTCCTTTCCACTGTCGCTACAAGCATGCTTAATGTGGGTGATTGACTTTGAGTCAACTGGTTTTCCTTAGAGAGAAAACTTTGACTCAATTTGACTGTATGATCTGGTGAACTGTAAAGTACCTTGAGATGACGGCATCTGTTGTTAATCGCCGCTATATAAATAAACTGAATTGAATTGAAATTAAATAACTATTCAGAAAGATTTCCGAGAGCAGAAAGAGGAGCTAAAGGTTCTTATGGTAAAAAACAAGGAGACATATAGAGTTATCTTATATGCACTGATATATTGTAATTCTTTTAAACCCTGCTTAACAGCCATGACTTATGAAATCACTTTATCTAAGTCAATGATTGTATGAAAAAATTTGTAAAACATCTAATAGACACAGTATCTAGCACACCTAATATACCAGCTTTTCTCTACTTTTTTATGTACGGTACTCTAGATTTTAACTAAAAAACTAAAATAAAAATAACCTGGGATACAAGTAAAAAGAGTAACTTACACTCTTCATCCGTCCCCTCGGGCTCCTCCATCAGAGTACAGTCTATAAGAGACACCACTCCATTCTGTGACAGGATTAAAAAGTCATTAACTCATCCTGGATTTCTTCTTGAGATCCATAATAAAGCACTTTTATATGAGCATTGCTATAAACATATTGCTACATGTACTCTGAGTAATCTAAAGCTGTTTTAAAAGCTCAAATACTGTTTGTAATTGATACCAGATGTATTTTGTCAGTAATCTATTGTAGTTTTCCTTTATTTCAGCTCCTTTCTGGATGCAACTCAGGATTTACCTTTGTGAGATGAAGTTTTCCTCCAGAACTTCGGGTACATATGATGAGATGCTTAGAGAAGAGGAAGCACTGTCTCTCTCCTTCCTTTTTCAGAGACAGAGAGCCCAGACGTCCTCTTGTGATTTTCCCTTTCTCACTCATGGGCACCTGGATTAGAGAACCTGTGCACACATACACACCCACACACAGTTATGCAACATGTGATTGTAAATGCATCGATTTTTCTTTTTTGAGGGGCGGAGGTGGGGGGGTAGCAGGGGGGTAAACTTAAAAACAAAACAGATTTTATTATTGGATTTCTGCAGTTTTTCAATAATTTTTTTTTATGCATCAAGCGTCAGGTTGTTATTTGTTTTTTTTCCTCTTTCAGATTATTAGACTGAGCAGGGTTGGTGGTGCCAGCTAACAAACAAGCCTCCCTTACCTTGTCTCACAAATGTTTGGCTGGTGTCAAGCAACACCTCACAGCCCTCTACTATCATGCGCTCGATGGCCAGGTTCTTTCTTATGTTCTCAGTTTCACTCACCTCATCATGCATGATTCTGAAAGGAATAACAAACACAGATAAACTGAAAAATCACAAAACTATTTCAGAAATAAATTGGAAAAGTTGAACAATACACAGTTTACACATAGAATATTTCATTGCCATTTATTTCTGTTAATTGAGACGTAATGGCAGTGGTAAGCCATTAGGGCCATCAAAGCCTTCATTGTTGGCCTAAAATCCTTTAAAAACACTAACCTACATTTATAACCTAAATGTAAAAATTTTTTTCCCCAACAGTAATAATTTATTCCAAACAATCCATTCTCTGGATTTTGTAGCGTTTCTCTTGGCTGCGCTGGATTCTTTACATTTATCTTGTTGTTATATCTTTTATCCATTCAGATTTCAGCCTTAGTGCATTGCTATGTCAATCAAATCTGCTCAGGGCCTTCAGAATCAGCACTGCTGGCACTGATCTTACCATAGACATACATGTAAGACTAGACCCAGCATCGACTGTCCATCGTGCATATCTACGTATGTCTATCGATGTTACCTTAACTATATTACAGAGGAACATTTTCTTTAACCAATCAGATTTCAGACTTGCCCCACTGAGCTAGCTATGATTTTCTGGCCTCTGATTGGTCAGTTAGAGCAAAATGTTTACAGCCAAGTTAAGCTAGTGACAATCTGCATTTTAGATTTGCTTTTGTTAAAAGATTTTCTGGCCTCTGTAGTATTCTGGCGGATACTACATGGAGATACTTAGTCTTCCTGCACAACGACAGAAGGATGGATTTTGTTTATAAATAATCAGCATCTCTGGTGAGTGTGACATATTTTATTTTCATGTGTTAATCTCTATTTTAGCTGGTAATTAGATGCATATTGAATCTGAACAGCTCCTGATGATGTATATGTGGCGGAGCTATGGTTATAGAGGATTGTGGTTGTCTTATACTCAGGTTCTTGCTTAATTGAGCTCTGTATTCACCCTCACACTAATCTTCCTCTCGGTTGTATCGGCGCTTGTTACATTTCATATAAAAAACTATTAGTGGTGAAAGTGGTGATATTAACCCCTTGACATCAGTCGTTGCAATTATGGAACAAATCTTTTGTATTGACATGATAACATCTGCATCGATATATATAGTTATATACATTTGGACATCAAGGGATTAAAAAGTAGATTAAGTTGAGGGATGCCCACTGAAGGCCTAGGTACCATTTGCACCATCCACCACTGCATAATGAGGTTATTGTTAGTCTCTGGCCAGCAGTCATTCACCTTCCACAAGGAGTGTAAGCTACAGAGAGTCATTGCCAAAAAAAATAGGCTTCCCACAGACTACTCTTGATATCATTAATTAAAGATTTAGTGGAAAGAAAATGTGAAGAAGACCCACAAGCAGCAGAGATAACTACAGCTTTAAAATGATTCTGAAGCAAAGTCCATTAAAAGGTTTTCAGGAGATTTACATTATATGAGAGGTGGATGGATTTGGGTCTTCAAGAAAAACAACAACATAGCATTGCCTGCATCTCCTGGACTGGGGAGAAAATTACTGGACCGTTAATTAGTGGGACAATGTAATTTGTAATTTTGTAATTTTATTAAGGATCCCCATTAGCTGTTGCCATGGCAAACAGCTAGTCTTCCTGGGGTCCACATTAAAAACATACAGTAAAAACAGTTACAAATATAAAAATTTCCAAAAATGTAATTTCTTAAAATTACTATAGGAAGTACAAAAGAACAAGTAAAATAAAACAGCCAATAAAACAAGAACAAATATAATAAAACAGTCAATAAAACAGAAACACTTCAGGGCATCAAATGGAGTCTCAGATTCTTTTTAAAAGATAGTTTACTCTCAGTGTAGCGGATGTAGTGAGGTAGATTATTCCAAAGGTGTAATGATCTATATATAAAGGATCTCTTTAGAGCATTGGTTTTTGGACCTGGTAAAACAAGCTGCCCATTACAAGAACCTCTAGTGTTGTGGTCATGAACAGAATTACTATAAACAATTTGTGAATGTATAAAAGCAGGAACATTACTGCTCATGACTGACTTAAACAGGATAAGTGTATTAAAAAGCAACTTGTGCTCAACCGTAAGCCAGGAAAGGCAGGAATGCATCTGGTTGACATTAGATCTAATGTGGCAGCCCAGTACCAACCGTGCTGCCTTATTCTGAACAACCTGTAGCTTTTTGAGTTCACCCCTGGCAGCAGATGTCCACACTGTAGAGCAATAGTCAAGATGACACAACACTAGACTCTGAACTATTTGACATAAAAGGGGACGGGCCATAAAAGAGCAACATTTCCTTGCGGAACTAATTGCTCTTCCCATTTTCACAATAATATAATTAATGTGGTGAGACCAAGACAGAGAACAGTCTACCATCACACCAAGGAGTTTGGCACTTTCAACTTGTTGAACCGTCAAGTCACAAAACTTTAAGTCAAGCTTTGGGCTTGCGGACAGCTTGTGCCTTGAACCAATTACCATGCACTTAGTCTTAGAGATGTTGAGTGCCAGTTTGTTACTTACCACCCAATCATATACAACATTCAGTTCTTGGCTCAAAACTTGATTTAATTCACCGCATGAAGGTGCAGTATAATACAAAGTGGTATCATCTGCGTACAGGACAGTTTTGGCACTTTTTGTAGCCCAAGCTAGATCATTAGTAAAGATTGAAAAAAGTAAAGGACCTAAACAGCTGCCCTGTGGAACTCCACACTCCAAACTTCTTCTACTGGAGAGGCTGCCATTCAGATAAACCTTCTGTGATCTAAAAGACAGGTAGCTTTCAATCCACTTTAATGCCGAAGAATTAAAACCATAAAATTTAAGTTTCTCAGTTAATAAAGTATGGTCCAGAATGTCAAAAGCAGCACTAAAATCCAGGTACACAACACCTATCAACATAGATTTATCCATCGCTTTAAGCCAGTCATCAGTCATTTGAATCATTGCAGTAGAGGTTGAGTGGCCAGCTCTATATGCATGTTGAGAGTCTGTAAAAAGTTTGTTTTTTACAAAATAATCCTGAAATTGTGCATGTACCAATCTTTCCATAATTTTACTTAAAACAGGTAAAATACTTATTGGTCTAGAGTTCCCCTCATTAAAAGCAGATTTAGTACCTTTAGGTAAAGGAATAACTTTAGCCTCCTTCCAGATCCTTGGACATAGGCCCACATCCAAGCAACGATTAAAAATATGACAGATGGGAGCTGCTATGACACCAGCAGTCATTCTCAGCAATTTACTATCCAGGTTATCTAATCCAGCTAGTTTACTGTCAGGAAGAGAACGGAGCAAATGTTCCACCCTATGGACGTCAACTTGTTTAAATACAAATTCACAACTTTTACCTTTCATTATAATGTTCTTAATACATTCATATGATCTAATGTTGTGTGAAGTGTTCATAGTCTGCCTTAATTGAGATACTTTCTCAATATAATAGTCATTAAAATGATTAGCAATATCACCTGGCTTTGTGAGAACAAATCCATTTGATTCAACAAAGGGTGTGCACACAGTTGTGTTCCGACCCATGATTTCATTTAAAACATTCCATATTCCTCTACTATCGTGCCTCGCCTCATATAACCTTCGTTTAAAGTAGTCCCTTTTTTTTACCTTATTCAATTTTGTGACTTGATTATGTAGAGAACAGTATTTCCGCCTGTCATCAATAGATCCAGAAAGTACAAAGAGTTTTTTAGCTGAATCTCTCTCTGCCGTTAGCGACCTAAGACTAAGGTCAAGCCAAGGGGCAGACCTATTTTTGACAACAAACTTTTTTAAGGGAGCACAATGTTTTCAGATGAATCTGAAATCTTGTAAATTAAGGTTCCAGCATCTGGAGGAAACTTGGGAAAATACATAACCAAAGTAGCCTAAGCTTCAGTGTAAAATTCTATATGAGCAATGATGGTTTGGGACCCAGGTCATGATGACATGGCTTATCTGCACCGGTCATGCCATCTGCATCACATGCATTTAAGTTGCTTCACATTTATGTTTTAAAAGTTATTTTATCAGTCAATAGTTTTCAATGACACACTCAATTTTGGGTTTTCTGTACAAATTTGACAGAAATACAATTAAAATATTGATGTTTAATCAATTTGTTCAGTCTGTAAGTTTATTGTTTTGAAACAAACTACAGAAAATTTTGAATTTACAGAGATTTAATTGGACTGACAAAAACAGACACTTTGGGAGAGCTTAGAAATGTCTCAATCTGTTTTACCAGTAAAACATAGTTGGAAAGTTAAAGATAGCTGGATTGTGGATTTCCTTTAAAGCAGATAGACAAAAAATAAGTCTACCTGGATATTTCCTCCAGTTTTGACTTGGCAAAGTCTAAACTGTTGCGTTCCACATGCTCATGAGGAGTATGAGCCAGTAACTCATGCAGTGTCAGGATATAGCGAGGAATCTGAAAAGAGGAGAGACATTTGTTTTGAATTAGTCTGGCTTGTGCCCTTTCTCTGCTGAACAGTTTCCACATTCTCCTAATTCAATTGCCAGTAATGTATGTCAATTTCAAATAAAGTAAGCAGCCATCTAGTGTATAAATAAGCGTGTCTCAGAGTGATTGATCTGCTTGTAATGAAATTTGAAAACCTCCTCTAATGCCGCCATTGTATGAGAAGCTGCCACTTGAATTGTTACAAACAGAATCTTGTCACTCACGTTCAACACAGACTGACATGCACAGTCATAGACTAAAAGTAAAAAGATGTGGCTTTGAAGTAACACTGTTGATTGATTTAACAGTGATAGAAATCAGAAGTCGAGGAAAACGTAGCCTCTGAGCTGCTACAGCGTCCTCTTAGTGACAGGGAGATACATAAAGTTCAGGTTAGAGTATATATTTTTCTCTGATTTAATCTAATTAGTGAGAATTTTTATGAATTATGTGTATTTTTTTACATCTCCCTGTCACAATTGTGAATTTTACCTGGAACATGGGGTAAGTGAGGAATGTCTCCAGTGTCCTTTCCTCACAGTCAGGCTTGGCTTCATACTGCTTCAGCAATTTGTCAAAGTCTCTGTTCTGCTTGCAGTGTGCCAGGATCTGCAGACTGTACTGATGATTCCTCACAAACTCTTGATAGATGTTCAACATGGGCAGCAGGATGTCAAACAGGTCAGCTAAAAATGGAAGCAACATTTCCAAAAACTGTTGGAACATTTCATGTGTTTTAACCATGAAAGACTAACACACTTTATCCCATGTAATGTGCATGCATTATCTATTTGCTGCCCTGAAACTCTGCAACCCATCAATACAGTCAAGTGCAAACAGTTGTCTTCATAATTCACATAAGTAAATAGCATCAAACTGTGGTATTTACTCGGTATAGTTTTCTCAGTATAAGTAAGTGAAGATCTGAGAGGGTTGCTTGTCCATATTTATGAACAAACAGCATTATGAGGAACCACTAACTACAATCTACGGACAGTAAAGGTGTGCTTGGTATCCTCCACAAATCTAGCCTCTACTAAAGAGTTGCAAGAAGACTTGTTTAAAGAAAGTCATAAAAGTTTCATACTTAAGTTTGTAAAAGCAAAGGAGAGAAAAGATATCAACATTGCACCTGACCCTAAACAAAGCTTCCTCATATGTTGGTGGAAGCATCATAATGTGGGAATCTTTTTCTTCAGTGGAGAAAGGGAATCTATTCAGAATCGATGTAAATGCATAACAAACTTTAAAAAAAAGACACATAGAAATCCTATAAGGTATGACGCAACAGGGCAATGTGTAATTATGTTTGAGTGATTTGAATTGTATTTGCATGTTCTCCCTGTGCATGTTTGGGTTCTCTCCGGGTACTCTGGCTTGCTCCCACAGTCCAAAAACATGTCTGTTAGGTGAATTAGCTTCTCTAAATTCTCCTTAGGCATGAGTGTGTGTGTGCACGGTTGTGTGTCTTTGTGTGTCTACTGTATGTGTTGCCCTGCAACAGACTCGGGAACTGGTCCAGGGTGTACCCCGCCTCTCGCCCATAGACTGCCAGTGACAGGCACCGGCACCAAGGACTACGCGGGAGAAAATGGATGGATGGATGGATGGATGGATGGATGGATGGATGGATGGATGGATGGATGGATGGATGGATGGATGGATGGATGGATGGATGGATGGATGGATGGATGGATGGATGGATGGATTTGAACTGCTTCAAACTGATGTGTCAAATCCAGTAGAAACACTCCTCTATATTTGTTTAAGCTCTGCATTTCTCAGAAACACAGCATCAAAATTCATGAAGTGTCTGAGCTTCTTACCTAGAACCAGTGTTGGCCAGCTGGCTATCCTAGCCTTCAGGCCCTGGTAAAAGATCTGATGGAGGAACATGATGGTCTCACTGACAAAACACAGGTAAACATGGACAATACTGGTTAATTAAACATTTTGTCTCTCTTTCTGTAGGTAAAAGAATTATTGCCAGTGTAAGTTAAGGACAACCTGTTGAGGAAGATGCTGCTGACATCGTCATGAGTGATAGGGGGTTTCTTGGAGCTGGCTGCCATGCGGAGAGGCCGCAGGAAGTTGTTGACCAAGATGTGGAGCTGCTGAACGTACTCAGCTTCTGCCTCCAGCATGCTGAACACTACCTGGTTTCTCTTCCTCATGCTTTCAGCATGAGGGGAACGGATGTAGTCCTGGATGATGGTTTTCCATTTCCTACGGCAAATCCAGCCTCGTAAAAAGCTCTGCACCTGTGTGTAAAACATTACGGTTTATGTTGCCAGGGTTTTTATTAACAGTTGAGTTCAAACCTTATCTGATTATTAAACATTAACAATCAGGTATCAGATTTTATTTCTTAAATATAGCACCGTTTTATGTGTTTGCTCTCACAAGGTGGTTTTAGGATATAAGTGGAAAGTTTTGCACTGAAAACCTGACTCAGTTTAGTCATTACTGTTTAAATGGAATGCAGCTCAGGAGAAATTATATCTTAACAGTTTGGAATTATTCAATTTATTTAAATAGCTGGTAAAACTTTTAGATTTGCTTTGTACTAAATTAGTCTGTATTGTACATAGAGATTAGTTTGATTAACATCCAGGTCTAAGCACAATGGACTTAACTGGATGAAAATGGGTCAAGTCAGCATTAGATTTGACCAAAATATAAACTAGGCTGGGGCTGCTACTAGAGATTATTTTGCAAATAGATTTTTTTCGATCACTCAATTAATAATCAGATAGCCAAAGGTTCATTAAAGAAGACTTTTTACGAAATTAATCCAGAAGAAACTAAAACATTTCCTCTTGAGGAGTTCTGGATAGAGCATTTTTTTTTTATAGTTTTGGTATAATTACTGCTCTAAGTGGGTCACTCTGTCAGCTAAAGGCACTTTTTAAAGTTGTGATACTCCAGTTAACGATTAATCAATTACTAAATTAGTTGATGATTATTTCAATAATCGATTAACCACGATTAATTCGATCAATTGTTTCCGCCCATATATTACCATCCTCTGTATGAAATGCAACATTTTGAGTTTTGTACTAAATATACAAAGTTATTTTGCTTCTTCAAACAAAATTATTGAGAACTTTACTTCTTAAATCAAAGATGTTTTAATTAAGGATTGTGTAACATTTTATTTCAATTGAGACTCAATTGAAACTATAAAAACCTAAAGATAGAATGAATAATTTAAGGAGGAATAATGCAGTAAATGTTTCACATCTATTGGGTGTTCAACCAACCAGTTAAGCTAAGCTGCTGATCTTCTTCCTTTCTTCGTCTCTCAGTTTAAATGTACATACCATTTTTCTCCTAAGTAACTTTAAATCTCTATTATTTTTTAAAGCCTGGTAGCACAGCACCTTCTTGATCTTCTTGATCTCTGTGTCATCGTCACTGGGTGGCACCTCTGGATTTGACTGGATCTTCTCATTATCCTTCAGGAGTCCTGCAATCTAAGGGAAAAAGGGAATCATTTTAAAATATACACATAAAAAAAAACACTCTGGGCTTATTATTTGATTAATTAAACAAATGGTTTAAGAGTGGTTGTATAAAAAGGATGATTATGCCAAACTTAAACCGAGTGTGACATATTTGTCTATTTAACATTATGTTTTTTTAAGCCATGGAAATAAAGGAAATAATAAATTAATTATGTGAATCTGACTATGTTTTATTTATAACAATAATTCATATTATTTATCATGTACTTTACATAAGAATCTCAAAGTGCTACAAACAAAGGGTAAAAAAAATAAGAAAATTAAGACAAAAGTTAAATCTAAAAATTGTATTTTTTGTATTTAATAATTTTCATGATCTTATTTTTGTTGCTTTTTGTTTGTTGCACTTTAAAATACAAATTTGCAGTGCACTATAAACAATATTTATACAGTAATTATTATAAATGTGCCACATCTAAGGAGGAGCTTTTTATCAGCGCACCTTCTGCTTCTAGTTACCAAGTTTCAATTAGCAGTTTTTGGATGGCATTCAAGATTTGAAAATTGTCTTTTTCTTACTTACTCCAGTTATATTTGGTTGAAACTACATTTCTACATTACATTTCTGTAGATAATCTGAAACATCAAAGTGATCCATGCTGCTAACCCCAGATGTTTTAATTGATTTTACCATTATTGTGATGCAAACTGCCTTCTGACAATCTTTACTTTGATTTATAGGTGATTCAAAGAAGTGATGCACATAAATACTCAATTGGACACAAAAAGATAATATTTGGCAAATGTTACATTGCCATGTTTCAGTCACACTTTCAACACTCAGAATATTAAAAAAAGAATCATTTTCGATAAAGAACTGGTAATAAACTACATCCATTACTGTCTAAGACTGTGACCATGAAAAGGGTTAAAGGAAATTTTTATTTTGTAGTGCACCCTTTAGTATGAACAACAAAAGCTGACTCATGCATATTGAAATGCTGGTTTCAATTCAAACCTCCATTAGCACGTTAAAGAGAGACACATTTGATCTAGTTTAGGCTGAATAATGAAGATACAAAACATTCAGCAGTATAATAGAGTCTCTAGGGGCCACTACAAGATACCACTCATCATGAATTCATAATACTATGGATGAAAATCTGTGTCAGGACCTTTGCGCTCTCTGCCTCATTACTTTTAGTTACATAGTTTATTTCACCTTTCCCACTGTGTGCATTGCAATTAGTCAAATACAGACATGTACGAGCATATGTTCGACAAGAATGAAATCACGAGTCAACTTACCTCCGATTTTAGCCTTTCTATCTCAATTTCCCCGTCCTCTATCTGTTGTCGAAGCTGTTTGGCTACTGTTTTCTCTGTCTCCACTATCTGGAGAAGGTGAAGATATTTCTGCATGAGGGTCTCATGCTCTGTAGCCAGGTTTCTGTAACTACACAAGCACATACATCCAGACATTGAAAAACCCTCCAAATAATTTCATGTGAATTACAAGAGAATAAATTAAATGAAATAACATTAAGCATGAAAAAAAATAAATTAACATAATTTTAAGACGTACAGAATTACATAAAAGGAACAGCAAAATGCATATTTCTCCTTCATGAGAAACCTTCAGTCACTATTAAGAGCAAACGTTTTTATAGGTGTCTTCTGATCACCGACGCATTTAGATTAATCTTCTATTGTTCCATCTTTTGTTCAATATTTTAGGAATAACAGAGTGACCCACAGTCCTTACTTCCCCACAGAACCCATGTGTAGATCAAAGAATCAAAATTTGGTAGATTACACACCAGCACTTCTGCTTGCTTCAAATATTGACATATTGCTTCATTAAAAGTTGATTTATATCTTCATAAAGAGGTTTATTGGTTTTACTGAACATAGGTTGATATTACCTCAAAGAAGACACCAAAGCAAGAAGGACATACATTAGATCTAAATTTGTACATTAAACATCAGTGTTCCTACAATACTACAGGCAGCTTGTCCCTATGCAGTCATTACTGCTGTATTTATTGACCACTAATCAATATAATCTACACTGAGTTCAATCAATTGACCTTTTGTGCAGCAAATGTTACCTGTCAACATTTAAAGACTGCTTTCATTGCCTTATTGTTCATATCCAATCAGAGCTGCTTCTCTCTTTATACTGTTTTGCCAATAGTAATGTCTCTTCAGTTACGTGCATAGGACATACACAATGCAGATAAATGGATATCCTCTCATGTTCTTCAAGATGACTAATAGGAAATTGAAATTGTGGTCCAAAGTGAGGAGAAATTATGCACGTTTATCAGGTGATCTGTATCAGGTTTGGGATTTCTATGGGAAGGTTACCCGCATCTATCAATTCCTTTCTTAATGATGCTGCCTGTCTCTAGATCATTACCCATCCTTACCATGCTGAATAGTCAGTATGAGACAAACACATGGTGCTGTTAACCCTTTAAAGCCCGATTCAAGAATAAAACAAAACAGAAAATTACTTTTTTTTGGTTTGAAGTCCTTATTTGGCCTTTTAACAAAATATGTAAAAAGAAAAAAACAGAAATACATTTTGATATAAATAATTTATTACTATGCGATAAGTCAAGATTAATTTTTGTGTAGTCTTCTGCCCTCTGTTATCAGGTATATCTGATTGTGTACAATAGGATTTTGAGCAAAGTTTTTACCATTAAATTATGCAAAAAGTGTCAGGCGCGAAACATTTCAGAAACCGTATGTATCAAATATGATACATTTGGCATTACAGGGTTAACTACCTGAAGACATCTGCACTGTAAGGCCGTGTTTACAAAGGACTTTGCTTGAAAACCTTTTACATAGACTGTTTGGTGAAACAGTTGTTAGCACTGCTTCCTAACAACCAGAAGGTCTTGGGTGAAATTGGGTAACTTGGGTTGCTGTGTGTGTTAAACATGTGTATTAAAGTGTGCCGAAAAATTTGCTCCCTGTTTATAGGGGGGGCCCTGTCCTTTTACTCCGATTTCCTCTTCTCATCCAAAAACAAGCCATTCTTTGAGGACATGTGTTTGCATGGTTTTCTGCTTCATAATGCTGTTAGAAACAGTCACCCCACTCGTCAACATCCTATTAAAGATTTAACAATACCAGAAAATGAATAGAAGGCATTATAAGTTTATCTTTTCTAGTTTAACAGACTATGCATTCTGTTTTAATGTTAATAGTTGACTTTTCAGTTTGTTGGGCAATACTTCAAAATTGCAAGACTTTGCTTCTTAAAATAAAATGTGAGTGCCTCAGTGACAAGTTTTGAAGTCCTAAATGGGTTCTGTTGGATATTTGCTTCTGCCAATCAGCATGCAGCTGAGGCCTCACACTGTCAGTATGTCAGCCTTTTGTTTGTTTATGTAAACTTTCATATTAAGGTAGAAGGTTGTGTGCATAACTTACCTGGCCTGTGTGATGGCAGCCACCCACTCGTCGCAGTCCTTGACGTCTTCTGTACGTAGCTCCAAAGGCTTCTGGTTCTCATGACTGAATGTCACAGTAAAGTAATACTGGAAACACAATTGAGAGCAGAAGGTTACCTACTAACTTTGAAAATAAAGAAGAAAAACAAGTAAGATAGACAGAATTATTTAGAAGTGAAACATGCTGAAATAAATAATTTGGCAAAAGGAACAAAAAATCCTTTTGCCAACTGAAGGTGGTTGCAGCCTCTTTAGTGTAGAGATGGAGTCCGAGATCTTCTCTTTTGCTCTCTTCTTTGCAGCACACTAAAATGATTTTGCATATAATTTGGCATTGGGAAGGTGGAGGAAGTTTGACTCTGTTTGATAAGTCATTTCAGTAAAGTGGTGCTGACCCAGTCTCAGTAAAAAAAAAGAAAGATTTTGTTTCTTTGGAAGAGAAGCTAGCCCACTGTATTTTAGTTCCATGTCTTTATCCTATTTTGTACAATTTTTATAAAACTGAGTGTTTGTTTCTGAAAAGATCAAAAATGGTCTGCTATGATCCAGTACATATGTTCAGCAGATTTTGATTAACTTCACACATTTAACGTTTTGATGTTAGGAGAAAAGAAAAAAAAACTCCAGATCTGCTGCTAAACTTGTAGATTTTTTTATTGCATTCATCTTTTTTCCTCACTATACATAGTGACAAAATATGCATTGGTTTCTATCTAGCTTTATGGTGGAAAAAATGAAATACTAGGCTTAACATTTTATATCCAAAGGATTTAGAAAAGGAAGAGGTTATGAAATAAAGTTTCTAAATAGCCGATCAATTTGGAGGTAAATTGTAGATCTAAAATGTTTCATTTAAATCAATCTTATAGAGCCTTTAGTTGGTATCAACAAGAAGACCACGACTGATTTTGTAAAAGAAATCCTAAAATTGGATTCCAAGTACAGTTACTCAAACCAAACACTAAATTAGTCAAATAATTTGTGGGAGATTCTGCTGTACAATTAAACAGGAAAAGATACTTGCCTGTGTCTCTGTGATTTGGGAAGATGCTAGAAATCCTTTGAGAAAAGGTAGGGGGAGTTTCACAATGATATGTACAGTATGTGTGCTGTTTAACATCAGCTCTGAAATACAGTATTGAGGTTTAAGCAAATTTGTTTTGTTTTGTTTGTTCTATTGATTTGGCAGTGACACAAACACTCAATCTCTTTTACTGTGATTTTCAGCTGTAAAGGTTACCTTGCAGCAATTATTTTAATGTACATTGTACTGAATTGTTCTCTAAAAGGCTCAGAGGATAAAGCAAAGTGGTGGTCATGGCACAAATAATACAAATATGGTGTCTGTTGTCAAAATGCATAAAATTATACAACAGTGATGCATTGTAAACAGGCCCCGCTCAAATACAATACATTGGATTTGTTTTTCCCCCCTTTAAAATGTGAGAGAGCACTCATTTGTGAAAGGAAGTAATGTTCCATATTTCCTGATGAGCAACAGAACAGGTTGTTGTCAATAATGTGCTTCCCATACCGCATCCTGTGAGGTGGAGTTGCAGACCTTTGAGGCAGATGAATTTGACCAAACATTATCGCAGCTTTGTTTGTTTGTGTTTTTATTTGAGTAGCTTGAATAGGCATGTTGCAGTAAAATTAGACAACAATGCAAGAAGGATTTTTTCTAAAACTTGCAGAAAGTTTAAAGTCTATGAGTAGCAAAAGGAAAAGAAATGATACGGATTGTGACATGTGCTACTAGGTACTTTTAGTACTATTTTGAAATGCATTTTTCTTGTTTTGCTTGTTTGCATGTCTCTTATTGACATGACAGACATCAGACCTCTGTTACGGCAGCATATTTGATTAAAAAAAGGTCAATATGGCTCTCCTGTGATAGAAGCCATTCTGTTTTAATTGAAACAATTTATTTTGCATGAACAATTCAGGTTACCAGAGAAACTAATCATGAATCTAAAAAGGAACAAAGCAAACAAATGTTGATTACTAAAATAAATAAATAAATAAACATTGTCCCATTTTTCATAAGCCATTTTTTTTGTGTGCGCACCAAATGGAGCACAATGCTAAGGCATATTATTGCAGATTTCGTTGGCCCCCTTCAAATGCACTTTTTCAGATGCAAATACGGGTTGCCATGGTAACTGTGGGCTTAAACGTAACTCGCCTTCTAAATGGGAAATAAGAACATTTAAAAAGTAGAACACTCCAAAGAATACAATGAGAACGCAGAGACAGACATGTACGGAGGGAGGGAGGGAGAGATCTTTTTGCCTTTTTTGAGGAGTGCAGGGCTATAAAAAGCATCGTAGCCCTGCGAAGTGCCAGTTGGCTTGGCATCTATCCCCTGCATTGTCCCTTTCTCTGACACACACAGATAAGATCCAGAAAACCTCCCAGTTATCCCCCCCGTAGCTTTAACATGCACATACACAAAATACATAGACACGAAGCTTGCTAAAAAAGTGTAAAGACCAGCTTTAATCTTTAACACTTTTAATGTCAGGATGGGTACAGTAGCTTTGCCTCTGATGACCTCTCCAGTCTGCTCATCGACTCTGCTGCCATTCTCTGTTTTTATCAGAGCAGCGGAAAAGAGAATCTGTATGCCCAAACACACATGCATCAAGTAGTCTTTTGTGTCCTTGTTTTACCTGTTCTGTGGAGCTGAACAGCTCTACAGACTGACCCTGGTGGATGCAGCTCAACACAGGGAGGCAAATATTGACTTTTGAGTCAATTTGAGGTGTGCATACTAGGTCAGATGATTGGTCAAAGACATGCAGATTTAGATAACTATAAAAATATGATGCAAAGAAAATAAAAGATTAACAATCTAAATCTATTTTTTAACATAAAGATGTTACATAAAGACACACATGGTGAACAGAGGATCAAACTGAAGGCTTTCGAATTCAGTTAAAGCAATGCTGAAATAAATTTAGTGCAGCAGTCTGCATGAACGGCTGTTGTCATAGATGTCACTCGGTACATATTTCATGCATGACGACAGGCCATGCTCGGCCAAGAATGATATTCAATAAGCAGCTCAGTACGTGTGTTTGGCAAAACATGTTTAAAACCTTAAAATCCTGAAAATTTTCAAAATCAGAATCTCAGATCTTAATCGTGATTTTAAAACAGAAGCAAGGAGAAAGGGGGGGGAAGTTATAATGTTCAGCACCACGGACAGAGACAGAGAAACAAACAAGCACAGATAGTAGGAGTCACGCATATGATCTTTTTGCATCTTTAATCTTCTGAGACATTAGGAAATAAATGAAAGCCTGAAAAGTCAAAATAACTACTACAAAAATAATATTTAAGATGACAAACAAATATTTTCCTTTGCGTGGAACCTAGCAGTTTTTCCAAAGACAGAACATTAGACCTCGACAATCACCAGGTATGATTGAACTGACTCTTCCATCAGAGCCTGTACTGCCAGGCTGTACTGAGAAGAACACTGTTTGATGTGGAACTTTTTATTGATGGAGAAATAACTAACCAGTTACTTTATAAGAAGTGTCCCATGAAATGTAAAAAGCTGTTTAAAAGAAATGTACTTTCTAAGAATCATTGGGTAAGGGATTTTTTTGGCAAAGCAAATCTTATTGAACAATGTGAAGCAAAGTTATTTTGTTCTTTTTCACCATATGCAGAAAGATTAGCTTTGATTTAGTAAACCATGTTTTCCAGTGACGGCTGCCTCTCATAACAGTGACTTTAGCACTGCTCTCAGTAAAAATAGTTAAAAAGAGCAAGAAATCTGGGAGTTTTTCTGAATGTTCTTTATATAATACCACAAAACCAGTCCTTGATGTCAAGAGAATCTGATTAAACAGCACACTTAAGGAACTTGTTCAACATGATCTTTTTTCTTCTGAGATTTTCCTGTTACTTAGTATTTTTTTTATTTATTTAGAAATGTTAAATACATCACTTTCACTCTAAAATGTTTAGTGAGCATGGCCTGAATACTTTAAAAACAATGTGAAACTGAAGTGGATGGGACATTTCTCTAGATTTATTTACTCCGATATTCAGACTTGTTTAGATGCTGAGTTTTAATTTTATTTTCTTGCATGTCTTTTTTACTTTCTACTTTTGATCACACCTAAAGTAATTTATGTTGTCTTCATTTTCTGTAGGTGTTTTATAAAAAAAATAATAACTGACTGGCAATAAAATTATATTAAAAAGAAACTTAAAACAATATCTCAGCAAAAATAAGAATCATATCTTCAAGTAAGAAAAAATAATACATTTTGAGGTTTATCTCCTGTATTGCAGGGAAACTAAAGAGGCTGCAGCTGGCAAAGAAGACTTTAGGTGACTGCAGATACCGCTCTCAACAGCTTTAATCCCTCTGCAATTTATATATATAATCTGCATAAAAATAGTCAAATCGGGGATGAATTGAGACGAAAACAGGGAGCCATAATGCGACATGGTTAAACTGTCATTCACTGCTGTCGTTAACACCTCATGATAATGAGGGAGCTATCAAATGGACCGCAGCTATAAAGTGGGGAGACACAGTTGCCAAGGTAGGATGCTATAAATATCAAGCCGAGGAATTAAATCAATACGTCAAAACGCCAAAGGGAGCAGCTCTTCTTTGCAAAGACTGCAAAGTTTGCACGCAGCCTAAGTTTTTTTTCAATTTCTTTTTTTTTTCAATATCTATATTGAAAAAATATACTTTATAATATACTTTAAGGAAGTATAATATACTTCTTTAATTATAACATATAATATATATATATATGTATATATATATTAATATATATATACATATATAATATATATATATATATTAATTAAATATATAATTTAATTAATTTATACAGTATAATATACTTTAAAGAAGAAAGTTGTGCAATAGAAAACCCTGCAACTAAAAATATTTAACTGAGGTTTTACGTCACTGATGCTAATTTTAAACAAATTGCTGCTTGAACAGATTCTTTGAGGGCAAAATTGACAATAACCATCTGTCTGGGTGACGCAATTGCGTAAATCCACGTCAAGTGGACGAAAATCCAATCACTGGGAGATAAAAGTGTATGTATGCTATTATATACATATAATATACAACTACTGTGCTGCTGGTTCATGTGCTGGGTTTTCTACAGTTATCAAAGAAAGTTTTGAGTGACTAAACAAATACATAAGGATGATCCCTCTGATCAGCTCCTACCTGCTTCTCCAGGCATTCCTTCGCTGACAGAGACGGTTTGGGAGACGGAGCCCGGTCACAGACGCATCCCTCTAACAAGTACAGTCCTGAGGGGCGTGAGCTGGACTCGCTCTCGAAATAAAACATCATATTCTGCAATAAGGCGAACCACTTCGAATGCCATTTTGTGTTGTCTGAGCTTTTCTTACTCAAGAAGCCTCGCCTGGTCCCGTCTTTCTTTGCCAAAATGGCCAGATAGGTGATGTGGCCATCATTGAGTCTCACCCCTTTCTGCATTTTGGGCTGGGGATCCGGGAGGCTCGCCTGCGGATTCTTACATCTTTCTTAAGCCCTCACACTTCCAAAACACAGTCCAAATTGTTGGGCTCCTTCAGTCAACTCCTTAGTTCCCCTCATCTTTCCTGTTCCGAAGACGCTGGCATTGGAAGGGGGACAAGAGAGGAGCTGATGCGCACTCAGAGCCACAGAGGCGCATCCACGCCGCTCCGCTAAGAGCTCTCCACGCTGCGGGCGTACTACGGAGGACCCGACGCCGTGTCAGAGCAGCCCTGCCGAACGATCATGATGAGGCACTGAGCTACCCACGTGCACGGGAGCGCGCGCGCACACACTTAGCATCCTGCCCTCAGAAGGCAGGAGGGAGCGCAGTCATGTGATCTATCTATCTATCTATCTATCTATCTATCTATCTATCTATCTATCTATCTATCTATCTATCTATCTATCTATCTATCTATCTATCTATCTATCTATGCATTTTTTAAGCATATTGAACAGAGACATTTAAGTCCATATTAAATTACGTTTTATATTGCCAATGCATAGTGGTGCGAGTCTTAACAGTTTTATATGTGTTTAATTGAGGCATTTTGTGACCTCTTTTGAAAAATAGCTCAATTAATATTGTTTTTAAGTGTACTTCTTGGGGACAGGTTTACTGAAAAACAAAAAACGCTTTAGGCATTTACTTAATCATATTTAGTTGCTTTAACACAATTGTTGTATGTCCTACCCTGCTAACATGAAACAATTCTATTAAAGTAACTAAATATGATTAAGCAATGCCAAAAATGATTGCATTCATTTTTTTAGTGTTCTATCGTTTAGATACCATCGTTGCTTTTAGTGAAATAAGCTGCAAATGTTAATTAACATTCTGATTCAGCTATGTGGGGAGGAAAAAACAAAGACTTGCTTACTAACTAGCTTTTGCATACATCAAGCATGTTTCTTTATCTGCACCCTATTCACAGCTGATTTCATGAAGTCATGAATATTAAAAAAGTTAGAATATTTACTGAACCAAGTCTTTTGCTGCTTCTATTGCTTTATATGTTAGCTTCATTGGGTTTTTCCTCTCCGATTGCAGCATTTTTACTTACACCTTGTTTTTCACTTTGTGACACAGTACTCAGATATGTATCTTTGAAAGATTTGACCTTGGTATAATCTTTAGCTGAGTCAGACAGTTTCTGGGAGTGAGGGACCATTAATTAATGTTTCTCAGCCCTTTACTCCAAATGTGATCAGGTATTTCCATATTCAATTTCCTTTCCCAATCTGTCTTTACACTTTAAACGAGATGGCTGTTTTCAGCTATACATTTTCGGGGATGTTCATCTACATTTTTCTAATGTTATGGTTTCAGTATTGTCAATATGATACAAAATATCAAACCTGTATTATTAAAAAAATTAATAATTATTAATTATTAATCCATTGTATTTTTTTTTACCTGCTTGAATAATGCAAACACATCCTTGATGTATGAGTCCCCCACACAATACAATCCCAACTCTTTCCGTCGGTTAAAGGCCCCATCCAGAATTGAAGGAGTAAACATTGATTTGCATAGAATGGTATGAAAGATAGAGCTCCGAGTTGAATATGTTTGATAAATTGTTTACAGATCTAAATCACATCATGTGACTGGATTGCAAATGTAAGATGATTTTCTTAGATGAATGGGGGACATTAATGGGCCCTGATCGAGTGAGGGAGAGGATCTTCCTGCTCCATGTCCAATCACCTGTCAAGCTTAACTCCTGGTCTAACCATTTGGAGAATTTATCCAGAATATGGACATTCTGGTCCTCAAAAGAATGTCCTTTGTTCACAAGGTGTAGGTGTACTGCAGAGTCGGCCGCCTCTGGACAAGACTCTGCAGTACACCTACACCTTGTGAACAAAGGACATTCTTTTGAGGACCAGAATGTCCATATTCTGGATAAAGAAAATAGGTGGTTTGAGAGGGGTGTGAAGGAAGCTATCTATGTTAAGAGAGAGAAACCAACTTTAAACAGAGGTGGTGGACTCAGATTCCAGCTTCCAAAAACATACAATTCAATCATAGACATGATCCCTTCAAGATATCACCAAACCCCCCACCCCATCACAGAGGAACGAGGGACCTACCCGCTCCAGCCGGTGAACAATACCTCCTTAACGACCGACCCTTAACAATCATAGACAGGTTTCAGGTATTACAGGAGACAATCCCCCCCTTAATGGCAATCCCCCCTTTAACGACCGACCCCTAGAAATCATAGACAGGTTCAGATATTACAGGCTAACGATGGAACTAAACGACCCATTCATCGGTTACCATTGCATGTTTCCAAGCAATACAAGGCCTTGTCCATATAAGACTCTAACTCACTGCGGATCCAGACATTTGAATTGAGAAAGCTTCCTGGAGAGGTGGCGAAACGTCTTCAAATCTTGAAAACCAAGTCCAGTGGATATTTTTTGAATTTTTTTGAATTTTTACAGAATTTTGTAGTAACTCATAGTTTGTTTTTTGAAGCAAGTTATTGTTAACGGCTGCAGGCAGAAAGCATTTTCTGTAGTGGTCTGTCTTGCACATCTGGAGAGTCGATGACATTCTGTTGGTGTTTTAACAATCTGATAAAAAAGATGCTCATTGTTGACCATAATTTTGTTCATCTCATGACAAATTATTCAACAACTCTCTCAATTATTGATATTATTATCTCAACCGTTTAAACCATTAAATCAAAGTTCTTTATTTTCTAAAAAGAATATAGAGGTAGGGCCATTCAGACAAAAGCCTTTTTGGAATCTAAACTAAAAATTAATATTTATTCTTTAGGTTATCTATAGTACCTTATATAAAAGAAATGTAATCAGTTATGGAACACATGTCAGTTAGAGACTTACCATTTCTGATCAGCATTTATCAGTTTGGTCAGATAGGAACTATGCCAGGATATCATGGTCTGTGGGACACTTGGTCTGCAGGAAGTCAAGTAATTGAATTGCTTAATTAAGACAAAAAAGAACAGTAGATGCGTGATCAACATTGCATAAAACCACTTGTCATTGCCTTTTTCTACTCCAGTTATTCTATTTTTTTTTTTGAATTCTTAATATTATTTGGCCAAATATCATATATTGATATAAAAAAACTATTTAAACCTGCCATTTTTTGTAGTAAATGCAACATCTCAATTCATGAAATCGAGTGAAAATTTAACAGCAAAAATGTAAGAGAAATCGTAGTAATTGTATAGTGTAATTATTTATTATGACAGAAATAAACTGCATTGAAGTAAACTGCAGTATTCTGAAATAATCTATTACTACGGAACCTTTGTCCTTGTCCTGTTTGTCTCCTTTTTATACTGCGCCGAGAGTTAACAAAAGCCTGTCAGCGTTGTCCACTGCTGGCACATTTACATATCTGAGAGGGCCAGAGAGACACTCATTAGGGTTGGTCCATAATTAATCCGGGATTAGCATATTGGGGCGAGGACACACACAATGGTTTGTTTCATCACAGGGTGTTATACGGTGGGATCAGAGAGTTGTGTCTGTGCAGCATCATTAAAATGATCCAGAGAGGTAAGAGGGTATAATTGAGTGAGATTCAACTACTCTCATCATTGCTCTTATCATTTAAAAGAAGAGAAGACTCTCCACTTTTAATTGTCTTGTTTTCTTCCTTTTGGGAACAGATGCAGGAAAGAGTTCAAGGGATGCAAAAAAGACATTGGAGCTTAGCTTAGGCCCACAGAGCTATTTAAAGCATTTAGCCAACGTGCCCTCGCCTCAGATATGTTGCAGAGTTCTTTGCCGTTCATCCAATAATCACTACCTCAGACAAGTTTAGTAATGAGGCGGTGATTCCCTTACGTGACCGTTACTGATAGTAGTGAGCATTTATGCAGATTCCTATTATAGGCCGACTTAAAATGGAGAACATGGTTGAGACGGTACAGAGATGACATTTTCGGAAAGGTCACAATGAGGTTCAAACCTATGAGACTGTGCCAATGAAAGAGCATCTCTATAAAAGAGTGTATTTGTGTGTGTGTGTGTGTGTGTGTGTGTGTGTGTGTGTGTGTGTGTGTGTGTGTGTGTGTGTGTGTGTGTGTGTGTGTGTGTGTGTGTGTGGGTGTGTGTGTGGGTGTGTGTGTATGTGTGTGTGTGTGTGTGTAAGAGGGGTTAGGCTTATTGTGCAACAGGATTTTGAGGTGTACTTTCTGGGTGGCTTAAATATGACAAACTAGAGTTTTTCATCAACAAAGAAGGGATAAAAATGTGTTTAATGGAAAATATTGAATATCTAATTGTTTATTAAAGTTAGGTGATTATGTTTTAACTGTTTGGGGTCACGATGAATGTCATGATCTGCTCTGATAGTTGGCCTTAATCACTCATTTCACTCACCTGCCTAGTTCTGCTCAGTTCTTAATCATCTCTGATCTCATCCACCAGTAGGTTCTGCCTTATGTTCGGTCCAGCCCAGCTATCATGGATAGATCATTGTTTGATGTTTGTTCCCTCTTTGCTTTTTGTTAGTGTCCTGTCTGTCAGTTTTGGATTTATTTCCAAGGTTCATGTCTCTGTTCCAGTGAGGAGTTTATTCTCTAGCCAGTGTCCTCAGGTGAGTTATTCCGTAACCAGCGGTGAGAACTTTTCAGCATTTCCATAGTGATTCTGTTTCCCTGATTCCATTCCCTCTCACCCACTGACCCTGTCTGCTCGCCTGAACCACGGTTGGAATCCTGCTGGATTCTGCCTGTCTGTGCATTTTTGTCTGAGCTGCATGACAAAGACATAGTTTGTTGCAACTTATTTTAAACCTCACAGTGGACAATCACAAACCACTGTCTGTGGAAACTACAGCATGTGCATATTAATCAGCAAATCAGGTGCAGATAAGTATCTGAGTATCATTTATTGAATGAGTCCTGATCAGAAATGTGTAGAAAACAAGTGTAAAATTTCATTTGGCCTATATATGTAAAAATTTTTACAATTACAATAAAAACGTTTTTTTCTTTAACATTAAAAAATAAACTTTTTTTCTGTTTTAGATTGGCTAGGATTAGGTTGCTCAATTAGCTAACTGCCAAAAAATTATGTTTTTGTAATACGCTAGAAATTATATCAAGCTGCCTAAAGCATATCTTTCCAATTATCCGCCTTTTCATTTGCGCTCCCAGTATTTCAAACATATTTGAATCTTTATACAAGTATTTTGATTACAGTCTGAAATCTAATACACAGAACATCCAGTAATATACAGTATCATTTTTTCCTTCATCTTGCCCTTCCTAATGGCA